TCAGGGTGTTCGTCCCCGAGTGTCTTTCTCCTAGCCTCCAGCACTCCTAACTGTAATTCCTCTGCTTCCTTGAGTCGCCCCTGATCCTGATACGTCAAAGCTAAGTGATGCATAGTGTCGAGTGTCATCGGGTGCTCCTTCCCAAAAGTCTTTCTCCTTATCTCCAGCGCACTGAAAAGAAGTTCTTCTGCATTCTTGAATCGACCCTTGAGACGGTATGTATCTGCCAAGCTAAGCATGTAGTAAGTTATCCTTCCGTCTTGCTCTCCGAATAGCCGTCTGGCGACCGCCAGCGCTGTCTCTCGGAGTTTTTCTGCTTTGTCGGGTCTTCCTCGGTCGCTATACGTCACGGCCAAGTTATTCATACTCGTCAGTGTTTCTTCGTGCTCCTCGCCACGCGTTCTTTTGTGGATTGAGAGAACCTGCTCTTGCAACTCTTCAGCTTTGTCCAATTTTCCACTCCGCCAATATGTCAACGCCAGTCTTCCCATACTTTCGAGCGTCCTCAAATCTTCGAGTCCTAAGACCCCCGTAAGCCCATCGACAGCCCTCTGATTGAAATTCTCCGAATCTTTGTACGACCCCAAATCTCCGAGATTTTGTCCCAATTCGCCACAGATCACAAAAGTCTCCACATCATTTGGCGCAAAATGTTCTTTCCTCCACGAAACGACCTTTTGATATGCATCAACCGCTTTCCTATACCTTCCATCCTCTGAATGACAATGGCCTATCAAGCGTAGAAGTTCAAAACATCCTTCATCATCCTCTATCTCTGGCGAACTACAGACCTTCTCTGCGTGCGGCAAATAACGTCCCCAAATACCTTTGGTCCTCATACTCACTTCCGGAAAACAGCTCTCTATATGCAGAGCTGCCTTTCTCATCCAGCTTGCTAGTGACTTCTGCTGCCGAAGCCAGTTTCGCGTAGCTAGATGCACTAATCGATGCATGTCGTATAGAGGCTCACGCTTGCTGCCTTCTTGAAGTCGAAGAAAGGCGTAACCAGTGAGGACGGCGATCCCCTTGATCACAACGTTGTCCTTGGCCACAACGCCGTCCTTGACGTCCGTCTCAAATATATCAAAGGGGAACAGAGTCTCCGGGATAGACTTGAAATCCAGACAGGCCAAGAAGGCAAGCAACTCTGCGGCCTTTGGATTTTGCCTTCGCATCTGCTCAAACGAAATGAGCCAGGTTGTAGCTACTGGGTTTTTCGATTCTCGATATCTGTAGTCGTCTTCAAATTCCTCGCTGAGTAACTCGATTGTCGCTTCTTCCTTCGAATCCCAGAGGCGGAGGTATGCATCGACGTCCCGAATTTGGTTCTCATTCAGGTAGGCGGCGACTTGAACAATGGCTAACGGTAGACCAGCCAGATGCTCCAATAATAGAGATGTTGCCGATGGATTCTCATCTAAAATTTCAGGATGAACCAGCAGGCTTTTCATCATACCAAGCGCATCATGCTCGTTCAGCTCTTCGAGAGGGACAATATTCTTCTGAGCTATCTTGACGGCGGTTCGATAATTGCGTGTTGTTAACAGAATCGCCCCAGAGGAGCTTGTGGGAATGTAGTCCATCAGCGGTATCGTTGAGTTACTATCGCTAGTAGTGCGGGTTGTCCAGAGATCCATGTCATCGGCGTTGTCGATGATCAGAAGCCATTCATTGGTTGTTTTGGAGTCGAAATGCTGCTTCAGGACGAGTTTCACGTCCGCCTTTGCGTCATCAATCTGAGAAATATTCAGCTCCTGGCCGATTTGCCGACAGTCTCGTTCGAAACTAGAGGAATTCGTGCCTTGGATCCAGAAGACTGAGCACGATGTACGGTGCGCTTTTGCCCAATGAGCCATCTCCAGGGCCAGTCGACTCTTACCTACCCCTCCCAAGCCGGTGATGGCAACCTTACCATATCCATGCCCGGCGAAAAGAAGTGTTGCCAGTCGGTCCAATTGGGAGGTACGTCCCACCAACTCGTCTCTGCGTTCGAATGGTACTATCCACAGTGGCATGCGTTCTGCATTTCCGACATCGGCAGATGCACCCATGTTTCTGATGGTATCAATCTTTGGGTTGATCGTATAGAGGACGCCTTTGGCATAAGCGGCAGCAGCGGCGGCGGCATATGGTTGCCAGTCTTTGTTCTTCTGGGCGTCCCCGTAGTCACAGACACCCCTGATAACTCCGGGTGCAAGGGTGTTCATAATGCCGGCTGCTTCCATTTCTAGACCGATGAGATCGTGCTCATCTCTGAGCTGATCTCTTTGCGCAGCATCTTTCATCAAAGTGCTTCCGGAACCAATGGTGCCATACCACACCAACGTCCGTTCAGACTCCTCCCGCGGTTGCCTGTGAATCAGAACAGGTTCAAGAGCCAGGCTTGTCTCTGCAGGACTCTCATAGAGTCTATCCTCTTCTTGACTTGGACAGAAGAATTTATCATTTTCGCTGGATGCCTGGAAGTCCGCCAGGTACGCCGCAAATTGGTTGCCTTTCTTGAACGGATGATCTTTGGTGAGTTGGATGTTTGTGACCGCGGACCGGACAATTGTAGCGGTTTCAGCTTGCCGACCATTGCATCGAAAGCCTTCTGCCGTGGCTTTGCCAAGATCGTAGTGGATGACTCCTGTGTTCTGTTGGCTGGGTACACTCACAAGGACATCACCAAGTCGGATATCCCTGCATTTGCCTGGGTCTTTTGGACAGAGGTTCGGGAGACCTGCGGCAACGCCTACCAGCAAAGAAAACCAGAGGCGTGGGAAGCGGGCCTTGACCTGGTTCGCCAATGCAGCAGCAGAGCCCGGGCCGTAGTTTTGACCAGCTGGCCATGTGGCAATAACGACATTGTGATTATTGATCTCGCCTCCAAGGTAGATGTAGTCGTCGCTGGTTACTGATTCGAAATGACCTTCATGCTTTTTGTCAAGCATTCCAAGAGCTGCTTCGGCTTCGATGGGAAGAACAGCGATCCATGCGACAGTATAGTTGTTGTAATCCAGGCGCTTGCCCATGGCACAATAACGAGCGGCAGAGTTTCTGTTTGGAATTGTCGGGTTATCGGATAGTAGTAGAAGCTAGGTCTCAAAGACTTTCAAGGTGGTGTTCAATACCTAGACTACATGAGGCCGCAAACAGACGACGAGAGAACAGGATGACCGGCATCTAGGTGATTGCTATTAGGTGGAGATGGAATCAGATGATGATGATGGCAATGTGATGTGGACGGCGAAGCAAAGAATATCATGTTGAAAGGAGAGATGATGAGGCTGAGGGCGGAGCGAGACGATGGAGGCGGGGAGGTTGTCATAGATGGCGTCTGTACTCGGTACTTGTACTCTAGCCAGGTTGTTAGGCTGAATCCTAAATCCAAGGTTGACAACAAGCAAGCACCTATCGGATGATGATGCTGATATTGGTGGCGCATGGGCCGTAGCTGAGGAAGAGGCTGCGCTTCTGGCCTGCTGCGTTGTGGTGCCACGTGGCTTGCAGCTTCGCCTGCGAAAATCCCCCAGTTGATCACCATCGGAGCATCATAGATGAATAACGCCGGTATAATTATTGTACTCCTAGTATTGCTAGGGTCAACCCTCGACAATAAACCGCCCAATGTCACAGTGTCCGATGACAGAAACCATTCAGATCATCTAAGCTGTAATGAGATTGCCATTCCCGCACCAGATGCGATGCTCCCCAGCCGGACTCTCCAGTTCCAGTTATTAACTCTAGCTTTTGCAGATCCTCTCCCAAGTCATGTCGCGTCATGGCCTTGCTCCCTATCGCCCTCAGAAAAGCAGAGTCCCTCCGTAAAAACACCAGGTGAAGGTCGGTCGCCTTTTATTGTGGTTGGGTTATAGTGGTTCGTTGCACGTCAAAGCAGCCCATTGTGTTTTCAGCGACTTGCGGCCGAAGGTTGCATGGCTGCGCTCGAGGGTGTCGTCAATAGTCGTGATACGGCTCAAACCCTCCATGGCTCGAGGCATAGTCGCTTGTGACCGTTGCCGCCTTTGCGGAGGTCGGGGCAAGAGAATGCTGTGCCCATCCCGTGCCACTGGCTTGTGCTCGACGCTCTGTAACGTATAACATTAGTTCTCGTTTCATAGTCAAAGACTCGGGATGTAAAAGGGTAGGCGAAATCTACCTTTCTCGAAATCTCCCCACCTCTTCATTAGGATCTTCGAACTATCAAATTCACCTTCGGCTTCCCCGTGTCCGCTAGATTTCTTGGTCTCTCCTGCCGTCTTCCTCGTGTCTCCCCAGCTGAAATCGTCGAACTTCCAGTACGCATAGGCTGGCAGGACGAAATTCCAGATGGGAAGCGAGAGCAGGTAAATTCCCATCCATGCAACATATGACCAGCTATGTGCCGTCATCACAATCAGGACGGCGGGAAGACCTAGAATGAGACCCAAAAGAATGAGGGGAATGACCGGTACGGGCTTGGCGACAATGGAGATGATAATTAGGTAAAACGTGAATGCGATGGCCGCTGGTAATACAAGGGTACCGATGAGTTCGATGAAGACGACAAATTGCATACTGAAGCAAAATGTACCGCAGAGGTCGCGTACGAGGACGAGCTCCATCAAGTTGTGGACCGTGGAATTGATCCAACGGCGTCGTTGAGATAAAAGCACTTTGAATTTGTCCGGAACCGTTGTTTTGCAGACGGCCTGAGGCACAAAGACTTGTTTGCGTTTGGGGAATGTCTTGAGCATGAGTGTCGAGAGGTATCTGTCTTCGCCCAGCAGGAGGAGGTTCTTTTTGTGCAGTGTGTCGACCACATTCTCCGAATAGTGCTCCACAATGTCGGGATTGGCAAGGATTGGGACCCAGTAGTTTTGCCCACCCTTGGGTGACTTGATCCGGTACATGCAGAAACACCCGGGTAAGCAAGTGACACCACCAAAGACGGATTCAAAGGATTTGGACAGATGATGCGAGATGAAGTACTCGAAGACCTGGATGCGCGAGACCCACGACTGGGTCTTGTTCGCGATCTTGGTTTCGCCGCAGAGTCCCATGATTTCAGGATCCTTAACCATGGCGGAGACCATGTGCGTCAGACTGTCAGGATATACCTTCGTATCAGCGTCGACCATGAGCACCATTTCGTAGAAGTCGGGAGACATGCCCGTGACCTTCCAGAGACCATTAAACATTTCATATTCGAGTTCTGTCATTCGTTCATCAAACATGACCTTTTGGAGGAAGGACATTAGGATGATCTGGCTGTCACGCTTGCCTCGGTTGCCGGGTTTGGCCTTGTCGGCTTCATCAGGAGTTCCACACTTGACGACGACTAACATGGGCACTCGTTGCTGCTTGGTCGGGTCGATTTTCGAGCTCGGACCATAATCGTAGAACCCAGCATAGACCTTGGCCATGTTGTGTCGTTTCGAGCCGCTCGATACGGCGACGTATGAAAAGGCCTGTACGTCTTCGGGAAGAACGACAAAATCACCCATCATGCTGAGGACGATTTCTGGGGTCGACAAGTCGTTGCCTTTGCCCTTGATCAGGCCATCACATATCACGAGTATTGCTTTGTGGCTGTTCGGGTAGTCGGTCGTTGCTACAGAGTCCAGCGTCGTTCGGATACCATCTGCATCTTCCGAATATGCAGTGACCAGGCAGATGACGTGAGCAAGGGGATAGCCAAATGGCTGCCACTCAGGAGGTGGCTGGGGAACTACATTCTCGTGAATGAAGCCCACGGGCCCACCTGGTTCGAGGGCGTCCATCACAGCTGAATACCGGGCTTCCTGACCGGACAGGAGAAGGCTGGATCTGCTAGCACCAACGCTCATCCGAGAATTGACGTCCAAAGTGTTTTGACTGCTATTGAATCCGCTTTTGTAGAGGCCACTTCCTGGCTGAATCAGTCGCGCGTTCGAAGACTGACTGGTCATCGTGGTTGGCGGGGGACGATTCGTCTTGGAGACACGCTCGACAGCATACGGACTGGTGAACCGAGATGTCTGAGGGAACAACTGACTTCCACGCTTACTGGTTCGCGCATCGGAGCCGGAAACAGTGCTTGCGGGATCAGTGATCTTGGGAGCCGGTCTGTAGATATCATCGGCCCAGTCCTCGATCTGCTTGGCCCGCTTTTTTGGATCGGATGTCTGCGAGGTCTTGGTGGCCGCAAACTTGCCAGCCAAGAACCATTGGAAGGCCAAGGCGAGAAAGAATTTCACCAGTACAACAGCGAGAATAAACACCAACGAGACGTACAGGACGACCTTTGAAGCAATGCACCCAACCGTCTCGGTGTCAACTGAACCCACTTTTGCAATCTGGGTCAAACACTTGCCGACCTTTTTATCCGCGGGAGACTGCAGCACGTGGGTGATGTCCGTCCCCCGGATCTCGTCGCTCTCCCGCATATCATCGAACTGTTTTGGCCAAGCAACTTGGCTCTTGTTGAACCATCTCAACAAGTCCAGATCGACCACGGAACCAGAATATACCACCAGATTTCGACTAGTGTTTTTGACGTCGTCCCAAGTGAAGAAGACTTCACCGGCTTTTCTCAGGGTGTAAAATGTGTTTCTGGATTTAGCAGTGGTATGACAAGCGTAACCCAGGTAGTAAGGGTTGGTTAGGTTCGGCTGTGAAGAGCCGTCCTGATTGAAGGCGTTGCAGGGGAAGTACCATGCGAGGTCGCCATCAGCGTCCGTAGGCACATCGGAGCCAGGTGCGAGGGTGATTAGACCTTTGCACTCTCCATTGACTTTCTGAAACATGAAACTCCCGTCTTGGCCACCGTACTTGTGGGGGAGATCGTAGAGGACATTGCTGTCGAGAGGAATCCCCAGAGCTGCTGGATGCATGGAACCATCAAGATTGTAGGCGTCTCCGTGGAATATCATGTAGCCACGATCGACATGGTTGATCTTCAACCTCAGTCCCGGAGCTGGGCATACCGCTCGTGTGAAGCCGAAAGTCAGAAAACCGACAAAGGCCGCAATAAGAAAGATGATACTGATTAAGCCGACCTTCTCTCTCCAGGCTCTTTTCTGGGCCCGCCCCGGCATTCCGCAGCAATGTAGCATAAAATTGGGAGCCCAAAAAGTGACCACCGAGCAATATACGTTCCAGGCACTGGGCGGTTTGAGCTTTTCCATTTCTTTCATGCGCCTCTTCTCTTCGGCCGTCAAGTCTCGAGTGTCTTTTCTCACCAACTTTCGAGGTTGTCTCTTCTTGCCGACTGGCTCGAGTCTTCCAGGCTGGCGTGAGGTCGGTTGGACACCAAGATCCTCGTCGGCTAGCATGTTGAGATTAGTGCTTTCAGAGCTCACAGTCCCCTCTTCGGCCAACTCTTCCACCACAGGATCGTTCCCGGTGGTAGAAGGGAAGACCTCCATATTCTGTGCATGTTTGCGATAGTGGTAGTTGGGATGATCTCGGTCTATTCGACTACGCTCGGGGCGGATCAGGGATTTCTTGCGACCGAGGTCACTCTGATTCATAGGGTTGGACATTATCGGCTCCCAATCTGCCGTTCTGGAGCTGGGTGAGGGAGGATAGGGGTCGTTTCCGATGCGCTGAGGGGAATAGGGAGAATTGCGTTGGACATTTGCCCCGGTTTCGAGATCGCGTAGTCGTCGAGACGGTGAGTCTCTGTAAGGAGAATGGGACTTTTCGCGGGTGGGAGAGGAGGCAGGCCGCGGCCTACGCGGTGGTTCGGACATGATGAGTTCTCCAGGAAGAAAGAATGTCAGTGGGTCGGTGGTCACACAACAATTCCATTGTGGCATCCTTAACATACCTTTGCTATGATCTATTTGTTCTGCCTCATGGGAAACTTAGCAATTTTGTTTTTCTGAATGGAGGAATAGGTGTGAATTGAAAACCAGCGCCCGCGCCGTGTCCCTAAGCTGTACTCTTCAAATGTGTGCCGTGAAAGACCCTGGTGAAGATATCGTCTATTGCGTATCGAACGACTTTGAACAGACACGACCGATCGTGTGAGATTGCTCGTCACCTTAATGGTGATTATGGTTAGTTGTGGGTGAAACGACGAGTTGGTTGCCGAAGAAACTGCGCCACAGATTGCTTTGGCTGGTTCGAGCGAAAGACAAAGATGCACGGGGTGATCGATTGCTTGTGCAAAGATGGTCAAACGAGAGTGATTGAGATGGCAAGTGAACGTACATGTGCTAAGGAGAACGTTGACAGTGAGGGAGCAACACAGATGGACAAATGCAGCAATAGGTAGAGACGAGAACTTGGGCCACGACAAGACAAGGATTGGGGGAAGTCTAGCTGTGGCACTGTGTCGCCGGGTGCTTCTAGTTGTGGAGAGACGACAACAAACGATTCGTTGCTTGTCCGATGGAGTTGCTATACCAAGTGTCTGGATTGGTTACGCCGACTGGGTGCCGCCGGCCTTAGCGCATCATACGAGGTACAGGAGAAACAAGAGGCCACCTTCCAGAGGCGAAATAGAGATATTCTCCGAACTCAATTCAATGTTTTGTTTTTTTGCCTCCTCCTTCTCCTGAGTCTATGGAGCACAAGTCTACCGAGCGAATCCCCCTGAACCAGTGTCTTCAACAGAGCATATGAGGACAAGAATGTTGATTCCTTGTGTTCAAGCAGAGATTTCACCTTCCGAGTCATACCCAGAGGTTGATAGCCGCCAAACGATGACCGCTTGCGTGGTCGGGTGGTGAGATCGCCCACTGTTGTGAGGCTCGGTTGTGGCTGAGCTGCGCCATTGACGGCTCCTCTTACGGAGTATTTTTAACCTTGTTGCCCTGACATGGAGATGCGCTTGCCTGGCCCAGTCAGCCTGTCGCCATTGACCTCTGCTGAAACGACTGCACCCATCGACTGGAGCACTCGCTTCCAGCGTTGGGGTCATAGGGAAAGAGTTGACCCTGAATTGGGACAGCAGATCTGTGTTGCCGTGATAAACTGTTACTCGTCGTAGTAGTTGAACCGACAGACTGAAGTAACGGACAGCCCACCTCGAGTTACAAGGTCTCAATGCCGCAGTGGACAATGTCTCAGTCTTCCGAGAAAAGGATATGACTTACCGTTGGAGGAACCATCTCATATTACATGCTCGTACACCCCTTTCTGATCGAATACGGCCTGCAGTCATCCGGATTCCTGACGGGAACAAACTGGTGATTATTAGTAGGCACTATTACGTCTCTCGTCTGACCACCTTTTGTTTGCGCCAGGCGAGACGGCGACCAGCCTGAGTTGAAGCCGTTCCGGTGGTTTTGGGGGGTTACAAATACCTAGGTAGGCTTGTGGGTAGACTGTGTGGGCTTGCCGCGCCTTTCCGGAGCCAATTTTCAGTTTCAGAGCCTTGGTCCCTTACCTAGCTGGGCAGTGTACCTACTCTAGGGGATGAACCACGGAACCAGGTTCTTCTCCAGGCGCCACATGGTCAGCCCATGGCAGCACTACTCGTACTCACGCTCGCAATGGCTGCTAGGCGCACTAGCCTAAACCTCGGGCATGCCCGCACTTTAATTCCCCCTCCCATACGCCCCTTGCTTGGTACCCGGTAAGCCTAGTGGCCCAAGATCTGGGTCAGCGCCAGGGAAGATCTTGCTCATCTCTCCCTGCATACCTAAGTACGTATGCCGTATTATTCTGAACATCTTCTGCTCGCACAACTCGTGGTGCTTCAAAGCGACAGAACAAATCCCAAGTGCACCGTCAAAGGTCTCGGGCTTTGTTTACAGGACAAAGCCTTCGGCTTATTTTAGTCACAGAAGTAAAGAAGGCATCCGCTGTCTGCCGGTTAGGAAAAAGGAGAAAGAGCCCTCAATAGGAAAGGCGAGGGAGACAGGACATTCAGTAGTCATACCTAGTAGTCGTCCAGAGTGCCAGTGGTGGGGATGTCTAACTCGCTCTAGCCCTCTACCACCCTTCGCTCCCTTACCAGCATCTCCTCCCATCGAAATTCTTAGTCGTGGTCACACTCACTCAGGCACTGGCAGCCCTTTCGTCCACCGACCCTCCACCCTTCCTTTCCCAACTGTTTCTCTTCCTTGTTCATACTGTCCCGTACATCTGTGGTTCATTTCCGTCACTTCCTAGCTGCTAGGGACATCGTGTCGACCTCTGTTTTTCTCCGGACAATTACTATCTTTTGGAGCCTGCGTCTCACGCTGTTGGCGCTGCAACGCTACTGCATTCTTTCTAAGACTTCATCAACGCGGGCCTTAGGAGCCTTGTCCCCGTTTCTTTCGTTTCAGTCGGGGAATTCACATTCCAGCCTCTCGCCAGCGGGTTCGTATTCACTCCGCAACCGTCTGTCCAGTTGTCCAGCGAACGAACTGTCTGCTGCGCTCAACCCTCATTTTCCATTCCACGAAATTCCCCCCAGATGTCGACATCCTAGCATAGTTTCTTCTGCGTCAAGATGGCTGAACTAGCGAACCATCCTCTTCCCCCAGCTCCTCCGCCTGCCATCTACTCCCCTCCTTTACGAAGCGACAGTCTCAGGATCATAGAACCCATGGAAGAGCGGGGAAATGTACATATACCTATGGCCAAGCAAAGTAATTCCCAGTCGAGACAGATGAGCTACCCTTCGATATCCATGTCCCCGGCGGACACACGACCAACGGACGATGTGCATGCTCTCGCGGACGCTGCCGCCGAAGTCCAAATCCACCCTCCTGAAACTGCCATGTCCAGAACTCCTGATCCTGTGGCTCCGAATAGGACTCTGACTCCTCAGCCGTCCTTGCACTTCGATCCCAATAGGCTCTCTCCCACACCTCAGGCAATGTTCCGAGGACGATCTGGAGATGGCGAGCCAGTGGGTGCCGACCATCGAAGAGTCTCGTCGGAAAATTTCTCTACCCGAGATGGCATTGAATTGACGCCTTTTCAAAAGAAGTCCATGCGGCACGCATCAACCTCTGCCATTGATCCAGACATCTCTGCTGCCACTTCCGAGCCGCTGAGGTATCACCACCAGTGGGCAGAGGATGCTGACATGACGTCCCTGAACAAGCGAGCCTCGAAGTTGACCATTGCCACGGATGGCTCTGGAGGAGACAGCATCCGCAATAGCATCTATGGCAGAAGCATGCAAAGACCTGATTCGGGATTCTCAAGCACTTCCGACTTCCGCGGGCGGACCAACTCACCGCATGCCTCCCCCGCTGGTCGGCCTATCTCGCGCAGTTCGAGGTCGCCCGACACACGGCCACTGTCGTACGTAGATCTTTTGAACGTCCCATATCCCCAGCCCGCACCAAGCGGAGCAGAACATCTGGTGAATTCGGGGTTGCGATCGGTTGTGGGGACCAATGCCTCGTTAATGTCCACGAGGAAGACATTGGAGATGTATCGGGCAAATGTGAAGAAGACCCAAGACCCTGCCGTCCAGTACGAATTTGCCATCTTTATGATTAGCGCTGCGCAAGAGGAGGGTCTAGAGTCTGACGCCGTGTCCGACGCGGCACTGTCAGAGAAGTCACATACATCGGTCCGCGAGGATCTGTTAAAGGAGGCCAAGCATATTCTACAAAGATTGGCAGATCGGTCATACCCCTTCGCGCAGTACTACCTTGCAGACGGGTACGCTTCGGGGCTATTCAACAAGGGTAAAGAAGACTGGGATCGTGCGTTTCCACTATTTCTGGCGGCGTCGAAACATGGTCATGCCGAGGCGGGATACCGCACTGCATTGTGTTACGAGTTTGGTTGGGGCTCACGGGTGGATGCAGCAAAAGCGGTCCAATTTTATCAACACGCTGCAAGCAAGAACCATCCTGGGGCCATGCTTCGGCTGGGACGAGCATGCCTTACGGGTGACATGGGCTTGACCAAGCGATATCGAGAGGGTGTGAGATGGCTTAAGCGAGCTGCAGAATCAGCTGATTTCCAGTACAACCAAGCACCTTTTGATCTGGGCTGTCTACACGAGACAGGCTTCGGACCCGACGTCTTCAAAGACGAGTCGTACGCGGCCCAGTTATACACAAAGGCAGCCGATCTAGGGCACGTCGAAGCGAATTACCGCCTCGGCGAGGCATACGAATATGGACAGCTGAATTGCCCAAGAGACCCGGCCCTCAGCATCCATTTCTACACCGGAGCCGCAGAACGTGGCCATGCACTGTCACAAATGGCGCTGTGCGCGTGGTACATGGTGGGGGTTCCGAATGTTCTGGAGAAAGACGAAGCCGAAGCTTATGAATGGGCCAAAAAAGCCGCCGAACAAGGATTGGCAAAGGCGCAATACACTGTTGGCTATTTTACTGAAATGGGCATTGGATGTCGCCGTGACCCGCTTGAGGCCAACGTCTGGTACGTCCGAGCAGCGGATCAAGGAGAGGAGAGAGCCAAACATCGAATTGCCGCCATCAGGGCTGCCGGGGCAGGGGCAGACCCTCTTACGGCAGCAGCTGCGAAGAAGGGAGCCTTGACCACCAGTAAGAGCACGGGGAATATTGGACCTCAGGGTGAGAAAGCCTGGAGCATCTTTGGCCACTGAAGACTGGCAGCGCTAACATTGACACTAGCAGACGGAGAAAAGAAGAAGAAATTTGGGATCTTTTGAGAATGAGACGGGCAGATACAGCATGCAGCGGGCCAACCAATATTTTGGTATATAATCCGCATTCTGGCTGGGAGGTTTATCATGGCATTATCGAGGACGAATGCGTGCATGGGCTACTGTACTGTATTTGGAGGGAAGGAGGCGAATGGCGTCCATCTAGTTTTGCTGCCTTGCAAGGGCCACGACCAGCTAATGCACGGGGAAAGAAAGAGAAAGGGGGCGCATTTTTCAAACGAAGTGAAGCGGGAGACGCACGATCCCGGCAATTTCAAAGCATAGCGAGGCGGGAAAAAACAAAAAGACATTTTCATGGGTAATCATGGGCCGGAGACAGAGAAAATGTGAAGGCGAATCAGGAAGCTGTTCGATGATGGATGAAATTGGATGGCTATCTCCTGACGGGAGTCAGGTATTCGATTTGATCGATCCAGTTGCTGTGGCCATTCTTCGACGACGGTGGTGTTATTGAAAGAAACTTGAAGAATCTCACTAGAGACCAGACGAGAGGAGACCAGACCAGACCAGATCCGTCTAATTCGAGATGATTGTCGAGTTTTGAACTCGTTGTTCATGTCTCTATATTATCTGCATGATGATTCCTAATCCCATTCCATTATCTAATGTCGTCAATAGGGGGCCATCTACGTTGATACCTAACTATCCCCTTATCCCCCATGTTATGGTATAGTATAGTAAGGTAAAGTATGCAATGCAAATCTAGAATCCCTTTTTTTTTAAGTTCATGTGGTATAGTCATAGAATGTATACATTAATACAATGTTATAGACAAATTGGGGTACTCTTGAAGGAAATACGTCAAGAAATGCTCAAACACAGGCCCTGCTGCCAGGCCCAGTCGTGTCCAGGACAAGATTCCCTCGTACCCATGGAATGAAGCGCCGTTCCTTAGCAAAATGCAAAAAATGAATCCAACCCCCGTTGCACCAGTTCCGTGGATCCATTGCAAAACGCCCCCATTTTTGTGGGCCCCCTCCTTTCAGCTGATCAGAGCTGGGCCGGACGGCCTCGTAAATGCGGAAGGATGCTTGATTTCAAAAGTCCATATCGACGTCCGAGGGTCGAGAGTAGACGGTTTTATTCCCTTTTTTTTTTTTTCAAGCCTTGTTGAACTTTGAGCGGATCTTTGCGCCAAAGAAGTAGAAGGAGAAGGGGATCAGGACCATGCCGACGCCGATGAAGGCGAGCAGCCAGCTGGCCCAGTGCAGGCCGAGGCGGTGGTACATTTGGGTGGTGAACAGTGGGAAAGCGGCGCCGCCGCCGCTTCTCAAAAACACCTTGGCGGCCAGGGCGGAGGCGGCGTACTTTTGGTACGAGTCGATGATGTAGTTGTTGACCGAGTAGTAGCAGAGGACCATGCCGAAGCCGAACGCGATGCCGCTCGACGCGGGGCCGACCCAGATGATGCCGTGGTAGGAAGTGGCGCCGAGGATGAACAGGGAGATGGGGATGAAGGGCGCGCCGAACATGGCGCCCATGAGGCGGTCTTCGGCCGTGGGGTCGCGCTGGGCGCAGATGCGCTTGAACTGCTTCTCGAACTGCGGCGTGGCGACCAGGGCGAAGGCGGCGCCGATGATGATGGGGATGAACATGAGCCCGATCTGGCCGTCGTTGTAGCCGTACAGCTCGCCGAAGATGACCGGGTAGGCGAAGAAGAAGGCGTACAGCATGGCGTAGATGAGCACAATGTACATGCACATCAGGTCCAGGACGGGCTCGGTTATGATCATGTTGATGGGCCGCACCAGCGACGTCTTGACCACCTCCTTCATGGTCAGCTTGGTCTTCTCCTGCTCGGTGATGATGTTGGGGTCGCCGGTCTCCTTGCGGAGTCGCGCCGCGCGCCGCTTGAGGATCACGGGAGCGTACGTCTCAGGGATCAGGCCCATGACCACCAACATGAAGCCCGCATACCCCAGATTGACCCAGAAGAACAGGTTGAGGCGGCCCGTGCCAACGTTGATCCAGCCGGCGACGATGGGGCCGATGACGGGGCCCGCGTAGGGAGCCGCGGCGAAGTATGCGATGGCCATGCCTCGTTCTTCAATGTTCCAGATGTCGGCGATGGTGCCGCCGGCGAGAGACAGGCCGGAGCTGGAGAAGACACCGCACAAGAACCGCGAGACCAGCAGGCCGCCGATGTTGGGGGACAGCGCGCAGGGGATGTTGAAGATGGTGTACAGGAACAGCGAGATGATGTAGACGGGTCGTCGGCCGATAATCTCGGACAGCGGACTCCACAGCAGCGGGCCCACGGCGAACCCGCAGACCATGATGGAGCAGGTCAGGATGGCGACTTCGAGCGAGACGTTGTACCTGTCCTCAATGAGGCTCAGGCCGCCCGTAACCACCGACGAGCCGAACGCGACGCAGACGACCAGAGACGACGCGGCCATCGTGATGTACCACCGAAAAAGCCGCGACCAGTTGTGCGGGTTTTCCGGGTCGTTGATCTTGAACGTGACGAACTCGACCGGTTCCTCGACCCCTCGCTTTTCGAGGTCCGGCTCTGAAGGCGTGCTGGTACGGGTCCGGGTGCGGGTCCGCCTCCGCGAAGGCACCGTCGAGACTCTCGATCGGATCTCCTCAAGGGTCTGTTCTGGTACGAGACCCGTCGCTGTCTCGAGCGTGTATTCTTCGGGGAAGATGGGCTCCTCGGGCCGGCCAAGTTCGGGGTAGTTGGGGTCCAGGGGAGGAGGTGTTTCTGAGATGCCACGCTCAGCGAGGGTCGCCCGGGTCTCTGTTCGGAGAAGTTGGAGGTTGAGCGACTGGTGTTGGGCGAGTTCGGGGCTGTGGGTGCCCTCGGGAGGATTCTCCCGTGTGACTTGTCGAGACATGATTGCGGAGGTTAGTATACTATGTGTATGAAGGTGTTGGCCTTGGGTGTTGGAAGCGAGTGGTGGTGGTGTTGTGTGTGGGATAGGACAGAGTCCTTTCGGTACGGTACAATTGAACGGGTGTCAATGTGTCAATGCTATATCAGCAGCAGTGAGTGTAGCGGCAAAGGGCGGACAGGGTGCTGTCATATATACTTCATGGGCTTGCATTGGGCGGGCAAGGCTGCGATTTGAGGTCAGGGCATTTTTCCGGATCTGGCTGAGCCGACAATTCTCCGCCGACGTATCGCCGTGCGCGATTTGTCTGGCTCTTCTGGCTCCTCTGGCTCCTTTTCACTATTCCACCCCCAAGCCATGGCCGTTGGATGGCCGTGAATGGCTGGATGAGGCGACGTCATTGCTAATCATGCATCCCCAAAGCGGCCTCGTCTCCTGGCGGTGGATCGCACATGCTTTGTCTGTGGCTCTCGTGCCTTGTACCACATTTTCCCGGATGGTACCTGGCCTCTCAAACGTTTGCCCGCCGTCCAAGCGATTGGCCCTCCTGGTGCCTCTACTGCAGGAAGAGCGCCCAGCTCTCCTTATCGCGTTCAACAAACCTCATACCTAGGGGCAGAGATTTTTCCCCTGTTGAGACACGACCTCGTTCCAGCAAGCTGAGTTGCTGTTTCCACGGTGTTCAAATGGCGGGTCAGCGTGGATTGCTGCTAGCCGTGAGATAACTTCAGGGATGAAATCCTGCAAACCCATCTGCTTCGCCTTCACACTGACCTTTCCTGGCTGCGTCTCAACATCCGTGCCGTGGACGCACTAGGATGGCAGAAAAGCTGATGTGGTTTTCCCCGCGCATCAGAGATCTCAGAGATCCGGTGCACGTTTCCCGGATCCAGACGAAAATGAATCAATCAAGGCATCCAGGCAACCAATGGGATATCTCCCGTACGGACTCTGCGGCCGCTTTGGCAGTTGAAAAGCCGCTAGGCGTCGCTCATAGCGCGCTGATTTGGTGAAGCATTCCTCGGAGCTGGGACAGCAACTAATGACATAAACAGGTGTTGCCAGATCCACGCCTACCTCTTGATGGTGAAAGAAGCAGGATGAGTCAGTCAGATGCGTGAGGCAAGGAGGAGCATGTTCGGACCAAGCCTGCCATGCCTCCCAGCTACGAGGGACAGTACCTATGAGGCCTAAAGCTAAAGCAGATCCAGAGCCCGAGGTCTAGCTCGGTGGACATTCGCATCAAGGGGCTTGCCGGACACCAGTCCTTCACTTTGGTGGCTTGGTTAATAATCTGTTTCATCGTTTCCGGAAGAGTAGGATATAGCCTGCACATCTCGATGATGTCGTGCTGCGTCCTGTTCAAAGCTTCGTTACTCTACCTTCAAGGGCCTGCCGCTGTTGAGATGCTGCACAATTTGGACCATTGTAAAGTTGTGCGTTCTTGTCTCCCTCAAAGAGTGAAAGGCAGGGAGTTGTCACGGATCCATCATCCGAACGATAGACAAAAAACAAGTCCAGAATTGACACCAGTGGAGACCCGAAGCCTAGATCTGCATGCCAAGTCTGGTGCGGCACCGGAAAGTTTCGAAATCAGCAGTGATTCATTCCACCCTCACGATTGAGCATCTAGTAGTATCATGAGTTTTCTCGTTCCCTCTGTTCCTCCTCGAGGCTGGATCCGGCGTCAACGAACCTTCCCCTCGGAGACGATATCCTAGCGGACGATGATGGCCTCCCGGGCAGACAATATTGACTACATGAACGCGAAGAAAGAGAGAGGAAGTTGAAGATATATAAACTCTGAAAGTGAAGAATATCTTTCCATCCGCAGGGTCAAGAAAAGGCTCGGATCAGCGCGACTTTGGCTACGCGCAGGGTGTCGTGCCGGAGACGTTGTAGTGTTACGCAGCCTAGTGGAGGGACCTGGACGTCGCAGGCCGGGTTGGTTGCCTACTCTGCTACACAGGGAACGGTCGTCCTTCCTTCGCAGGGCTTTGCGGACCACAAGGACTCCTTGTGAGTGAAACCAGGCTCATGGAAAGACTAGAAGTCTGCAGGTTGAGAGAACAGACTCCCAACTAGAATTCAACTCAGTCAAGAAAGAGGCTTGGTGCATGGTCTCGCCACGCATCACGGCATCCGTCGCAGCCGCTAAGAGGGACGAGCACCCGATTTTAGTGAGATTCCTGATCAAACGTGCCGAAGCGACCACAGGGCACGTTCATCTCAAAATTCCTTCATGGGCCCAAATAGCTGAGTGATGCTTCTAGGCTTGAGCAGGTTTGCGCGACTGATGCATGGGCACGGCTTTTTTGCCAGTGCTGTTATTGCTTCGTCACATTTGATAGAGCATCCTGTCGGCTGTATTTTGGAGATGTCGTCGTATTCTGTGTAAGACTGTGCCACTTCTTTCTGAGCATCAACTCGCTAGATAGATTTGTCAAACCCAGAGGATCCACAATCGAGGGCGCAACAATTTCAGTCCTCGCTTGCTCGTCAAGTCTAACTTGCGGAAGACTGCACATGCACCAAGGACATTCCCGCATTGACTCGTGTGAATGGCTCTCTGTCGCGTGCCACTGCCACGAGGCGAAAATGTGGCGATAACTCGGAGTAAGATACTACTAGCCTAACTAGGTATTTTGCAGATTGACCAAAAGTATTAATAGAGAAAACTTATTTGGGAAAAAAATAGAGGAAAAATAGAAAGGACGCATATCCGCCGTGTGGCGGCACCCGGAATCGAACCTTTGCGATTATTAGTATCTTCCGATAGTCAAGAGATTAACAAACAGTGTACATACCGGGATCGGATCGGAGCTGGACACGCCTTGGGCGTCTACCCAGAGAAGGGACTCTGGAGAAGACAGGCGCAAACCACAACGATACATGCTGACCATTACACCATGCCACCGCCCTATTTTCAGACCAGTTTTGGGCATTATAATATATGGATGTGTCGTCATAGGTAGCCGAGGTATGTGGGGTTCGAGTGGGGAGAAACGGCTCGTTCGCCGATAGGAATCTAATCTTATCCTCAGCTTCTAAGAGACATACTCGGTTCTTGTGGACAATAGCATTTCAAAAACATGAGTATCAGGACAATTAGAAAGTATGCCGAAATTGTGACCTGTAGCCATAGAGACGGTGCAAGCTCATTCGACAAGATCGCTTTGGAACACTACCCCGCAGCCCCGGGCAGTCCCATGTGCACTCTGGGCTTGCTTCCCTTCCTCGACGTTCTCAGTGTGGGCGCAGACAAAATGCGCTCCATGTTCATCTGTCCGCCTGGCACTGAGGACTTTTGCACCGGGTGAAGATCTCGGGTTTAAATGCGGTGGTCCGCCTTGGGCACAAGGGTTTGTACACCAGCATGCGGCAGTGGCAGCCAACACTGAGATCACACCGATAACACGCGGTAACCTGATCTCCATTGCAGTCGCTTTGGAGACTCTGACCGGACGCCCCGACTCGAACCCCTTCACAACAGGATTTCAAGAGCTAGGTCATTATCGACACCCAAGACTCTGCTTGATGTTCATTTCCACTTAACCGTGACCGCTTGAAACTGGCTCGACTTCCAGACGTGCCCTCAGAAGAACACACTGCTTCCAAAGACAGATAGTCAAATCTTGGACTGGTCAGAGCAACATCCGATCGCGGGGAATACGAGTTAGCTTGCAAGGAACTAAGTGGTCTCCATTGGCTATAGCTCGAAAGGATCACCATAGAGGCCATTTCAGGAGGGGCGGGAACGGATGGGACAGGTCATCCGTAGACCAGGCCACGGCAAGGATCTGCCTTGTACTGGACTCAAAGCCGTCAAGCCCTTCTGCATTTCACATGCTCGCCTCGTAAGTTCTGCTCAGGCTCATAGTAGGCTTGGGATCTTTCCGTCTTGACTTCCCAGGCCAGACAGTCTTGGCTGATGGCCAACATTCTTCAGTCTTGAGTTGGCTAGGTTTGTATACGGCTTCTCCGCAGGAGATTTGGTTTCGCCCGCGTCAGTCCAGAAACACTAGCAAGGTTGTGTTGTCTGCATATTCCTGCCCAAAGTCAGAATCCTATCCGGCACGCAACGGGCCTAATTGATGTGATGTCTGATATGTCTGGAAATGCAATCCCGCCATGCAGTAATAGGTGGCCGATTTTGGTCTAGACTCTACTAAGGGCGCTTGGTGGTGGAACACGGGCCAAGGAATTCCCTCTCATTGCACCACATCTTCCCGCGCTGATCTTAGCCAGTGGTCGTGACGCTAAGTGTGACCCTTCACCGCACTCACTCCCCCCGGGCAATTTGACATCACATCGCTGGCTCAGTGTCGACCCTCTGGCTCCAAATTGGAGACAATCCAAGCTCACGTATCCACTCGAGACTTGCAGCGGGAGGGGAAAGAGGAGGAGGGTGGCCTGTCATGAAGAGGAGGTTACTCTTGATTATTGCACTGAGCAGTCGAGACTCCTTGGATCGACAATTGTTAGGACAATCGCCGATTGAAATCGCCGAGGCGCGGATAAGTACGAGGTACTCGGGAGTGAGTAGACGATTGTACTTCGGAAAGGCAAGGGTGCGCGAGTTGGTCAAAGACTGTCTGGCTAACGAGAGCTTTGTCCAGGTGGCTTTGGGACAAGCGCCAATGACTGGGCGTATGCCTGCTGGACAAGGGGCTTGCCAGGCAGTGTGGCTGCTGGACAGAGCACTGTCACCCAACCACGGCGGAGGAATGGTGCCTCGAAGACAAGGGGAGGGCCAGAGCTAGCTAGGAGCAACATACGAGGGGGGACGGTGACTAGCGGTGAAATGTGCATTTGGAATCAACTGGGGGCAAGGGTGTGGACTGGGAAATGAGGTGCAGACAATATGCAGAGGCAGACGTAAGTGGCAGGTGAAGTGCATGGTGCATGGCGGAAGTCAGGATGCTGTGTGTGAAGAGGTGAAGAGGCTGCAGAGGCTGCATGAGAATACGAGGCGTGCGAGGCTAGTGCATGACGATGGCAGGTTTGTGGCTTTAGCTGAAATGCTCTGCAGTAGAATCACATATAAATACTACGGCGAAGCACAAGATGCCCTTGCCCCACTCCCTCATCTCGAGACTTTCGAAGTCGACGATACACGACTCGCACCCTCTTTGGATCAGACTAATGCAGCCATCCTCTCCCAGTTCCGTGGCCCTGATGGCCCCAGTTTCCCTCCCTTGCCTCTCAATCGGTTACGCACTCTCTTGTGCAAAGCTTTGCGCCGTCTTGCCGGACAAGCTTTCCCCGGCCATGGATTCTCCTCTTGCTCCATCGACTAACCTCCCGCTTCGCAACTCTTTTCTGGCTTCAGCTAATGTACGAAGTACATCTATCCCTCTGCAATCTTCTAAACAACCCTACCTCAAGCGCTGCTTCTCTCCGAGTAAAAGGACAGGACATGATCTCACCAGCTTTCTATATCCTTGAGAGTCTGTAAAGCTAAGCCGCCCTCGTCTCTCATGTCTCCAAAGGATATAGACCATAACAGCCGTTCCAAACGCCACAAGACAGAGCTCGCTTGTGATACGTGTCGCAAGAGAAAGTCGAGGTGTGATGGTCGTCGTCCTTCATGTACCCACTGCGAGAACATGGCAATGGAGTGTATTTATCGACCTCCTTTGACCAGCATGGAGACGTGAGTACCCCCATCAAGCACCGGCTGAAGAGAGGAGTGACACACTGACCCCGAATCCTAAGGGATGCATCCGTTCTGGCTCGGATCGCACACATTGAGGCGCGCCTACAAGCCATTGACCAAGGTCGAATGGATCAGGGTCTCGCGGCTACTTCTGCTAAGGAGACTCTGGTTATCAAGCCCTGGCCACGGGTCCCATCATTCCACCATGCTGCCGCTCACAAAATGTTCAACTACTGGGCACACTTGACCGTCAAACTCCGCATCCCCGGTCTGGAGCCACTTGCATACGTCGGCCAGGTAGACGACAACGGGACAGGTCTCTTTAGTGCTGGGTTCGAAACCCCAGCTCCTGCAGAGATCCCTGTTTCTGTCGTGATCAGATGCATCGAATCCTTGTTTGCAAATATCGAGGGCCTGCCATTCGTCTTCAGGCATCTCTTCTTGTACGGAGGATTGTCGTTCGAAGCATGCGTTGATATGTTTCGCCGACACATGGGGCCGCCTCCAGGTCATGACGTCCTCCTCGCCTTCAATAAACAACCCATCGAGGAGCTCCTTGTGCAGGCCATAGCTCTCAAACATACGGCCATTGTTGCAAGAGAAAGGATGCTGGGTGACCAAGCAGATCTCTCCTTCAGGCATGCACTCCAACAAGTGTGGGTGGTGCAAGCCCAGCAAACCCCCCAAGCACTACCCTTCAGACTCTTGTTCGTCATCATGCTGCTCTATCTGTATGGAAGACCTCATCATGCCTTGGGCATCCTGCAAAATCTCGAACCTCTTGTTTGGAACACCGCCCCAAAACCCCATGATAGCCCGTAAGTGCGCGTCCACGAACGTTTATTCGGTGCCCGACTGACCGCCTTTAGTGCGACCAAGGCACAGTATGAAGCTTACCTATATCTGTACTTTATCCTGGAAAGGTATCCCATGCCGAATCTTCGCTATGGTTGTATTCTAATGTCGATCAGCGATATCCTGAGCGAAATAGACGGGGTTCCCTCGGACCGCCTACACACCGTCATTGTTGCGGCATTGAACCGGACTACGGCGGTCACGGTTCCTCAAGTACTTGGGAACGAGCCGATCCAGGCATCGGTAGACAATTATCAGTCCCTGGAACTCCAGACGCACTTACAGCTCAGAGCTTATATGAACACCATTCTCGAACACATGTACAGTGCCCAGCGAGCTTATTGCCGTCCTGATGAGGTTGCAGGGGTCATTACGGAGATTGGACGACGTTTGGACCTGTGGTATTGGAACCTTCCCCTGAACCTGAGATTTCCCCGACACCCGTCGTCCTTCCGTCTAGCATCAAACAATGTGTCGCACCTCCTGGTAAGCGAAGATTCCCTGTCTCCCATGCAATTTCCTCATGCTTCCAGGACGAATTGAGATTTCGATACTACGCAACTATATTCCTCGTCAATCGTCCTATCTTATACCATGTGCTACACGCAAGATATCAGAACGCCGTCAGCGCCACCAACGCCACCAACGCCGGCCCCTCCGTACAGGATCCTATCCTGGATCCGTGGGTATATGAGTCTTGCCATAATTGCGTGCAGAATGCGACCATGATCATTCTTCTGCACTCAAAAAGACATGAAACGACCCGTCACGAATATTTTGAGAGTTGGAGCAACCTTCAGCATCTAATTGCCGCATATGCAATTATACTCCAGGTTCAGGCATCGGCGATATCAATCCTCCTCCAAGGCTACGGAGATCCGGAACAGTTACTTGACCTTGCTGATGCCGCGCTTGAACACGGCTTGAATAGGCCTCCAAACGTTCGCGAGTCTTTGGGTATCCTCAGACACATCCGAGAGAATTTTAGGAGGGACACGCCACGCACTCCGTCAAGCACTAGGTGCCGCATCACTTCACCTGTGCAATCTGTGGCGAGCCACCAGAGCCAGCCCGGCAGTAGGAGCTAGTGCTGCCGTTGTCTCGATCTGGACCAGAGGCACATCGCATGCTAGGAAGCTTCCATAAAGGAATATCAGCCATTGGCGCTTTCGGGATATGGTGAGCCGGTCAAATGACGTTTGCCTCTCCAGAAACGCAAGACCAACCTCCAAGAAGGAATCACAAAACGCTTCTTGATCGGACTAATTGAGAATTACGGCACTCCTTCAGGGAGCACTTCCCGATCGTATTGGACCCGTACGCCTGCAGCAGGTCAGATCTCATCCATTCAAGGTTCTGTGGAGACATTACTTTCGGGGACGGCACCACCGTTCTTTGCTAGTCTGGGTGCCAAACTCAGTTTGCCCAGTACAGCAAAGGAGGAGGCTCCACCAGCCGCGGGAATGTTGTTTGCAAGTCCATTCTTGCACGCGAAGGCCAAGGTTGCAAACTTGATGGCCTCCTTGAATGGAGCAGGAAGCCCATGTTCATCGCTGGTGCGAAGGTCAACTCCGTGCAAGGCCAACCTCTCCCTCAGGTGCCCCATAAGCGTGTCGTTCTTGATGCCTCCTCCACTGGCAATAACCGTCTTTACAGGCGCTTTGGGAAGTATGAAGTCAACCACCGATCGCTCGATTGCCTTTGCCGTGAAGAGTGTGAAAGTCGACAATAAATCCTCGGTTGATGCATCCTTGTAATCTTCCAGGATTTTATCCGCATACTGGCCGCCAAAGTCCAATCGCCACGCTGAACGGGGTGGCTTTCGGAGGAAGAATTGATGTCCTTCAAGCCTCTCCAAAAGCGTGGCAATGACCTGACCTCTGGCTGCCAGGGCACCACCAGCATCATACGATTTGCCTTCTCGGACTTTCATCACATGGTCAATCATCACATTGCCCGGACCGGTGTCGAAGGCCATCATCTTATGCCGATCTGCGTCAGCGAGCTGCACATTGGCAATACCCCCTATATTCAATGAAACAATGGGTCCTTCATTCCGGAATGAGCAAAAATCGAGGTATTGCATCAGCGGCGCTCCTGAACCTCCCAATGCATGGTCGATTGGTCGAAATTGTGTGACGGTTGTGATGTCCGTTAGGGCTGTGACAACACCTGACTCGACGATAAACAGGCCGCATGGAGACCCACCCTTCGTCCACCGATCAACCAGGCTCCGGCTCCCACTTGCGATATATCGGCTTTCCTTTTCTCTGTCTGGAGGCTCTTGATAGATTGTTTGGCCGTCGTAGCCGACAACCTCGATGTCTCCTGGTTTCATTCCAACCTTGTCGAGCAGCTTGTTTGTTATCTCGGCATATGCGGCACCGGCAGCATAGTTGAGCCTACACAAGGCAAAAAGCGGGAGCTCGTTGGAGAAAGCCCGCAAGACATCGGGCTGCAACTCCTCTGGCCACGGTTCGGAGATACCATCAATATACTTTGGACGATTTGGATGGCCATCCGCTGCAACATCAATGCTGCACAAAACAGCATCGATTCCATCGAAAGAAGAACCACTGTTGAGCCCAATGATATACGGCATCTTGCATTGATAACCGCAATCGCAACGGATACCTTTTCTTGTGAGGGGTTGGCTTTCGGCGGGGTCAAGTCCGCCTCGGGCTTTGATTGAAAATCTCGTGGAAATAGTTTGAAAGTCTCGAGGGATAAAGGCCGCCTGAGGACGGGTATTTGTAGGAGTTATGAATGCTCATTGTCCCAGGAAGTTTGTTGGCTTAGGAAGCACAGAGTGGACCTGTGACACGCTTCCTGGATATCGAACCATATGCCGACAACCTCTCTGGGCCTCCAACGGATTTTCAGAGTTCGATTCTCTCCCCAATCGGGGGTCCGCCGACGGGGAGATTCCGACCCGTGTATGATTTATATAGTGGTGACACGGACAGCATTTATTGAAACATATTTCGTAACCGGCTGCACATGTTTGGTTATTGTTTCTCAGAGCTTACCTCTCGAGCGCGGTGATTGAATTGCCACAGCTGCGGACTCATAATATAGGGGTCAATTTCCCACCATGTCGAAAAATATCCTTGTCAGAGAGCGAGCACACTCCACGGGACAATCTCTTGGGACGTGCACTTTGGTCGGCCAGTTCGTCTACAAGATGGAGGAATCTTACAGGAATGCGCGGAGATGGAGCAGTACCAACAGTCGTCCTCACAGAAGAACCAACCCTAAACCTCCCTTCCCTTCGTCCATTTCTGCTCTCGAGTCATCCTTAGCATGACGTTGATAGACCCTTGTGTGGGCAGAGATCAAATCTCTTCCTACGCATTCCAGCGCGAGTCTGGGGCATTCTTTCTTCATGTTCACTTCCTCACGGTGGCACTCTCGTTGCTCAGAACGCCCGGGTAGCTCTTCGATCCACTTTGTGAAGCTGTTGGACTAGCACACCCGTGTTTTCTCATCGCTGAAGGTCTATTTATTTACTAAAAGTATGGTTTAAGGTCACCGGGTTGTCTGGTATTGCCGTCCTCAGCACTTGATCCACCTGACTCCGAAGGCAACATGGACGGGTATTTCACATTGGACCCTCGAGGGCAATATCTGCCATTGTTTTTAGACGTTTGGAGGGCAGTTCTGTTCTGGTCATCCGCACTCAGAAGAGACCCTGCATACTCTGGTAGGCAAGCCACTAGCCTTTCTCAGGCTGATAAGGTGCTCGTTGTCAGGGTGTTCGGCTCGAGATGTGCAGCCAGACATTTTAAGACTTTCCCAAATTCGAGAAGAGGGTGACCCGCCCATGGAGAATACCTCGACGCCATGACGTTTCCTTTCCGGAGAGAATCGCGTGGTCCCGGATGTGGAAGTTCAGAACGTTCGAAGACGGGAGCAACAACATTGAGGTTCTTGTCCTGGACACGGCACAAAGCCAACCCAGTGGTATTGCGAAATCCGAAAGTCTGGCGTGAAAGGCACACGTCGGGCGATGGACCCTCGTCCCAGAGCGTGTTCAACCTGCAGCTCCAGGACAAAGGACTGTTGCAAGTGAATGGCCCAACCACAGCGGAGGCAAGCAATGCTACTGATCACGCCCTTGCTCTTGGGCTGTCTTACCTTGGACAATCTGACTGCCAGCGATAGCCTCCGGAACCATTCAAAAGGCTCGATGCGAGACGGCTGTTCCCTTCCACACAGTGTGGAAGGACCCGCTGGACCGTCTCCTATCAGTATCCATTCGGGATTCACCCACGCCACATGCGGGGGAGAAAGTGATCAAAGGAATTTCCCTTGTGGCAACATTGATGGCTCTCTTTGGACATGATATCTGGCAAGCTGCGCCCGGATACATGTGCAGAGAAATCCATCGCTGGTTATAGGCTGCGCAATATCCTGGCAATCTTGAAGCTGCAGCATCTTGAGTCCAATTTGATTCGAACACTGAGCCGGCCATTGTCCGATGTGCCACCAGCAGATCGCTTGCCTTCATCGAGACTCTCTGGGAGAGGGAATACCTTCACATTTGCAAGCCTGCATTAGAGGCAAGCTCGGACCACCTTCTGGCCCTTGTCAAGCAATCCGCCCACCCGAGTACCCGCGGGATAGTCTAGAAGTCTAAAGGTTATGCTAAGGTCTCTAGGGTATCCAGATCAGCTAAGTTGCGTCCAGCTGGGCATCCCCCGCTGCCTATCAGTGCTTGAACTACCCACCCGCCGCTATCTCAACTCAAAAACACGCTGGCGCTGGTTGACGCCACTACCCGTCGCCATACTTCAGGAGTCCGGGGGCATGCCAGTTGGCAGACAACCAATGTGCTAACCACCCAAGCGGTGACCAGTCGATCTTTTCTCTGCTCGACCGAGGGACAGTACGAGGTACTGCAGACGGTCTGATGCGGTACCTCTCGTATAAAGCATTGGATGGTCCTTCCAAGGGCCTTTCCTTTGTCCAAGTACCAGCTCAGCAGTTGCTTCTTCAATCACTCTGAGGTCACGGAAACCTTGTCTGCACGTTGGCTGGATCCTGTGACTGCCCATCATGAAGATGTACATATTCAACATCAACTGGGGTCACCACAGGTGGGCCATCTTTTTCTCTGCCGTCTCCACTCTTGGTGCACTTTGTTATGGGTACGACCAGATATACTACACTGGTGTTCTGGGTATGAAAAGATTTGTGCACGACTATGGCACCACCCACGACAAGGACGGAAACATTGCATTGACCACTACCTTTCTCTCGCTCACGGCATCCATCATATACGTGGGAGAACTCGTCGGTGCTCTTCTCTCTGCCCCGATCAACGACTTCTTCGGCAGAAAGGGCGTCTTTCTCTGTGCTTCGGCTTGCATCATTGCTGGAGCCATCACTCAATGTGCCGACCAGGGCTCCATGGGAGTCATTTGCCTGGGTCGGATACTGATCGGGCTCGGTATCGGTCAGTTTACGGTGACATGTCTTTTGTACATTGGGGAAGTGGCGCCGCAGGCGATTCGAGGTCCTGCCCTGATGATGTTTCAATTCATGCAGTCGTGCTCGCAACTCGTTGGCTCAGGGATCACGCAGGGCACGGAATCCATCAGCTCGACTGCTTCATACCGGATCCCGATGGGGTTGTTGGCTCTGCTGCCACTCTTCATGCTCGTGGGTCTCATCATCATCCCGGAATCGCCTGTCTGGTACATCCGTCGAGGTCGACCGGAGAAGGCCAGCAAAGCACTTCTAAAGATCAACCGCAGCATGCCTGGGTACACGCCCGAAGCAGACGTTGCGGCTTTTACGCATATGGTCGAAACCGAACGACTTCGAGAGGCCACGTCAACTTGGACGTCGCTGTTGAGAGACCCCATCGAACGGCGAAAACTCATCTACTCATGTGGTGCGATGGTGGCTCAACAGATCAACGGCATTCAGTTCTTCTACTCGTACGGTGTTGTCTTTGCACAGTCGATCGGCATCAAGCAAGCGTTCACCATTTCCCTTATCACCAACACGCTACAGGTTGTCGCGGTGGGCGTGTCTGTACTGCTTGGCAACAAAGTCCGCCGCCGCGCGAACCTACTGGTCACCACCATCATGATGCTGCTCGCATACATCATCATTGGAGGACTCGGAGCCGGACCGTATACGAAGACCAGCTTCAGCACGACCATCGTCGTCATCTCATACATTGTCATCGTGGCGTTCAACTTCGGCCACGGTCCACTGGCATTCACCATCGCCTCGGAAATGGCCGTCGGGCGCAACCGCAACAAAATCATGAGCTCGTCGATCGTGTCGTTCTTCTTCACCGTGTGGGTTATTGCCTTTACCAGCCCTTACATCTACTACAACGGCGGGCTGGGCCCGATGTTGGGGTTCGTGTACGCGGGGACTACATGCATCACGCTGGCGTACGTGTGGTTCTGTGTGGGCGAGACCACGGGCCGCAGCCACTTGGAGATTGAGCTGTTTTTCCAAAAGCACATTCCTGTGCGCGAGTGGCGAGGGTATCAATTCGACGCTCTCGACATTGTCCACGAGGAGGCCGTGGTCGAGGAAATTCCACAGCAGAGCGTACAGACGACGTCCGAGAAGAGCGCCGTGGAGACGGCGACGGAAAAGGAACTTGCCAGCCCCAGCAGCGGCAGTGTCGCTTTGAAAGAGAAGCACCAGGCTGTCTGAAAAGATGTCCCACATTAGCCCACCTACCACCTTTGACGATAGACCAAGGAAGTACGAAACGTCCAAGGTGATCAGAGCTTGGCGGTTGCGCACACAAGGAAATGGACACGGGCACGGGCACAGCTGAGATAGGCATCCTAATATGCAATGTGTGAAATGTGACATGATGACATGACGGTATACGACATGAGAGGATATAAACAGTATCGAATGCAGCGCAACACGATCTACCTTTTTTTTCCCTTCCCATCTTTCTACGGAGCTTCGAATCTCGTGCATCGTAGGCACCCTTGGGATCTTCACAAGAGGACGCAGTCCTGCATAGCCCTGGGAAGAGCAGCGGCAAGGGACTAGCGCGGAGACTCTTGTATGGATGGCACTCCCGTATGGCGTGCATCGCGTGGTTTCTGGATGGGAAAGGGGACCGAAGAAGTATATTATGCACAATGCAAAGACACGTTGAGCGTTGAGGGAGAGTATTTTCTTCTTGATATGAGGAGACCTTATCCCATTGCTCATTCGTCCTCCATTCGTCCCATCAACCCATCATCCACTTACCTATTTTGATTCTTTTCTTTCTCTCTCTCTTCTTCCCCTGTCTCCCTCCCTCTGACCAGAATCATTTGAAGGCAATCACCTACTTCAACTCCGGCGTCTCCCCGACCTGGAAACTCGCCATAGCCTCAGGATACCTCATGCCCACGACCGTACAGTCCTCACACGCCTTGCGAATCGCTCTATCCTCATCGTCATCGACCTCGACAAACAGTGCCCCAAGATTCTCCTTGACACGCTCCACGCTCCTCGTTCCGGGAAGCAGGTGAATCCCCCGGGGCCACTGGCGCTTCAACCACGCGAGCACAAGCTGACTGGTCGAGACGCGCTTCTTGGCGGCGATTTCCTCCAACTTGCGCACCAGGACGAGATTCTTGTCAAAGTTCTCGGGACGGAAACGGGGCAGTAACGCGCGGAAGTCGCCCTGCACGTCGGCGGCGGATTTGATGGTTCCGGTCAGAAACCCGCGGCCCAGCGGCGAGTAAGCGACCACGGCGACGCCGAGTTCCTTGCACGCGTCCAGGACGCCGTTGGTCTCGATCTCCAATGCCCAGGGCGAGTACTCGATCTGCAGTGCGGAAATGGGGTGCACGGCGTGCGCGCGCCGCAGGGTTGAGGCGGTCACTTCGCTGAGGCCGAGGTGGCGGATCTTGCCTTCCCTATATACCACAGGATGGAGGTTTTGTTATTATTAGTCTTTTGTTGTGGAAACGAAAAGAAAGAAATCTCCCCTCAACTCCTCCCCATCAGGTCATACTCACTTCTTCAACTCGACCATGGCCTTGACCGTCTCCTCAATGGGCGTCTTCCCATCCACGCGATGACAATAATACAAATCAATCCACCCGCTCTTCAACTTGCCCAGACTATCCTCGCAAGAGCTCCGGACATTCTCCGGGTCACTTCTGATGATATAGTTGCCCTGGTCGTCCTGGCCGGCGAACCCGAACTTGGTGGTCAAAAACACGTCCCTGCGCTTGTCCGGGTTCGCGGTGAACCATTTCCCAAGGAGCGTCTCGGTGTCGCCGTAGATGTTGGCGTCGTCCCAGTGCGTCGCGCCGAGCCCGTACACGGCGTCCAGGAACGCGAGACGCTCCGTGTCGTCGCCCGCAGAGCCGTACGCGTGGCCCAGGGACATCATCCCGATGGACATGGCGGGGATGGAGGGGCCGGAGGAGCCGAGGGGGAGGGTTGGGAGCGGGTTGGGCAGGGACATTGTGATTTGAGCGAGGGATGGATTGGGAGTTGAGAGTTGAGTTTGAAAGGGTTGAGGAGAGCACAATAAGAAAATCGTAGAGAGAGCCCAGGTCGGTAGTCGACTTGTCAGTGTGTGTCTCTGTGTATGCCTGTGATTTCCCCAGTCTGATATCCCCTACCTTACAAAATGACAGGGCAGTAATGAAGGAGTCCAAGAAGGGTCCTTGCACGATGAGAGTCGCCCTCTCTCGGTCCTTATATACGTAGCCCTTTCCACCACTCCTGTACATACCTAATGCTTCCCTTAACTCCGTTGCCTTGAGCCTTGGCTGCATACATCTCTACAATCAGGTCCAACATGACACGCGCGTGCACCCCGCCCATCAATCCAAACTGACGACACGACTTGAAAGAGTCACGGTTTCTCAGACGAGATCCGAGGTCTAGTAGTAAAGCCTCGTCCGTCCAGTCGGTGCTTGGCGTGCGTTATTTGTATGGGGCCAGGGCGATGGGCGAATCAGAGGCTGGGGGACAAATGGACGAGTCCGGACAATCTCGACCGGCGGGGATGATGGGACGATGGGACGATGGGACGCCGTACCTACATGGTTAGGCTTGATGAAGAGGGTCGTTAATTCCGCTAATTAACATGGCCAATCATGACACCAAGGGAGCTGGTTGCTGGTTCTGGCAGATGTGGCCTAGATTTGGATGGGAATTAAAAGAAGGCGAGGGATAGAAGTAAAGGTTGTTCTATTCTCTACACAATCCATACCCAGTTGGATGTTCATCTCCCAGTCTACCATGTCAAAGCCCAGCAGACCTCCCCGGTTACTTGACCAAATCTCTACCTGATCAAATCTTCGCAGCTCTTCCCTCCGACTGTGCCTTTTTACACGGCAGCTCTCTCCTCAAGATCTTGCCCGATGGTGTCTTGGGCAGACTGCTCAATTCAAACACTCCCCCGCGCAGCTTCTTGTACCCCGCCACTTGCCCGTCAGCCCAGCTGCGGATTTCAGCAAGCAGTCCCTGCTTCTGGGACGCCGGTGTGGTTGCAGGAAGTGTCACGTATGCAATCGGAAGTTCGGTGGCCTGCTCGTCCGAGTAGATAGATGTCACGGCGGCGTCCACCACCGAGGGATGTCTCAAGAGCAGGTCTTCGAGTTCCGAGGGTGGCACTTGGAACCTAGCATCTAGTCAGCATTGTGCCCAAAGCCTGAATATGCCTAGGTGAGCCTCTACCCCTTGTATTTTATCAGCTGCAGACTGGTTAGCTCGATATCAACAGTGTGCAGGCCTGCATTTACCTCTTTGAGACGATCTGTAACCCAGAAGTTGCCATTCTCATCCACCCGCATGATGTCGCCAGTCCGCAGCCAGTCATTGACATATGTCTCTCGCGTGGCTTGTTCGTTGTTGTAGTACCCCCTAGCTACTAGTCAGAAAGAGGGAGGCCAGACGGAGCAATAACTGACATCATTGTCTGGGGCCCTCTAACCCAAAGTTCGCCTTCTTCACCAGGTGCAACATCTTTCAATGTCACTGGGTCGACAAGTCGAAGCTCCCTATGTCAAGGAATGGACAGATCAGAACAGAGCCACGTGCAGATGCCGGCAGAGACCTCAAGGAGATACATACGTCCCGCAAACTGGCTTTCCTGCCGTCCCAATGTTGTTCTCATCATCAAGGGGACTTTGCACGAGCACCGTCGGAGAACATTCAGACATTCCATACCCTGCTACTGTCAGCAACACATCTCTCAAGCCATGCTCTGGGTGGCCGACCCTGCACGATCTTGACATCTCTCCCGAACCTTGCCTTCAGTTTCATCTGGAGATCTCTTTTGGTCGGAGCTGCTGAGATGAGGATGATCTTCATCGACGACAACTCGTACTTTGCCGCAATATCCGAGTTCGCAAGTTGGATGGCAACGGGCGGAACTATGTGCGCCCAGGTTGCTTGGTGTTCTTCCATCTTCCGGCAGAACAAGTCCAGGTCAAAGGCCGGGATTCCGCAGGAGAACGAGCCTATCCACATGCCGTTGAACACTACAACCCCAAGGCCATAGACATGGCAGTCTGCCGAGGATTGCTGTCAGTCCTCCTGAACTCATACTGCGACACTCCGAGTTGGGCCCTTACATGGGGGAAAGAAAACCTCGCGTGAGGCATGATTCATCATCCAAGGCATTGAGATGCGTGTTTGGAGGATATTCGAGACTACATTGTAGTGTGACAATTGGACGCCTTTGATTTTTCCCGTCGTCCCAGATGAAAACACAATCAGGCCAGTCACGTCTTTGGTACTCCTCCCTCCAAGGTCGAAAGGTGGAAGCGACTGGTCCGGAGTCTGGCCGGCGATATCGTCGGGAAACTACCAATATCAGGTCGTCATGTTCCACCCGTGGCTGGAAGAATCTCACCAGTTTGAGATTACCAGATCTTCTCAGCACCGTGAACACTTTCGGACGTGCACTTTCTTCCCAACCCAGCTGCTGAAACGCAGCATTGACAGCCTCAAGTTTGCTTGGATCAATGGCAATATGGCTAGGCTGGACAAGTGCCAGAGCATGGGCAATGTCTTTGGCTAATGAGGACGTATTGAGTGGTCTGTTGGCGATTTGCGTAAGATATCAATGATCCTCGAAAGCCCTGGGCAGACATACGAGAAGATTGCTCCAAGCCACAGCGTTGCATGCGCAAGAATGATAAAATCGGTCTATGACCGGACCCATCAGACCAAGCAGGAGATTTCTCGTTCTTGCAGAGAACATACCGAGTTGGGAAGGATGACCAGCAGTTTATCCTGTTCCTTCATGCCCATTCTGTACTGCAGTCCCCACGCGCACCTGGCAGCTTGCTCTCGGAGACCGCCATACGTGAGACTCTTGTTCGCGATGGTATCGAGATGTACCACTTTATCAGCAGGCACGGAGTCGGGGTTGTACTTTGTCATTAGTAGTGGGATTGTGATCTTGTCATCGGGAGCCGGGGGGCAAAAGGGCCCCGTCATGATATGTGCAGCCATCATGCGCGGTTAGAGGACATGAATTAGATGCCCTCGAGTCTAAGGGGCTTTGCCATTTTGTAAGTACTCCCAGAAACGTCAAACCGCACTTCTGACGAGGCCTCTGGACTCGGCCGAGGCAGTGGACAAGATAGAGCACAGGATATGGAGCACTTCGACACTTTTTCCCGTCAAGCCCTTCAGGTGGAGCAAGGTCTTCCAATGCTTGAAGGATTCGACTCCGCATTGGCAGCAACAAGACCTCGGCATGCGAGTCAGTCATCCATTAGGTTGAAGCGGAAAGAAAAGAGACATCTCCACGATGTGGTACACCCAGCGTGTAACCGTTCGAAGACAATATGGAGTGTGCTTGGTATCATAAAGTCCTTGGAGATTGAAGTAGTGTAATTGTCGAAACTTTACCATCATCCAAGGAGTAGCAATGGTGACTGCAAGCTTTGCTCCTTGGCCATGTCTATGTTTTGAGAACCATCTCGCATAACATGTAGCCGGTGAGATTGATCTTTGCACGACATCATAGCAGGCGTTGAAATGAAGTGTGTCTATGGGTTGCTTTATAGTATCGCCTTACTAGCCTGCTAGGGTCAGCGCCTAAGGAGATTCAGTCCAAAGCAGAGGGCGGCCTCAGTGACATCGAGGGTTTGTCGAACCTGGACCCAGGCACGATGGGATAGAGCAAGGTTCACAAGGTTCAGGTGGATAAACCAAGAGGTTGACAGAGGTCGAGGAGAGCGCCGATCGAAGGAGACATCGTTGGAATAGATGGATATTGAGACTGAAGGGCCTGAGGCAGACAAACAGCCAAGCACCTCAGTTGCAGGCACAGGCGCAGACACGGCGCAGGTGGCAGCTCGCAGGCGAGCGCAGGCTAAATGGCCAAATGCGGGGGTTGATATTTTGAATCCCCAATTCCAACTTCTACACGCAGCCGTCGCAGCTCACCACTCACCACTCACCACTCACCTACCATCCTCCTCTGTATTTCATGCCTTCACCCTCCTCGCTTCCCCTGCAATGGGCTTGGGGTTCACTATTTTTATCCCCTCAATCCCTACGGGCAGTCTGCCCTGCCGTTTCTGCCCTGCTTCTCGCTTATCAGTGCTACATCATGACATTGCCAATGCGCTCGTATTCGGGAGAGCTATTTTCAGCGTCCTTCACACCACTTGCACTTGTCCAGTTCATTGATTGAATACTCAACGCTGCCAGCCTCATCTGTAAATTCATGCTAACCGGCCCTCAGAAACTACAGTTTCACACAACAGCATACCTAGCTAATCCCAGACAGCTTGACGGCCTCACAGCTTTCTAACAGTCAAAAATATCATTGCGAACATGTGCTTCGGAAATAGCCAGACTCTCGACGATCCGACCCAACCTGCCGCACGCTCCACCAAGCTGTGGGGTCGCGATATCTACGACCCTACGCAACAGCCCATTCACACCACCGAATCCAACGACGCTGAAATGAGCAAGGCGCAGGACGAAAGCAAGAAGGAGCGGAAAGGAAGCCACAAACACCGTCCAGAATTTGTCGATGTGACCGATCAAGATCACGAGCCCAGGCCCATAGCAAGGACACTCTCTGGCGCGGAAGTTGAAGCAGCGCGCCCCATGTCAAAGAAGAGCGTTCAGAACAAATGGCGAAGCAAGAATTCAGCCGCATACACCTATGCCCAAGGTGCTGGAATGGCTGCGGGTGCAACCTTCGCCGCCAATGCAATGTGATCATGCGCCAAAATCCCGAGTGCATGATTGCTGGATCCAGAAGAGCTCGGACGGAAGTAGGTACTTATGCTGGGAGATGTTGTGCGCTATCTTTGTTTTCTATCTCGGTGGAGCTTCACGCCGGCTGTCTTGTGAGTGGAGGGAAGCTACCTATGTATATGCGGACTCAGATATCCCTGGAGATGAGGTCGCGTCGAATAGGTAAACAGTGCGAGTTTGGGTTTGGATTATTCATGATGCAATGATACGAGGATGCCAATAGCAGATCTGAAAAGAAATGGACCTGCTCCATTCTTGTTGACTTGCTTGACTTGCTTGACTCACGGCGAGATATATTCCCATAGTGCCCCTGGAATTGTCAGCCGTCACGTGGTCGGCCCGACTATTGGTCCGCAGTCCACTTTGTCTCGTTGCACCTTCAGCCATTGTCTCCCCTTTCAACGAAACACTTTCCCAAAGCCGTATCAACGACTCGCTTGACCAGGCGAACGATCCCTTGATCTTCCGCCATGACGCGTGCCGCGCGCCATCAACAGATTTCGGCTAGTCGCCAGCATTTCGAAACCCGGCAGATGCAATCTACGAGTTTGACTGACCTGCGTGATATCTCATGAGGTCGTCTGGCTTCCAGGCAGACACACGTCTGGGCGGCCCTATGCCATACCTCAGAACAGAAAGACTAGAGGCCTGGGCAGCAGAGAAAGCAACGAGGTGACTCATGAATCGAGTCGGGTCGCTTCTAAGGGACGTGTACCATTATACCGAGACCGAGTACAGGCGACTCATAGCTTCTCGTACCCTCGTGTCGACTCCCCACAGGGCGAACCTGACTCTCGTATCTCGTCGCTTTCGCCTATAGCCACCAATCATCGTCCAAACCAAAGGCGTCTCTTCCGGAACAAAGGAAACGAGCAGAGCCGGTTCAATGACACTGGAAAATCGTCCATCGTGCCCTGATGTGGTTCCACAAAACAAAGGGGGCCTCGTGCATATCTATGGGCGGCCTAATGTTGGTCCGCCGGTCAAAGTCGGCGTTCTCGACAGCATTGCACCGAACCACCCAATGCTAGCGTCGTTCAATTGTTGCAGCCTCGTCGCTACGCCCACATGCAGCGCGATGATGTGCTCGTCCTGCGTCCACGGCGAGGGCGCTGTTATGCTTCCGAGAACAATAGTCATTAGTGATTGTGATGGATACCGTTCGGCCGAATTAATATTCATTTGTGTGAGTATGAAATGGTATATATCGTGGTCGGGCGGTTTGGACTATATTCGCTGCACCAACCCGCTCAAGCCAAACAAGGTACTATCGTCGCCTCCCCTTTGTTTGCTGTCTTCCCAATAGAACCAGCTGGGACTGTCTTGGTGCCCACGTATCCCATTGGCGCAAAGAATCTTGAGAAAATCCATAAAGTCCGTCCTGTTCACTTCCGAACCTCCCCTACCTTACACTTCCCATCCATCAAAGCTGCGAAATACCTTCCTCCACAATGGATGTATCAGCCGTGCTTGCTGAGGAGACAAAAGAGGGACCTCCCACTCAACAGACACAAGCATCTCAAACATCATCGTCTTCCGCCTCCATCACTTCGGAAAAGGCGGACCTCGAAAACAACAACAATGGCACCTCCGCTTCAACCGAGTTCACCATTTCAACCCAATTCATTCTGGCCTTTGTTGCTCTGGCAGTATTAACGCTCATGGTGGCGCTTGATGGCACTTCAATCAGTGTTGCCCTCCCGATCATCGCCAAAAAGCTGCACGGAACAGCCATCGAAGCCTTCTGGGCTGGCACATCCTTCCTCCTCGCCTCGACCGTCTTCCAACCCAATTTTGCGTCGTTCAGTCATATCTTTGGAAGAATGCCGGTGATCATGGTCTCGATTGCATTGTTCTTCATAGGAGTCATGATGGCGGCCTTGTCGAATGATTTCGGGCTATTACTCGCGGGGAGGGCGGTCCAAGGTATTGGTGGAGGTGGTAAGTCAACATCTCTTTCCCCTTCAATTACATCTTTGATTCTGACTGGGAATCAAAAACAGGTGTCATGGCCATGACCGAAATCGTCGTCACAGACCTTGTCCCTCTCCGTTACAGAGGTCAGTGGGCCGGAATCATCGCAGGCATGTGGTCCATTGGCTCTGTCTCCGGTCCCATCATTGGCGGCGCCTTTGCCCAAGTACAATGGCGGTGGATTTTCTGGCTCAACCTCCCCTTCATTGGCATTGGCTCCGTCATGATTCCGCTGTTCCTCCGCCTCAACGTCGTACCCCAGAGCATTGCCGCGAAACTGCGGCGCGTGGATTGGGTCGGCACGGTCATCTTCGTGGGCAGCATGACGAGTTTCCTAATCCCCTTGACGTGGGGTGGCGTCATGTACAGCTGGTCGTCGTGGCGGACGCTGGTGCCGTTGCTCGTCGGTGCTGCGGGTCTGATGGGCTTCTGCTTTTACGAGAGGTACCTCGCTCCCGAGCCCTTGCTGAGACTGTCGGTGTTCGGCAACCACACCGCCAACATTGCCTATGTCACCACAACCCTCCACGGCATGGTCCTCTGGTGTATCTTGTACTACCAGCCACTGTACTTTGAAGCCGTCAAGGGCTACACACCCGTGGTTTCTGGAGTTGCACTCTTTCCCGAGACCTTCACGGTGGCGCCCATGGCGGTAGTGACGGGTCTGCTGATCACCAAATTCGCGGCGTACCGCTGGGCCATCTGGGGGGGCTGGGGCATCGCGACGCTGGGCCTAGGCCTGTTAACGATCCTCGACGTCGGCACGACCATCCCACAATGGATCTTCATCAACCTAGTATCCGGAATCGGACTAGGCATCCTCTTCCCCGGTCTCCAATTCCAAGTCCAAGCAGCCAGCTCCAACAAGGACATGGCCTTCGCGGTCTCCATTTTCGTCTTCTTCCGCTCCTTCGGCCAAGCTTTGGGGGTCGCCATCGGCGGCGTCATCTTCCAGAACCAAATGCTCTCCAACCTGCAGAAATACCCGGCCTACGCGAGCCAAGCGTCGGAACTCGCAAAAGACGCCGCCGCCTTGGTGGAAATCATCAAAAACACCCCCGCCGGCCAGGGGAAGCTGGATCTTCGCACCGCGTACACAGACTCCCTGCGCACCGTGTACATCGTGCTCACCGCGCTGGCGGGCTTCTCCCTCGTTGCGAGCTTGTTCATCAAGGCGTACGATCTCAACGTCGGTCTCGAGACGGAGCAGGGCCTGATTGTGAGCGTCAAGAAGGTCAGCAGTGGCGCCAAAGCTCAAGGCGACGAGGAGATGGCGGTCCCGGTCGACCACCGAGGTGGGGAGCAAGAAGTCAAGGCTGAAGGTGAAGATGTGCGGACATCGACTTGAGGGGGGCTCCCAGAACCCACAGCTGAAAGCGTTTGTATGCAACCTTTGACTCTCCCCTTTCCCTTTTTTTCCCTCTATGATGGATAAAATCGCCTAAGGGAGGGAAAGGAGGTGTGCAATGGATGAGGGCATAGCGAAGCGGGCGGCGTTCCGTGTTTCTCCCATCATGACTTGATACGATAGACGTGGACTCTCTAGATAGATCTCTCTTTGCTCCTCTCTCGTGGATACTCCCCTTGATTTGGTAGAACTGTACAATAATATTAGTCCAAATTCAAAGATATAATGAATACTCAAGGTCATGTTCCCTCATAATCTTTTTACTCTTTTTTCCCTGATCTCAAATGGAAATGCAACGATGACACCTTGCAACCTTCTTTACAACTCCTAAGAGGCATGACCGTTGGCATGACCATTCATCCCAGCATCAACCCTCAAGAACACCACATCGACCTCCTGGCCCCTCTTAACTTCACATTTCACCCCAAACCCATCCACTGCCTGGTCCTTCACCTCTCTGGTGGCCTGTAACTTGCCGTCGACATAGACAGCCCAAGTCCCCGGCTCCAAACCGCGAGCCACAGGCCCAATGCTCACAACCTCAGGACACGCTCGACCCTCAAAATCCCATCCTTTAACTGTAAGGACCAGCGCGTGGGCGTCTTCGTCCCACGCACCGCGAAGGACGCCGACTCCGTGTTCCTTGCCGGCGAAGTCGAGGTTGTCGATCCACGGCGTGCGACCCAAAAACTCCCTCGTCCAGGGCTTTTCGTACATGATGCGCTGCCCATCCTGGACATTGAGGCGTGCGTATCCGATCGCCGCGTTGCCGCAGAAGGGGGAGACGTGTGTCCACTTGACGCCCTCGCCGTCTTGGTTGTCCTCGGTGAAGATAAAAGGCGTGTCATTGCGCGGGTAGAACAGGCCACCGTTCTCCCATGTGGGGTTCAGGTTTTTGTCGGCATACGCTAAAAGGCCATCGAGAAGCGCTGTCTGACCAAGTTCAGAGAGCCACTGGACCACATATCCGAAACAGGGTTTGGTGTACGGGAACGGCGGCGCTGGCTTCTCCGCAAGATCGGCTTTGGCGAGTTCAATGGCTTGCTGGAGAGTCTCTTGATCGGACGTAGTCGGGGACGCTGTCGCGGAAAGTTTGCGGTAATGGTTGGCTACAATGGGCGGTTGCAAGCGGACGCGGCCGGAGATGTTGGTGATGAAGCCAGGGAACTGTTTCGGATAGAGACTCTCCACAAGTTGAGGATTCCAGGAGTGCATAAACGCACCTCCCCTAAGGGTTGGTGAGTTCGAAGTCCTCAATGGGCCAAGGCAGTGAAAATGCTTACCACGCGGTCCAGCCCACATCTGTAGGAGGGACGATGTGATTCTGTTTGACCATCCAAAAATCCACAAAGAGACCATTGGAAGAAACCATGCCCTTTTTGTCCCAGGCGGCCCTGTACTTGGTCAGAACCTCTTCGACCTTGTTAGTACCGTCCCGAGCGTCGTTGTATCTCATTGCAATGATCTGTGCCACAGTCAGAAAATGTAGCACGCCAACACAGCGCGGGGTGGCTGTACTGGAAATTGGTTGCAGACGACAAAGACCACATTTGGCTCGCAACAGACGCCGACCCATCCATTCCTCTCCATTTCCCTAGTGATGGCTGCCTGCAGGCTGCGATTGTCGTAGGAGAAAGTCTCGTCACCGAGCCCGTAAAACATAGGATCCCATTTGAAAACAAGGGACTCGGGCTTCTCGAATTCATCATCGTCAAAGAGCATGGCGTAGAGGCTGGTCATCAATAGAAGGTGACCGCTGTACATGATGTTCTCTCGCACGACAGGGTCGGCCCACGGTTCTCTGAGCTTTTGCAAACTCGGATCTGTGCGCCTACCGCCCAGACTAGTGTTGAACCAGTATGCCCAGACCTCCTTGCGCAACATCTTATGGATCAGCTGGCGGAGGAGGGGCTTGAATATCGAGCGCAGAGCTGGTAAATGATGATAGTGAGTAACACCGACGGCATAGGCCATCGTGGCAAGTTGGTAACGATAGGCGTCTAGGAACTCTTGAAGGGGCTCTTGAGCGCCCATCTTTGCCCACTCTCCATCTGGCTGGAAGGCAAGGTTGTAGAAATGGCGCAGGTGGCCTAATTGAGCAGGGGACAATTTGGGATACTGGGAAGGATCAAGATGGAGGGTTTGAGGGACGGAGTCAGCCATGTTTGCAGCAAGAGTGCCTTTGACAAACTGTTGCCGTAGAAAAGAAAGCCGTGGGGAAACCAACCGTCAGCGACAACTCGTTCCTATATAGCAGATTCGAAGGATGTGTTAAGGCCATCTGCAGTCGTACCTGAGCTGAGACTAGATTTGCCATTGGAACAGCTCATGCCGTGCCCGTTCCCACATCAAGCGGCCGACAAGAGCGGACCGTCTTGGCCGTTGCAGAGCACACTGGCAGCATAACAGAGCATTCGGCACTCAAATTCGGTATAAGACGAAGACAACTCGCAGGTTGTTGTGGGCTGTGGGCGAAGCCTCTTATGGGCCGTGATTGAGTTGCCCTCAAATTAGCAAATGAAAATCCCACTAATTATGTCTTGTTCTTATCCTTTTGACCCGTGTAACAACCTCGAAGTTGGCTCGCTGATTGAGGGATACTCGGCGTTATCTACTCGGTACTGCCTCGCTGCGTACCTGCTCGCTGGTACCTAAGTGCAGAGGAATTGGTGGCCTTGGCGGCCCAGGGAGTTCCAGGATCGGCGGCCGCGTTAGAGTGCCACTGGGTGGAAGAAGTCGGGCGAAGCGGGCGATGAGCGGATGGCGTCTGGCTTCTGTAACTTGTTCAATTGGCGGGAGGTCAGTAATCCGATGAATAACAGGGAAGTGGTTCATTATTCGTGGGCAGGTTGGTGACTGCGGCTCGGTAGGTATAGGTACTTGAACAATGCACACCCTCTTACTTTTGTCCCTGAAACCATGGCAGAGTGGAACTTGATGGTGGTGATGATGATCTGAGGCTGGGACGACACAATCCGGGGCCGAACATTCACCAGACGTGCATGAGGGCGTGAGAGAAAAAGCGGGAAACAGGGAAATGCAGGGAGAAGGGGATGGGGAAACTGAGGGAAATTTCACTTTCCCATCCAGCGCCCATCAATCGCCCATCCACCGCCCATTCAGTGCCCATTCAGTGCCCATCCACCGCCAATCCAGCGCCCATCATGCTGCGCTAGTGCCCACCTTGGTAGACACGGCTCGTCCTTATCACCCGCTCATCTACAGTATATACCGCGGGCAGAAGAACGCAGTCAAAGCCAACCTTATTACAAGTCCCCTGAATCCTGTATACTCACCGAGTACTCACCGAGTACTCACCGATGTCTGCTTTTGTTATTTCCTTTGTTACTGCGCGCTGCAGGACAACTGGGTGGCCCGTGAATTGAGACAGAATTGAGACACAATCTGTGTTCGTTGTCTTCAGTGCCGCCTACGTCACCACGCATTTCGCTTGCTCGTGGCTGAGTCCCACCACTGACGCCCACTCGCCTACCATCCAACAATCCGAGATCTCTGGGTACTCGGTACAAGGTCCCTCTCCTCCCATCGCCCTCCCAGCCACAACTGCTGCTTTGGAAATGCTCCGTGGTGATGTCGACGTCGATGTCGACGTCGATGTCGATATCGAACCCAGACCGCCCGACCATGGTATTCATCTACCATCTCTAGCCACTACCGCTACTCGCCCTGGGTACCGCAATGCCACCACGTCTTCTGCCTCCGATTTCTTTGTCGACCTGCCCCAACTCCCCATGGCGACCGAACTTGCACTTGCCGCCCTTGCGACCCTACCGACACCAATCCTCGTTCTCTCCTCCTTGAAGACTGTCCTTTTGGCCAATTCGGCCGTGGGAAGGTTGCTGGGGGCGGATCAAGATGATCCTGACTTCAACGTGAACGACTTCCTTAAGGGTCAGACGCTGTCGCAGTTGGGCATTGACATGGTCTCAGATGGCGGCGTTCCAGTATGGGTCAGCTGGGAAAGATTTCTGGACAACCTTGCCAGTGACTTGCATTCTGCTGCACGAGACAGACTCCCTTCGGGGAATCTACTACGCGATGTAAAGAGCGGAGAGACAACTCCCATGGGTGTTGCCGGAACCGCTGCAAGAGGTAGGTCACCGATGCAACGTCGTACTGAAAAGACTCAAGACACTGTGGTCGACGTGATCATCTCCGGCTATCATGATCAAGCACCAAATCGCAACGCTCGTCAGAAACATAACAAGACCCATCGTAATGTCCACACCACCTGTCGAATGATAATCAGTATCTGGGAGTTGGAAGGACAGCGATATTTCACTTTGACGTTTACAAGCTCCGGGGGTCACGCCCCCCGTAAGCCTTTGTCACACTCATTCGGCAATGCTCGTCAGCCCTCGTCCCATTCAACCAGGTCATCCCGTTCATCACAGTCCCAGACACCTGTCTCCTCCACAGGAACCTCCCAGATCACTTCGCCCGCTGAGCAGCCGCATGCCGGTGCTTTCCCTCCCATCGCCCCTCCAGCTCAATGTTCAGTCCCGTCCGCCCCAGCAGACTTTCAGAAGGTTCTGAAGATGAAGAACGCTATGTTGAGCGCAATCGAAATCCCCCTTATTGCCATGTGGAAAGATGAGAGTGTGGTCTTTCCGAATCTGGCCGCTCGCAAGTTACTGGCAGTCGAGACTGATCCCACGTCGGATGAGTCGTACGATTTCATGTCGCGGTTTCGCCCATGGACTGCCGATTTCTCTCGAGAGCTCCAAGAGGACACCAATCCCGTCCTCGCACTGTGTCGAACGCAGCAGCCCTTTACAAACTGGAAGATTGGCTTAGTCAATGAAAAGACGGGCAGAAAGTCCAGTTTCGACGTGAGTGGACACCCTGTCTACGACGAAAAGTCAGGGGAGTTTCTGGCAGGCTTGGTAGCTTTCAAGGATGTCACAGAGTACACCGAGCAGATTGCACTCCAGACAGCAGAAAACGAAGAACAATTCCGCCTCATCTGTGATATGATGCCACAAATGATCTGGACCACGAGAGCTGATGGCTATCATGATTATTACTCTAGAAGATGGTATGACTATACTGGTCTGACTCCCGCCAATTCCTTGGGTCAAGGTTGGAAATTGCCTTTCCATCCAGAGGATATGCCTGAAACCATGCGTCGATGGCGTCATGCTGTCGCGACCGGAGACGAGTACATCACAGAGTATCGCTGCAGAAGGTTTGACGGCCAATGGAGATGGATGCTCGGGAGAGCCCTGCCCATGCGTGACCATAAGACAGGCAAGATTCTGAAATGGTTCGGCACGTGTACAGATATCCAAGAAGTTGTCGACGCCAAGGTTTCTGGACAAAGAGTTCGACGGCAATTGCTGGATGTGTTAAAACACTCACAAATGACAATGTGGATTCTCGATCGACACCTGAATGTGAGTTTCCATGAAGGTTCCTTCGTTATGGGGGATGCGACAACCGACAGAATTATTGGTGCCCCTGTCCTCGACGTTTTGCACAATCATCTTACTCCACAAGCCATTGAAAAATTCCGGGAGGCTCTGCTCCGCATCCTATCAGGAGCATCCGATCTGGAAATATGCGAGAATGAGGTGAATTCTAGATGGTTTCGATCCAAGATGGTACCGTTGAAGGGCAAAACAGGCCCTAATAGGGTAGAAGATGATGACTATATTGCTGGAGTCATTGTCATTGGATCCGACGTTACCTCCCTCCGGCACAAAGAACAAGAAAATATTATATTGCTTGCAAAGGAGACAGCGGCTAAAGAAGCGAGCAAGATGAAGAGCAGCTTTCTTGCCAATATGTCTCATGAGATCCGGACACCCATCGCAGGAGTGCTTGGAATGTCGGAGCTGCTCATGGATACCTCCCTGGATCTGGAACAAAGCGAGTTCGCCCAAAACATTCAAAGGTCAGCCAATTCTCTTCTTACCGTCATTAACGACATCCTGGACTTCTCCAAGATCGAGTCCGGCCGGCTTGACATTGAAGAAGTGCAGTTCAGTCTCAACCACGTGCTCCGCGACGTTGCCAAAATGCTTTCATTTGCAGCTCAACGCAAAGGACTCGAGTTCAAAAGTGCCATCGATCTCAGACGATCTGAGGACCTCATTGTGTTGGGCGACCCTGGCCGAATACGACAAATTCTGGTCAACCTTCTGACCAACAGTATCAAGTTCACTTCCAAGGGTTTCGTCATGCTCAGCACCCGTGTCGTTTCCGAAGTCAATGACACGATCACAATTGAATTTTGTGTCGAAGACAGCGGCATTGGCATAGAGGAAGAAGTCAAGAAGAGGCTGTTTAGACCATTCAGTCAAGCCGACTCAAGCACCGCAAGGCGTTTCGGAGGGACTGGTCTCGGCTTGACGATATCCAGAAACTTGGTAGATCTGATGCATGGGGTAATTCGCCTGGATTCCAAGCTTGACGCAGGAACCAAAGCTATCTTCAGTATTCCGTTCAAGAAACTTGAATATCAAAATGGGTCCACCATGGCTGAGCTCGAAGTCGGGACGATGCCCGATCGGGCACAACCAGACTTCTCTCGCTCCAAAGATTCATCAAAAGAAGAAGATCGAAAAGAGCACAAGATTATGACCTCAACCAGGTCATCAGGAGACACAAGCGAGGGCGGTGATCATGCTCAAGCGATGCAGTCAAATCCAGGGGTCGAATCTCCCGAGGCTGAACTTGACAGAGGTCAGATACATATAATGGTCGTCGAAGGTAAGCAATGGGCAACCAACACATGTTGGTTCGAAGCTGACGTTCTCAGACAATCCTGTCAACCAGCAAATTGCCCTCAGATTCATCAAAGCACTGAGGTTTTCTACTATTGCGGTGTGGAACGGCAGGGAGGCCCTTGAGTATCTTCTCAAAGCCACTTCGCGCGACCTCACTCCGGAGCAGTCGCAGCAATATCCGACTCCTTCACTTATACTAATGGACTGTCAAATGCCCGTATTGGATGGTTACCACGCCACACATATGCTTAGGCATCACGCGCCATTCATGGACATTGAGACGATCGCAAAAATTCCAATTGTGGCCATGACCGCTTCGGCGATTCAAGGCGACCGGGAAAAGTGTGAGAAAGCGGGAATGGACGACTATATGGCCAAACCAGTCAAGCGTGCTCTATTAGAGAAAACCATAATGAAATGGATATCCAAGGCCCGCAAAGGCTACAGGCACCAAAATTGGCCAGAAGCCTCCACAGAATCCCAGCGACCATCACTCGGAAGCGGGTGCACCGAGCATTCGTCGACTTGCGCCCAAATTGATGCTATCACCGCCGAATTCTATGCTCGCACCGGAACAGCAAGCAGCCTGCCTCCTGCGGCAAATGACCACCCGCCTGCCTCAGCGCTCGGTGCTAGTATTGTGAATGAAACAGCCGCTGCGCTACGGTCTAATATTTCCAGGGCTATCCTCGCCGGGGAAATTCCAGGAGGTGGAACAGAAGGAGACCGAACAATGAGGAGAGTCGAGGCTGAAGACAAAGCACAGGCACTCCGGGACGCCAAGCTGATGTCAGTGACCGATCTAAATCATGGCCAATCGATCATTGCTCCCACGATCATGGTAGACGGCAGCTTCGTGCCGAATCCTCACTCGTCCGATCTGGCCCAACCGGCTGCTGGAGATGCCGGACCTTCGACGACAATGGCTTTGACGGAAGAGAATGTCTACCGCTTCAATAATACACAAGACCACAGTCCCATAGTCATGGGAACCCTTTCCCCGGAAATGAGGTCTCAAATGTCAGTCTACCCGCTCTCAGAACTTCCAGGACCACCGCCAGAGGGTACACTTGCTGCAGTAGACCTGGCTAGCGTCGACGCCAATGCCGAGGTCCTGTTATCGTCGATGGTGGAAACGGCAGAGTCTTCGACTCCGCCATCGGAAAATATCAGGTCATCTGCAAATCCAAGTAGTGTTCGGCCTCAGACCCGACAAGATGTGGGCGGGCTGGTTCCCGACAGTCGACGGAGAAGCGACTGGAGTATGAGTACAGCCCGACCAGAGAAAGGCCGATAAGAGCCAATGATGCCGGCAAAAGGAGTCTTGGATCCTCGATTTTGAATTGCAGGAACGTGACCACGTTATATCATGAAGTTTACATCTTTGGAGAACGTGGGACTGGAGGGCGGCTTGGTTGGATCAGAAAAGCAAACAATTCTTTGACGGGCTATGGCCATGTACATGTACGGAGTACGGAGTACGGCTCGCGCAACAGCACGAGAAATTGCTTGTGTGCACCTTGTTGTCAGATGGAGAATCACGATCACAAAAGCCCGCTAGGTTCCAAACGCTGAAGGGGGAAAGAGGACAGGATCGGGAGAAACATGAATTACGAGATGGATGATACCCACAGTGGCATGGAGCGTGATATGGTCGGGATCAAAGCCTCGGGAGCAAGACTTTCAACGGTATGAATGGTACTGAATGGCTTGAGGTATTGTAAATATCTACGGGGTGCGATGAGGACGAGTACATCAGACTGTGTGGGCAGTGGTGGGAGCTGAAGATATAGGAGGCATATATATGTGTATTCGATAAAAGCACATACTGACCACTACCTAGGTAGGCACCTCCCCGCCGAGCTTTTACGAGTGGGCGGTTAGTGGGCTCCAATCCTCGTCTCCATTTTGCCCCTCCCACTAATTCATTCCCCCCCTAGGCACCACTGCCCGTCCGCGGGCCCGCCCTAGATGGGTAAGTGCGTCATAAGTTCCAGGCGGCAGCGTGGGCACAGTTGAACTCTCTAGTGGTCGTCAGGCAGCAATGACTCGGGCTGTTCTCAGCCTTATGGGCGTTGGGAGAAGCTGATTAGGCTGGTGTAACCGGTAGGCTCGCCTGCTGCAGCCGCCCCTCCGCCCCTCACTGCCTCTACTGTCCGATAAGGAGCACCACCCGAACTAAGCAACTTGTAGCTTCTACTCTCTTTCTTCTGACGGCATCACTCACCTTCCAGTAGCAAGCTGCAGGTGTGCGAGGCAGATCTGTGGCCCAGCCGCCTAGCGTGTCGCGAACCCGTGGACAGGCACCATTGACCTTGGGATCCTCTAATGGGAAGGGACTGTCCACATCACATTTCAGGCTTCAGGGAAGCTGGTGACACACAGCCTCATCTTCAACTGCAAAACAAAAAGTCCCCCTCCCCCTCCCTCCCTGTCTCCCTCCCTCTCAGAACAAGACCATTCACCAAACCATGCATCTTTCCTGTCCACCTGAGCAAACTTGCAGCACTCTTTCGCGCGCAATCATTCTTCTCGGTGCTGCTCATGGTCCTGCACTTGAACGTGACACCGCTCAGCCTCTACTCCTCCTGAGCCCATCTCCGCTTCCACAATGTCGAATCAGACCATCTTGAGAATATCACGAGTAAGAGGTCGCTCTACATGACTGTGGGACACCACTGACGAGCCGTGCGCAGGAGATTACCCAGATCCAACAGGGCAGTGACCTGTGTAAGTCATGTTCCAAGCAAGATGCTACCCACCTCGCAGCTTCAACTAACCGCTCACTGCAGCCATCGCTGTCGCTTGCCAGGAGAAGGACGTGCGCCACGTCAAAGCCCTCATCATCGGTCCCCACGGCAGTCCCTACGCGTTCGGCTTCTTCGACTTCGCCGTAAATTTTGGGTCAGAGTATCCCAGCAAGCCACCAAAAGTTGAGGCCAGAACCACAAATGCCGGTCGGACGAGGTTCAACCCAAACATCTACGCTAACGGGAAGGTCTGCTTGTCGATCCTGGGCACATGGCATGGAGAGAGACCAGGTGAAGAGTGGTCTTCTGCACAAGGATTGGAGTCGATATTGTGGTCCATCCAGAGTCTGATGAGCAACAATCCCTACGAAAACGAACCTGGTTACGAGAATGCCAAGGGTACAGAGGACAAGAGGATGAATGACCTGTACTGTGCCAAGGTACGTACACCTCCAAAGCTGGACTGGGGTTTTGGCTGAGGACAGGGCTAGATTCGTCACGAAACGCTCCGAATAGCAGTAATCCAGAAGCTCGAGGAGGCACTGGGCATCCAGCCAGATGGCTCACTGGCCGCTCCAGTGCAACCCACAGTCCCGTGGGTCTCCGAGGACGACGAGGAGGGTGGGCCTAAAGCAGACCCCTTGGAGGAACAAATCAAGCTCAAATTCGCTCCGTTCAGAGATCTCTTCAAGCGGCGGTTCCTGTGGTACTTTGAACATTACATGTGCACCATTGAAGAATATACGCCCAAGAACAAGGATGGCTCCGACTTTGTGAAGATGCCCTTTGAAGGCGGAGGTAACAACATGGAAGGCAAGTTCCGATACACTGAGTTGGGTAGAAGACTGGTTCGGATCAAGGAGGTGCTTCGCACAGAAACCGACAACTGGGCGACTGAGGGATTGGCGTTGAAGGAACGAGAGGCGACCAAGGCAGCGGCAGCCCAACGACAATTCGAACAATTGGCAGACTACTTGAAGCGCAAGAAGATGCACAACGTGGCTGTTGAGCTGGAAAATGAGAACCCTTTTGTCTGGATCATGACCTACTTTGGCAGACCCAGCACCCATCTGGATGGCGGGATCTTCAAACTCCGGATGGCGGTGAGTCCTCGGTTTCCGGCCGAACAGCCTCGTGTCAAGATGGAAACACCCATCTTCCACCACAGGGTGTCCAAGGATGGTGTGGTATGCTATTTCCCCAAGGAAGCAGATCAGCTACGGAATCACATTGAGAGCATCGTCGAGGCGTTGGAAGAGGAAAGCCCGCCGTATGACCCGAGGACGATTGTGCACCCGGAGGCTACCAAGTTACTTTGGGGCAGCGAAAGTGATAAGAAGAGGTACTTCCGGCAACTAAGGAGATCGGCGCAGAGGACAACGGAGGAAGGGATGGACATGTGACATGCACATTCTAAGACCTGACCACACCTCAAATCGATCGGTACCGTGGCTGAGGTCGAGCTTGAAAGACGACAAATATTGAAAGGGAAGACTTCAAGGATGAATGCGAAATTAAGAGCCATGGTGCTTTTTCTGCAACAAGCATGGGAGTCGGGAGATGTTCAGGGCTGCACAGATTTACTCTGTATACTTGAAAAGAACCAGGACCATCAGAATGGCGAGTGGGGGGCAACCTGAGCTGGATTTGGCGTTATGAAATAGCAGTCACCATCATATTCGTCCATCCTAATACCGAGACCTGGCTCTCGAACATGGCGCGATGATGTTGAAAAGGGGAAAGGTTGTTTTGAGATGGCCGTTTTCTTCTGCTTCATTGGTGTTTATTCGCTGTAGTCTGAGAGAGGGCTGCCTTTACATGTCAGCTTTCAGATTCCTAGCCTGTCTATAAGGAAGTCACCCAAGTCGTAGAAGCCGATTCCTTGGGATTTGGTGAGGAGCTGAATGAGGCCCAGTGAGGCCGGCCACTTGGAAGGGGATAAGCCACGAGGCTGCAAGGCTGCGGCCTGCAAGGCTGGGGACGATTATGTAATGCTGCACGCCACGAGGAACATTTCAACTCCGGGGCTGCGACCCACTTTTCCAGGAACAGATGCGCATCCCTGAAATTTGCTAGAGAGGATCTCGAGTTCGAGCTGGTTCGACTCCCCTCAGTCCAAGCCAGATCGCCTTGAACTTTGCCCTTCAAAACAATGGAGTCAAAAAGGGAGTCTGAGGTTGACATGACGCCGCGGTCCTACGGCACCGTCCTGGTGGTTGGAGGCTGCGGTTTCTTGGGTTCGCGACTCGTGGATCAATTGCTCAACTTTCCCTCCGAGGACGCAGATTCGGAGTACTTTGCAGCCTCGCCCCAGCAGCGCAAGGGGACAAACGGTGTCGCGACCGTCGATACTTCAAAGACACCCGCCTCTACTTCCATCCCGACCCCTAATCCAGAGAAATACGACATCAACACCCTCCTTCCCTCTTCCTTCCCATCCCTACGCAGTCGCTACCCTCCCACAGACCAGGCCTCCACGTCCATCCACGTGTTGGATTTGAGATGTACTCAGCACATCTTTGCCGGTGCGACCTACCACTCCGCCGACATCACCGACCCGAATTCCCTGCTGGAAGTTTTCCAGAAAGTCAAACCCGACGTCGTCATCAACACCGCGTCTCCGTCGTGGGAGGCCCCTCCGGCCATTCTCCGAAAAGTGAACATTGACGGAACAAGGACACTGTTGGAGGTTGCTGGCGGGAAGAGACACGGCGATTGGGGCGGGTGTGTCAAGGCATTTGTCCACGTCTCGAGCGCGAGCGTGATTCACGACGGCGAATCCGACCTGATCAACGCCGACGAACGATACCCCTACGTGTGTCCGAACCCCAAGGAATACTATTCCGAGACAAAAGTCCTGGCTGAGAAGATCGTGCTCGAGGCCAACGCCAACCGGGACTACAGCAATGGCGGTAAGATGTTGACCTGCGCAGTCCGTCCGGCGGGCATCGTCGGGGAAGGTGATCGTGGGGGATTTTCGGGGGGCATTCTCAGGACAGCATCAGTTGCACCGGACTGGCAACTCCATATCCAATTGGGAGACAATGCAAATCTATTCGACAACACCTATGTATACAACGTGTGCTTTGGGCTACTTTGCGCCGCGCAGGTCCTCCTGAATGGCGGCCGGTTGGGAAATGGGGGGTCGTCGGAGCATGAGAGAGTCGACGGCGAAGCCTTCAACTGCACAAACAACCAACCCGCCTTCTTCTGGGACTCGTCGCGCTATCTCTTTTCGCGGTACGGCCGGACCATCAACCCGAACCGCATCGTCGCCTTACCCATCTCCCTGGCCAGCTTTGTCGGCGGCGCCGCAGAAGTTTTCAACCACCTGACAGGTCGAAAAGGCAAGCTCAACCGCCAGACGGTCAAATACGCCACAATCTCGAGGTATTACTCGTGCGAAAAACTCATGGAGAGGACCGGCTATGTACCCGTGGTGGGACTGGACGAGGGGTTTGCGCGGAGTGTGCATTGGTTCAAGAGGGATGAGGAGCAGCAGTTGAGGGAGAAGGGGGAGTGGAAGAAAGAGCAATAGATCATGGGGAAAGAATGAGACGGGACGAGACGAGATGGATAAAAGTCCTTTGATGCTGAAAACCGCTTTCAATGCAGGGTTCGTGGCATGTCCATACAGCCCGGGCTACCGCGCTCGCCAGCACTGGGCGAATATAAATGGGACTCTCACAGGCCAAACCAGGGGAAGAGAAGAAAAGGGGTCCATTTTGAAATTGAGGACAGAGATGGGTATCTTCTTGATTTGGACAAACAAGATAATGAGCGGAATATAGACAGACTCTGGCGTCTTGCGGTGGGTTTTTTGTCGGAGGGGAGGTTGTCAGTCAATCCTACTCGGTACATCTACAGTAAATATGGCGGATATACCTCGTACTAGAAAAGGCATCATGCATGAATGAATGAAACAGATTGCTACAATACGACTGATTTGGTTGAACACCTAGATGAAAATCCTGTCTCATATACAGACCGCAGGGCAGAGCAGGGGACGGGACAATTAATGGAAGAAAGTACCTAATGATTGCATTCCAAAAAATTGACATCATCCGTGTGGTTGGTATCAATTCCCCATGCCATTGCGCTTTTGTGTGTCCGGTGAGGAATTCCACTCGGCCAGATTTCCCGGTGGCGTGTTTCGTCGGGGACTCGTGATGACGAGAACGAGAGTCTCCGTTATTATGTGTCAGCTTTGCCATTGCGGAATGAAGGTTCAAAGAGTGAGAAGCGGTGCGTGTACCCGTGTACAAACAAGGACCCTCGTGTGTCTGGCTGGCGTGGCGCGTATAAACTACCTGTAGCCTGTAGGGGCGTAGAAGAGGGAACTTCGGGTCCGTATCCCCCCCGTATTCCCCCGTGAGACGTGTCTGGAGACAAGTCAGGCCACAGGACCCAAAGATGGGTCACCGGTCAGGCAACGACTGCTTGGGGAGATTCCAAAACCAATTGAATCGAGCGGCCGGACGGAAAACGCATTTGAAGAATAATACCAGAGTAATCAGTGATGAGGACGGACGGGGAACCATCGTATACCGAGTACAGCAGGGAAAGGACCTCGAACTCGGTATGGACCTCGGGTATTCATCGTTTCTGCCCATGGTCCCCACGGCTGGTTAACATATGCGGTAGCGGAAACATACTGTCTCGTGTTGGGGGAATCAGAGCGACGAAATATGATGAGAAGAGGAGGAGGCAACACCGTTGCGTTGCGTGATGACTTGGGGGCTATGGAGCTGTAAGTAATGTAAGGAGGTGGTCGGGATCAGATCCTCTTGTTGGTCATCATTGTCATCAGGATAGGGAGGATATCGCAGTGGGGGACGACATCCCAGTGCATTCCCCATCCATGCAAAGGTGCAACGACGGGCAAGACGGCTGAAACTTGGAATCAAAACCACTTCAAAGCGTGCGTAGTCGGTGGACGATTCCCGCCCAACAGGGGGTATATCACCTATGCTTCCATCCTTGGCACTGTAGAATAATTCTTGGACTTGCCAGTGGAGAGACCAGACTCTGCAGGAGGAGACATCGCCTTACCACACTTCCAATCAGTCGTTTAGGCATCTGCTCACCTTTCTCGTGTCCATGTCCCAGTTTGATCGCCGGCCGGTATAACCTCTCAATCGGACTGGAGCATGAAAGTCATGCTGCATGCATGCCACTCTTTGCAGTGAGCTGGCGTGCATGAGGTGCTATCGGAGACGACGATCAGATGGGGGTGCTCATACTTCCGATCTCCTTTGGAGAGTCCCTAGTAGACGATTGGACACGCAATGTTGCCCCTGATTTTCCGAACAGGCGGCGAAAATCGATTGTGAATCCAGGTGTTTCCCAGACGTTCTTCAGGACGAATGCGCACTGGGTACTGGAGCAGGGAGCCGACCTTTTCCGCTTTTGACAATTGAATATCGGGGAGAAGCCTCGCCGTCGTCCTTGGTACCACTAACCACTATTCGCCGGGGCCATCTGCCTTTTGGGATATGCAATCAACTTTGACCACAGAGCAACAGAGGCTTGGTCACAAGTCCGTCATGGTGCACCAAGGACTAGGACAGATATGCAGTCCATTGACCCTTACCTGGCCTTATTCCAGGCAATGTAAAGAGAAAAGCACTTGCAGTCAGACCTCGATGGGTGCTTGAATGGAGGAGCTCGAACAGGAGTCTGACCAACCTCTTGCAAGCTGCAAGCCAAACGAAAAAGGGTTACGTCCAGCTGTTTCTGCACCAGCTTACCGAGACAGGATTGACAGTGGAAGGTCGCAAAATAAAATCCTGCCCTGATAGTGAGTGTATCGCGCTGCATCCCCGGCGCGACAGCTGGTAAGAAGAGCACGGCCTTGAACGGAAAGGAATAATTGAAAGCATGAAGATGCAACCAATCCAGCGTTTGCAGGAATGGCTGTCGCGGTCCCCATTTCCCTCGGGTATGGCTGAGAGGCATATCATTCGCGAACAAAAAGTCCCTTGCTGGGAGGTCGTGTTTGGTAAGATAGGGCCAGACTCCAGAGCACATATCCGCATATTTCGGCTGCTTCATGCCGGTACGCCGTGCTCCTGCGACTTCTCGAAACTCCTTGCTCGGCATTTTCCGAAACCTTCGCTGACTAGATTCAGAGAGGACATAGTTTCGGCCTTTTGGCGGCCATTTCTGCCTCTCCTGCATGGACTGGAAAACAGCCTTTCCTGCGCTGCCTCTGTCGAATAAGGTGTCTGATTCTGCCCTGTGGTCAGCTTGAGAGTTGCCAGGGAGTACAGTCCTGATGTACTCCCTACAGATGTGGATAAACAACCCTCCTCTTCCGAGAGGTCACTGTGAATCCCCCTCCCACCATCATCGTACTGGGATATGGTCAATTTGCAAGGTCCAGTGCTGAGGTGGGTTTGAAAGCAATGTCTGGCAAGAGCAAACCTTTCTCCAACTATGCTTTCTCCAAAAGCTGCGAAAGCAAGCTATGGAATGTCATCCGAGTTACCTTCGAATTGGCTTACGAACTTGTATGTGGCTGAAGATCGCCAGGGCCGAGATTTTTCGTAAGACCGTTCTCAGAAACATGAAGCACTAGTTCCAACCCTATTGGTAGATGGCTTTCACTGCTGAAGGAAATGTGATTGAGCTTAACAGCGCGTTGGCCAGACGAGACTCAAACACTGAGGAGACGTGTAAGCAAGCGGTCACTGGGGCCTCTCGGCCTCCTTGTGGAATCGACGCACGTGCTGTGTAAAACATCAGAACTGAAACCATTCGGGGTTCCGGTGTGGACAGAAATGGTGCTCGGCAGGATGTCATTCCCACGGTAAAGTTTTGAGATACTCGTGGAAGCACTTCCATCATCCTTCTAGGCCTGTCCATTGAAGGATACCTCTACCCGGGTCTGAAGCGGGAACAAGGGGGAAATCAGCCTTCGCAGGACGCTTTTACGAGAAGGGAACACGGTGAACGCAAAAATGAAGAGCACGAGGGTTGCTGTTGCAGAAAAATAAAGCACGGCAGTCGTCATGCAGTAGTGCAGCCTAAGATGGGGGAGATGATTGGCGCCCTCTTTTGAACCGTGCCAACCGAGGAGACGGGTCAGCTGAGGGCCTTGTAACCTCATTTGTGAAGCCAAAACTGTTTTCATGGAGAGGCAGAGAGGGTGCAGTAGCTCCGGATTCGACATGGAGATCGAGCGACTCTGGAACTCTGGAAAAAAGAAAAACAGAAGGGTGTAGTGGTAGAGGCTGGAAATCGGACAGGATGTCTTTTTTTTGACCATCCTTGTACACCCGAACTATTGTGGACGAGGCCACCAAGTTTGTGGGATCTAGAGAGTGCATGTCGAGGTGAGAAAGGGATCGGTCGCACAAAGGGTGTTTGCAGCACAAGCCCAGGGAGATGACACGCATCCTTCGAGTTGAGGAGGGTTGATTGGACCGGTGGCCTTTCCCTGCTTGTTTCATCCAGCGTCTGAAGAAGTTTGAACGCAGCCAAAATTCCTGGGGTGCACGGGTGTCATACTTAGCCACGGTGCCTGGGGTGAGAGCAGAACATCCGATGACGAAGGGGGTCCTGCAATGACTGCGATGACCGCAATGGACCTGGCGAGTTTGGTGCAGCCCTGTCCGACAGTGGAGAGGGTGAGAGGGGTCGACGGGCACCCACATTGTGTTGTCATCATTCCAGAAACATTGACATTATTTTTTTTTTGGGTGCATGATCTCGGAGATGTCATGCTCGTCGACGCAATCGACCCTCCTGTTCCCGTCTGTGCCGTCGCTGAGGGGGGGAGGGCACGTAGACGGTAGGGGACGTCTCAAGCAGGCTATGCTGTAGCCGAGCAAACCGTCAACAAACAGACGGAATTGAAAAAGTGGGGAGAGGTGAGCGAGCCAGCGACTGACGGGCGAGCACACGGGAATAAGGATTGTCAGCAAAAAGATAGATGAGAGGCCAGAGCCGATGGATCGAAAGAGTTGTCGGGTTTGCAATCATAGGGCCGGCATCGAGGTGAGCCTTTGGGCGAGGGAGCTATTCAGAGGAAGCGTTGTGCCAGGTGGAGGGGTCGCAGGCCGTAGTTCAGAAACAGACATTGGACGAGAGACAAGAGATCCTAGCAAGGACTAGGAAGGATGTTGAGTTAATCTTTGTTTAGCAGTTTAGCAGATGGTTTGCTGCGCAACCTGCGCTCGATGTGCCGACGAGGAGAAGCAAAGGTGAAGGTATTATTGGTGAGATGGCGAGTCGGCAAGAGGAATAACGCCTGGGTCTGCATTAGCTAGGCGTAGCCAAAAGGGAAGGAGACGTTGGAGGCACCAGAAGCCCACGGGCCCCGGCAGCCCTCGCCTTGGCGGTTGGGTCTGTCTTCGGGGGACCTTCTTGGGTGCCTCGATGCTTTGAAAGCAAGCCTGGTGAGCCCCACCGCTAAACCGCCCTAACGAGATCACCGGCATCTACTCCCCAGGTGCAGCCAGTCGCACGCCCTCGTCGCAATGTCGTAGCTCGTAGGCGCTTTGGCTGCCCATCCTCACACAGTTGACTTGCAAACTCAAGGGAGAGAGGGAGAAACCCTTACAAGGAGAAACCCCTACGGAGTACGAGGGGAGACCCTCAGACCACCTAGCTGCCCGTGCCTTACCCTGCCTGACCCTGCCTTCTTGTCAACTGTCCCACTATTCTCCTGCGAACCCCCTTCGATCACTGGCTGCGAAAAATAATTGCCCAGCGGCGGCACCAACTGAGCCTTTCTCTCTTGGGCGCTGCGTCTCCTCCAAAATACTCCGGTTCTCCATTCCACATCCACCACATCGCAGCTTCAATCATCTCTTGCCCAAATTTCTCCCTAGACAATTATCACCATCGTTCGTTACTCCGACTGCCATTGCTGTGGCCGGTTCCTTGTCTCTCTCCACCTGTGATGTAGTCGTCTTGGTCTTTGTCCTTCAACAAACCCCAAGAGAGAGGAAAACACGCCGCTCTTCTCGCGTGAACCGCCGCCCTCCTCCCTTCCAACCGCTCCCTCTACAGTCCCTCGACACGCAAAGAACACTCGTTACAATCCTCCACCTTCGACACTCCTTCCTCTCTCCGCAACGGCACCGACACCATATTGACGACTCTGCCAGCGATGTCAAGATAACGGGGGACTTTTTGGCTCCAGGGTGGGTCAAAAGTCATAAAGGACCCTGCCCGTTCCCCGGTCGCTGTCCTCTCCGTCAACGACTTGTCTTTGAAAGACCCTTCCTCTTGCAGCAGGAGTAATGGCCCGGGATGAATCTGAGCAACAATATTTGGAGCCCCCGATCATCACGGCCATCAAGAACGACGCGGGTTACGGGAATGAAATGAATCGGCATGCGATGGAAAGGTCATTCAGCCAGGACATTCAAGAAGGCACTCAAGAGCTAAAAGAGGCGGCCGAACAGACTCGGAATATCATTCTTGATCTCAGCTTAGATGGCCATGTTCGCTGGGTCAGCCCCTCTTGGACCGATGTTGTCGGCACTGATCTCGAGCATGTTCGAGGTCGCAAGATTTCGGATTTCATCAGTGACAATCCCCGTGTCTTCGATTCCGCTATCGAAGCACTGAAGTCCAATGATTCCAAGAGTCAGTTCGTGAAATTCGCCGTCAAGGTTGGCCCCTCCTCCGACATGGGGAGTATGCTACCGACAACCGACGGCCAGGAACCGAGTGAGGACAATGTTGAAACCGATGCAAGTGGAAACGCAACCCTCGAACTGGAGGGCCAGGGAATCATGGTCTACGACAGGACGTCCGGAGGGGAATCGCACACCATGTGGATGTTACAGCCAGCTCAAGAGCCCGTCCGCATCGAAATAGCTCTACCTCGAGCACTCGTCGAAACCCTTGGAGTTGGCGCAGAGATTCTGGCAAAATACCTCACTGAGCTTGCAGAGTTCGGGGCTAACGACCCCGAGAATCACCCACCGCCCCTTCCTATACTCTGTCGGGTGTGCGAAAGATCCATCGTCCCGTGGTGGTTTGAGAAGCACTCGGATCTTTGTGTACAAGAACACAAGGCTGAAATGGATGTGCAGATGGTTCAAGAAAATCTCTCAGAACATCGGCACGCAATTGTCAAAGTGCTCGACGCTTTCGAGGTCCGTCAAGGGCGAGGCTCAGGCGGCGAAACAACCACCCCCGCCTCAGTTCCTGAGTACAAGGGTATGCCGATCGGCCCATCGCCAACCTCTTCAACTGGCGTCTCTTCCGCTTCAGCATCTCATAGTGCCAGTCCGGTGAGATCTCGAAGTCCGTCCACGGCTGGTCTCGGTCATGCTCGGGCTCGTTCATTCGTGGTCCGGCGCCCTTTGGTGCGCATTGTGGAATTGATCCTAGACCTGTGCGACACGGCCATTGAAATCAATGTACCCTCGATCAAGGACAGCAAAAGCTCTGCGGAAGACGACTTCAAGTCGCAGTCCCCACAGTCAGAATCCAGAATCTCCCAAATTATCCAATGGCAACCTCCAAGCAGCCTGGACAACGAGCCCGGCTTAGCTGCCTTGAGTGCGGATACCGAAAAATTGGCTCGTGCAAAGGTCGATGCAGTCCACCGATATCAAAATGTTTTGGAATACTCTGAGCGGATCCGACAAGAGTACATGGCTGAAGTGGATGCATGTATCAACGAAGCTTTGATCAAGGCTGAAAGGGCTGCAGCAGGTGAGGCATTGTCTTCCAGTGAAAGCGAGTCTGAAGAGGAGCCTGCTCTAGAAGGCATTCTCGAAAGCCCGGGAGAAGATATGGAGTCGACGCCTCAGCCGCTCCCTATTGACACTACCGAGCCTGAAGCGAGTCGAAGCACATCTTACGTCGGATTGAGGTCAATGGCTTCCGCCCTCAGAAATCCAAGAGACTTGCCCCATATCACCATGGGAGCCGACAAGAGACGATCTTCATCTCAGGCGGTTTCGACCGGCTCCAGCAGCCCAATCGAATGTCCCACCCCAAAGTCTCATCGGAGCAATCTCATCTCTCAACCACAACCAATCTCGAACAGGCGGTCGATGTACATTGATGACGCCAACGACAGCGACAGCAGTCTTCCACCGCCCTCTCTGTTGTCCGGCAATTGGCGGGCCGACTCTCCAGCCTCTGTATCCGATCATGGTCGAACTGCTCAGTCACGAGACAGGAAGAGGCGGAGCATGCATCTTCATGGCCTTAATTCGGCCTCACCCCATCGCCAGCAGTCTCCAGGAAGATACCCGCCGCCGCCACCATCACCGCTGCGAATGACCAAGTCTAGAATTCCCAGCGGAGAAATAGCCCAATCGCCTGTTGTGTCACCATTGCTGACGGCCGGCGAATTTGTGCCCCCAAGCAATGGTCCGACTCTGCATAGAAGGCAGTCATCGATGCATTCGTCTGACCTGAAGACCCCTGCCTCACCTATGTTGAACTCTATTTCTCATCCGCAACAACGGTCGCAGCCCCCTTCAATCAAGGATTTTGAGATCATCAAGCCGATCAGCAGAGGTGCCTTTGGAAGTGTGTATCTGGCCAAGAAGAAAATCACTGGCGAATACTTTGCTATCAAAGTGCTTCGCAAATCGGACATGATTGCCAAAAATCAAGTCACAAATGTCAAGGCTGAACGCGCCATCATGATGTGGCAAGGGGAAAGCGATTTTGTTGCCAAATTGTACTGGACGTTCTCCAGCAAGGATTATCTCTACCTGGTCATGGAGTACCTGAACGGAGGTGATTGCGCTTCACTCGTGAAGATTCTCGGAGGTTTGAGTGAAGACTGGGCTAAGAAGTACATCGCTGAGGTCGTTCTCGGGGTCGAACATCTGCACTCTCGAGGGATTGTCCATCGTGACTTGAAACCCGATAATCTTCTGATCGACTCCAAAGGCCATCTCAAGCTTACCGACTTCGGTCTGTCTCGCATGGGCCTTGTTGGTCGACAAAAGCGTGCACTCAAGCAACCAGATGAGGCCGTGCCCGATCTTCTGAAGCAAGGTCCTTTCACTCAGAGCGGTTCAGGCTCGAATCCGACCTCGAGATCCACCTCCTTTGATTACCAAGGCCCCCATTCGCCAGCACCGACACCTCTCATGACGCCCGCTTTCACCGGAGGTCTTGATCAACCTTCTTACTTCAGCTTGAATCGGGAAAGCTCTCTAAGCCGAGAAACTTCACTGAGAAACTCCGGCTATCGGAGTGATAGCGGCAGCGGCTCAAGCTTCGATCTCCATCAGCTCTTCAAAAAACTCGGCGTGCACGAAGACACGGATTCCCCTCCTCAGATCTTCCCTCGAAAGATCGAAGAAGAAGCGTACAGTCAGGGCAGTGCATCGCCTGATCTCTTCCCACTGTCTCAGTCGATGAGTAATATCTCTCAAGCCGCTCCCGCTCCTTTAACTTCTCAGATCTTAGCTCCCCCACTGTTTGAGCCTGAAGAGAGTGATCGTCGTTTCGTGGGTACGCCAGACTATCTGGCTCCCGAAACTATTAACGGCACCGTACAAGATGAGATGTGTGACTGGTGGTCTTTGGGGTGTATCATGTTCGAATTCCTTTATGGCTTTCCACCTTTTAATGCAGAGACGCCGGAAAAGGTATTTGACAACATTCTGAACCGGAGAATTGCCTGGCCCGAGGACGACGAAATCGAAGTCAGTCCAGAAGCGAGAGATCTCATTGACAAGCTCATCCAGCTCGATCCGAGAGAAAGACTGGGTGCAAATAAGGACGAGAAGTACCCAAGTGGTGGCGCCGAGATTCAAGCGCATCCCTGGTTTGCTGACATCCATTGGGATACACTCTTAGAAGACGAAGCCCAGTTTATTCCCAACCCCGAGCATCCAGAAGACACCGAGTACTTTGATTCGCGCGGGGCCACCTTGTCTTCCTTCCCTGAAGAACTAGAAGACCAAATCTCGCCAGCTGGTACAACTCCCAACGGTTCAGAATATCCCAATCGTCCGCACGATGCACTCTTTCGAGTCAGAACGCAAGCTAGTTCTGCTAAGCGTGGCCTCATGCCTCTCCACATTCCTCCCCATGTGGCACGCGATTCCCGCAGTCGAAGACTCAGTGAGCCTGTCATTGCCGACGACTTTGGCAATTTTACTTTCAAGAACTTGCCCGTGCTGGAGAAGGCCAACAAGGACATAGTTGAAAGAATGAGGAAAGAAGCGATGCAAGCGCAAGCTAGAGGCTATGCTCATTCGCAAGCTATGTCTGCCACTAACAGTCCTGCACTGGGATCTCCTGGGCCTTCCCTTGAAGGCAGTCCAATGATGCCGATGCCGGTCAAGCGGGCGCTATCTATCAGCAAAGGTCACAGGCCTGGCTCTCCGTCGAGCCTAGGTACCTCCAACTCGTCTCCTAGCAGACCTTCTCAACCTTCTTCACCCCTATTAGTGCAATTCTCCGCAGCGCAGCATCACGATAGACGAAAGACCTCTGGCTCTTCCCAAGGAAGCAGCTCTCTTGCTCCGAGTAGCTTTTTCGATATCCCTCATGATGCTATCAAGCATGGACAAACGGCCACCTCGTCCCCTATCAAAGCTGCTCGGATGCCGTCAGTCTCGCCCGCCAAAGGTATGCCTCCACCACGCGCTACTACAGTCAATGGCCGCACCAGGTCGCAGACTGTCGGCTCACAGGAAAGTGATGGACAAGCTCCTCAACGAGAAGCCTTCGTGCCCGGTCATCACAAGCGCAAGAGCCAACTACTCGTCAGAGATGTTTCACCATCGTCTTCGGACAACGAGTCTGCGCAAGCAAAGGCACTGCTCAAGGTTCAACGTCGGCGGCAGAGCTCAAGGAGACTGTCACAGATCAACTTTCTTGAGGGCCCTACGTATCGACCTCTGGACGTCCTGATCTGCGAGGATCACCCAGTGTCCAGGATGGTAATGGAGAGGCTGTTTGAGAAATTACGCTGTCGGACGATCACAGCAACCAATGGCCCTGATGCTCTACGACTTGCTGTTAGTCAGATTCAATTTGATGTTATCTTCATGGAATTCAAGCTGCCTCTTATCAGTGGGGTCGACGTGGCTCGCATGATTCGAGACACAAAGAGCGCCAACACCAGCACCCCAATTGTCTGCATCACGGGATATTTGAAAGATCTTCCCGAAGTCCACCACTTCGATACTCTGATGCAGAAGCCGCCGACCACTCAAAAACTGACCGAGATGTTGGCCAAATACTGCGCTTGGAAGCCCGCGCCAAAAGACTTCCGGATGGCAGTTCCGTTAACCATCCCACATCTCAACACACGATTTGAACCTGTGCCCACGCAAGATAGCCCCAGCTCTGTGGCTTCGAGCTTGGCACCGACTATGCCCGACTCGTCATATCGAGGCTCAGGCCGGGAGGATTCTATTGGCAGTGGCGGGTTTTTTAGTGATTTGGAATCCTTCAAGAGCGATGATATTCCGGTCATTGTGTCTCGAGCCGCGACGGATGAATGGGCAAAGGCTGGATTAGGGATTTCCGACGATATCGTGATAGGGCAGCGACCTTATATCCAGTCAGGATACCCTCATCTTGTTCATACCGAGTCTGCACCCCCGAGCGCTTGCGTCGATGACACTGGTGGATATGGTCTTCAAACTCCCCGGCGGCAAAAGTCATCGGAAGCTGTCAGAACGAAGCGAGAACTGCTCGAGAAGAACATGAACCATGCGAGTGGAGCAGCCGAAGAAGGAGATGATGAAGACGAGGAACTGGGTGATGTCCAAGTGCGGGCGCGGTCACCAATCGGTAAACCCCCACGGCCATCATCGAAACTCGGAATCGAAATGATGCGCACAAACAGTCGCGGAAGTGTCATCTCTATGGGTGAAGACAGGCCAGCGGAGGCAGACAGCCTTCGGAGGTCTTTGGAGATTCTCGAAGAGCGCATGGAGAATCTCAAAATCCCCGAGGAACCCAGTACGGCTTCGTTGACAGAGATCCAGCCGCGGAAGAAGCTGGAGAGAAGCATCTCTCAGCATTCACATCCTGAGCAGGAGATTATGCGTTCGCCCAGCAGCCAAATCACCCCACCGGTCATATTCTCCCCCAAACCAGGAACCACCTTTGCCGATATCGAGATGGATATCACTCCTGTGCCGACGAAGATGGTCAACATCGAAGAGGAGCCTACCCCGAAGCCCCAAGGCAGTCCCTCAGGAGCAGAAATCACACAATCTCAGCGCTAGCTTTATTCTACCCGTTCTCATGTGTATATGCGATTATGACTGACTTATGGAAATTTTGCTTGAACGATGGAGCCTGGGGTTTTTTTCATTTCCTTTGTACACAATGACCTGTTTGCAAGGCGCTGGAGGAGAGGGAAATTCAAGCATTATTGGCGTTATTCTTGAAGGCGGGAAAATGCACCCATAGCATACATGTACTCCGTGTTTCCTTCTGTGGCGTCCATGCCTCGGCGCATGGTCCTGGACAACAAGGCTTAAATAGTTTGACAATACAAGATACACCATCATTCTCTACCATGAAATGATATTCTCCCTGCGTTTTGTCTGTGTGCAGTGCTCTGTAGCTACCAAGTGAGTAGGAAGGATCTGGCTCGATGGCGGACGCTCATGCCAATTGTGAATAAATTACAGCAATTGTGGTAAATTACAAGGCAGATTACAATAGTGGCGGCCGCGTATGGATAATAGCCATTCTGACTGGCTGTGCTGGTCAACTCCTGCCTGGTTGACACCGGTTCTGATATACACCTGCCCAAGTTCTTGCGAGCTGGTGAGTCGCTGTTGATAATTTTCCGTAATAGGCTTAGCGCGGGAGTGCACCCTCCAGGTATATCCTCCTCAGCGCTCACGCGCCCTTCGGGCGCCTCTCTTTTCCTCTCCTCAGGACTCGAAACGATGACACAAAGGTAAGCACCCTTCTCAACAAGTATCTACGTGATAATCTGACAGGCTTTCTACAGCCAAATTGTTTTTCGACCGTCTCCGAGCCCTTCGCCGCCGCCTGCGCCACCAGTGCCGAGCCCCTGGACCACCCCCATGAAATGGGTGGTGGTCACGGGGGTCATCGGGCTGGTGGCGACCACCCTGGGACTCCTGTACGGAGACAAGATCCGGGCCTAGGTGGCCCAGGTCCCAGGGTGGCTTCAGGGCCACTTAAACCCCCCCAGGGAGAGATCTCCCTTACCGGTGCCGTTGGAGCCGGTAAGTGCCCGAGAAGAACCTGGGGGGGTGGCGGTGGCCCCTGAAGAGGCGGCGGCGGAGGGGGAGGAAGAAGAAGAAGAAGAAGAAGGAAGAGGAGAAGGAGAAGGAGTAAGTCCATCTTCACATCTGGTGTTGAAGTGACCGGAATGCTAACTGATATCACAGAGCGCTGTGTGAGGTTTTTTGGGCGGCTGTTGCGTTATATTTTTACACAGTGGGAAGCGGGCCTATTCTTATCTTATATTTTTTAGCCGGGCGTGGTCTCTGCCTCCACGTGGCGCTCGGTGGAAACTTGGGTTGGTTGTCCCAAGGCTAAAGAGACCCCAATGTGCCCGCTCCCACTGTGTAACAAGAGATGGCTTGGAAGACTTCAATGAGTACATTCATCGGCGAACGAGTTCACACAATCACCTTGATTGTCATGTCGACCGCTGCTCTCAGTCCAAAAGAGTATGCACAACCATCAAAATCAACCTGTCGACCGCTGCTCTCAGTCCAAAAGAGTATGCACTACCATCAAATTCAACCTGTCGACCGCTGCGCTCAGTCCAAAAGAGTATGCACAACCATCAAAGTCAACCTGTCGACCGCTGCTCTCAGTCAAACAGAGTATGCTCAACACCCTGAACTCAACCTGTCGACCGCTGCTCTCAGTCAAACAAGAGTATGCACCACCAGCCGAACTCAACCTGAAGTCTATCAGAATGTGAAAGTTACTCAATGTCTTCCGTCACGCTACTCTCAGTCAACCAGAGTATGCACGACAAGCCAATCTCAAGCTGAAGTCAAGAAATGCGACATTCTTCAAAATTTGCCAACCACTGCTCTCGCTCCAATAGAGCATATTGCATTCAAGCCGAGCTCGACCCGAAGTCACCCAAACACTCAAGGTCCTCAAGACCTACTGGCGACCACTCCAACGGAGCATCCAAAGCTCAAGCTGTCTTCAACCAAGATTCGTCATGGGTTCCAAGTCCCTGAGATCTCCTGTGATCATCGCTCTTCATCAAACAGGGCATCAACAACCTTACCCACTGTGTTCAGCCTGGACTCCATCAAGATTTCAAGACCACCAAATCAAATCAAAACCTATCAAATTCAAGGTTCTCGAAAGCTGTCGACTGCTGCTGTCACTTCATCAGAGCAGGTACGAATTGAACGGTGCCAACCTGACAACCCTCAAACTCAAGGTCCTCGAGACCTTCTGTCGACTGCTGCTCTCGTTCTATGAGAGCTTGTAGAAATCGAACGATTTCAACCTGAAAGCCCCAAACACAAGGTCCCTTGTTGACTCCCAGAGTATGCGGAAAACAAGCCTCGCTCAACCAGAAAACTCCCAAACTCTAAGATCCTCAATACGCTTTGCCAACCAATCTTTGGCTCAGACCACCTGGATTGATCCCAACGAACCACTGGCTGTGCTTTATGCACCACCATGTTCAACACGAAGCGTCCTCAGCCAATATGTCTCACTTTGCAGCCTGGCTCATCAAAGAATTCCATGGAACAAAAAAACCTTGCAAACATGTCGAGTCTTAGGACCTGATGGAGGCAAAGTTGGGGTCCACTGCAAGATAACACCATTTAAGAAGCCTTTGGTCGCCAGTTCGTCACGTCAGACAACACCAACAAACATCCTGCTTCGATACTTTGTGCAAGACCCCAAATCAACCTGGTCGGCTCCCGCAAGTTGGGACTAGTAACTCTTCCCTTAGCAATGGCGACTTGCAGGACCTCCATCATCTTGACAATGCTGCTCAGTCTCCTTCAAGTCTCAGCCAGACCTGCGTCGGAGACGCCGACACCGACGCCGACACCGCAGCTGTGCTCACCACTTGGCCATCCGGATTTGAAATGCGGAGATCGGTTTACTTGCGAGAAGGGTTGGCCTTCGGAGACGGGCAATTACGGGCTGAACAATCTCACTGTGAAGCTCAGAGCTCGCGACGCACCTCTACGGGTGATCTTGCTCGGTGAGAACGGTACGAAATTCGCAAACAACGAACATCCAAGCTATCAACGTCGATCACCCGTTGCCCCCCAGTCTCAAGGCTCTGAAGGCGCCTTGGTGGTCGGAATGCCAGGACTCGTGATCGGGCCTCAGTGTTGCCGACCGACGGTCGAATGTTACAAATTTTTCAACGACGAGGTCAAGCTCGATGGCGTCGATCATAACGGTCGTCTCTTGATAGACGACTTGAATGACTGGAAAAAGGCAGAATGTTGCATGTCGGATTTCCAGCAGTCCCAATCTTGGTGTTTATTTCCTCCCGCTCGAAATCGATGGATCGAGTGGCATGAGCCACCGGGGTGCGCCGACGTACACTGAAAGGCATTTTGCATCAAGGCACACGCCTGCTGCAGCTGGAGAGAGTCGCCTTGAGTGGCCGATGATTGGTGATGCGAGAATATGAAGGGTGAACGTGACTTGATGGAAAGTTGGACAGTCTTTTCTTATGGAGAGATGTCGGCGCAGTACCTTGGACAGGTTTACGTACATAACTGGTTATGAACATCATTGGCTATACCATGGACCAGGAAGACGGAGCCGATCCGAATAGATGGCTTACAATTAGGTAGCTCCAAAAGATACTTGAACTCCCTGCCATGTCTCTCTTCATCACTCCACCGTTTTCCTTCGTAATGGCCCATCAGTGCCTGTGCAAGCTCTTTGGCGCCGCTGCTGTACTCGGTAGTCTCCAGAGCATTCATGGGAAGGAGAGAGAATAGTATCGGTGGGGGTGGTCAAAGCTCAATTTAGTGCCTTGAGCGCCTCTTTTCTGGCTCTGCATCGATGTCCTCTCTCGCCATCGAGCCTTGTCATATTCTCGCTTGAAATCTCGTGATATCTCTCGGAACATGTCGAAAGGAGATGATGGAAAGCTGGCCAGCCTCCTTCTCCAACATTGAATATCTGTCCCGGTCCTTGATCTTCCTACCGGAGCAGTCTACAAAACGGCTGAGGCAGATCAGACTGATGCTGCATGTCAACCAGGTCAAAACTTGATAGTCCACGGCACGAGATGACACTGTTCGCAGACGCAGTATCTACGGATTTAGGTGAGACCGAGACAAACCTACAGCCACCGCCAGCGGAAGGAGATGACGAAGATTTGAGATTCACGCATATGTTCATCCCAAGGAACGAAAGAGGGAGGTTCGCGTTCCAACAAAAGTGTAGGGGTAGCGGATAGATCGGCTCTGAAGATGGAAAATGATAAGATGGCACAGAACTCGAGCTATATTCCTAGGTAGGTTTGAATACTGAAGTCGAAGACAATACTGAAGGGGCCTCGAGACACTGGCATTCTCAGATACAGCCGACCTCACTTGAATAAATCTAACGGGAGTCATAACAAAGGGAAGATATACTGGCAGAGGCGATTGACCAGGGATTTTTTCTGGATGGCAAGCAACCAAGCCGCGCAACCTTGAGACGAAGGAGACCGGAAAGCCCGCCCCGCCGCCGTTCGACTCCAGTGCTGGATCTATTTTGGCTGGGACTTGCGTTGGAATGCACATGCGGAGCCACCAGACACCATGACCAAAGGAGCGTGGGAAAAGAGTGAGACCATTTGGCGGCACGACGTCAAGCAGCGGGAAGCTTTCCAGCTGTCGGTCCCATCATATCAACGTGCAGTCCATGACACGGCTGTTGGACCTAACAGGATCGGTTGAGAGGAGAGAGAGAGAGAGAAAACTAGCTACCAACCTCCCTACCATAGTAGGTCGCAAACAATGCAAGATTCATACCTTCCTAGGTACCTACTAGGTACTTAGGTAGCTGTGGATCCTTGTTGCCCCGATTGTCGTGTCGTTCCATGCTGCTCGGTTGAAGCGCACCTGCATGCACAACCTGCAGTTGCCATCGAAGGCGCAGGCTTGGCAATCGGCGCAGTGGAAATGTATGTAGTAGTAGCATTCGTCACTCTCTCAGCAACTTACCTACCTCAGCAACACAACCAATTCATTCATTGACCGCACCATTGCTCGCCACCACCTTCAACGCCGAGGGTGGCAGATGTCGGCCACTACAATGGCTGACATTGCTGGCTTGTCCGGCACCCATACAGCGCTCCCTATGGTACATACCTAGGTGAACTCGACTGCGCCCGGGCGCCTCCCGGGCGCCTTTCTTTTCTTTTCTCGGGATTTTGGCAATATGGCACCGTAAGGCACTCCTCTCTCAACGTTCATTTATGTGATGTGTACAGAGTACATCTGGCTAACTAGTGTTCGATAGACAGTTGAACATTCCCGCTCCAACTCCACCCCCACCCGCGCCCCAGGCCGGGAAAATACACGGCGCGGGTGGGGGATACATCATGGCACCGTAAGGCCTTCTCTGGACGCGTATCTACGTGATGTGTATACAGGATATCAAGTTAACCGGTGTTCAACAGACAGATGATCCTCCTCCCCACCCCGCCCCACAGGTACCTTTCTTTTCCTTTCCTCGGGACGAAAGCATGGCACCAAGGTAAGCCCCCCTCTCAACGCGTATCTACGTGATGCGTATAGCGTATCCCACCAGGCTGACCGGTGTTCAACAGCAAGATCAACACGGAAGCTCCTCCGACTCCACCCCCACCAGCAACGCCATGACCCTGGACCACGCCCATGTACTGGGTAGTGGTCAATGGTGTACGTACCCTTCACCTTTTGAGTCTACACCAGTCACTGACTTTCAATCAACAGGTGTTGCCGTTGTTGGTGGGCGTCCTGGGACTCGTCTTGACGCTCATGCTCAAGGACAAAGTGCGAGCCTAGTTGGCCCAGGTCCCAGGGCGGCTTCAGCGCCGCCTAAACCCACCCAAGGAGGGACCTCCCCCACCGGTGCCGTTGAATCGGGTGGGTGCCCGAGGAGAACGAGGGGGAGGGGGCAGCGGCCGCTGAGGTGGTGGAAGAGGAGGAGGAGAGAGTAAGTTCATCCATATATCAATCATGTTTAAGGTGTCCAGAATCTAACTGATTTTACAGTCTGCCGAGTACCACTCGGTCAACGAGTACCCCACTCGTTGAGTGGTTTTGTCGCCGACGTTTTTTTGGAAGGGTGGGCAGCCACGGCGCGCCTGGATACTTGTACCAGGACGAGCGCAGGATGATTGTAAGTGGCGGACGCTCAATGATCAGACGTGGATATAAAAGGGAACTAATGACTGGTGTTGATATAGAGTGCGGAGTACGACTCCGTCAACGAGCACCACTCCGTCAACAGAGCGGTGTGAGCAGCCACTGTGGGTGTCGTTGGCGGCGCCCAGGGCAACAACATGCACAATGCGTTCCGAGCTCCGGGCGGTAAGTGGAAACCAGATCCAGCATTTTCACCACCGTTCAGTGACTGACCTTCCGCCACAGATATGCTCATCAGTATCTCTGAAATCTTCGCCCCAGTGACGGAGTTGGAATACGCATACGGGGTATTCTGCACTGGAGGCTTCATTTAGGTGCTTTTCATGAACGCATTGGAGGTCAATGTTGACGAGGAGAGTGGCTATTGCAGAAGAAGTAAACCTAGGCAATGATGAGGGAGAAATGGTGAAGCTGAGAGCTCCGTACGTTTATTGTGATCAGAGAAGTTGGAAGCGCTGGTCGAGGTTGCGATACGTGAAGAACAGCGTCTAGACCAGTCCTCGGGAGATTTCCACTGGAGATGAGGAGGTGATGGTTCGTCTCAGACATGGATCTGGAGCAGTGGCTGGAGAGTTTCAAGGCACATGTGCAAGGGACAAAGATAGCTACATCTCATCATTGGCTGCCAAAGAGGGCGCAAATGACTGCGTGTCACACAAGAACGTTTACCATGTCACTTTGGATGCCCTGCACTCGCCTGCCTCCGGCATCATCGATCGACGAGCACCACGCTGGAAACTCTGCGTCCACTCGGAGCCCGGTACAAACCGTTGGAGGGTCAAGTGATGTTCACCCAATCCAATTGACTTATCGCCATCGCCCAGCACTGGAGGGGTGCGAGGTAGAGGCCGGGGAAATAAACGAGAGACACAAGCTCGCGCCTAAGCATGCCAAGCGGGCACGGCGTCGCAAGACCGGGTGATTTGTGGTATGTATTACGAGGTAGGATGATGGCGTTGGCTTGTGTTTCGAGGTGAAGTCCGTGCGGCATTGCGGGTGGCGTCAAGGGCACAAGGGCACAAGGACGACGGTTCTCCGTCATGCGTCCTCTGTGCTCGTCACAACGGACGCTAAGTTGAGGATCAATATTTTTGCAGGGGGCGAGCAGGACATCGAGGGGATAATAGCATGGATGGCACGATGATTGTATGATTCTGGCGGAAATGCATGGGAGGAGGGAATGGATGAATCATGATTGAAAGCATGGGTTGTGTCCAGGGATCCGGCTTTCCCGCGGTCGGGGCTTGAAGCCCTCACTAAACGTCTTAGGCAGTGCTAGACACCGGGAGGGCGAGTAGCTTCTTTAACTAAACCGGATTTTAGCAGGTGCAAGGACTGCAGCCTGCCGCCCATTGCAAACCTGATGACCAGCCACCCACAGCCCTCCAATATTCTTCTGCCGCCCGCCGTCTTTGCTCGGACTTGGTCTTGTGTGAACCATCCGCAGATCCAGCTTTCCAACTGCGCCCATCTTCACCTTCACTTTCACCTTCATCCTCTTCTTCTCCGGCTCCTGCATCGCTACTGTGTATACCTTACTCTTACCTCCTTCACGTCCTATTCCCCCCAAATTTCATTCTCCTAAAGCAGCTTGCATCGCATCCACCTTTCTTCTGCCGGGGATGCTATACCCGAACCCGCCCCATTGAAGACTGCGTATCCCTCCTTGGGCCAATCCGTTCTCCCAAGCAGACGTTGCTTCTTCCCCTTGAAACACCCTCCCCCTTCACCTCACGCCTTTGTCACTCGATCCGCCTCGTGTGAGAAAGGATCCAGGCTCGAACCGCACGCCGAAGGACCAATCCTAATCTCACCCTTGCATCGATTGATCGTTCTGGCACTCCTCCTCGATAACGATCTACATCACAGTCGTTCGCCACTCACTCCTCCATATCCTTTGCAGCTTGTCACCTCTCCTTTTTGTCTCCCTGCTCATGTCTTTGCACATCAACAGCCGACTCGACGAATAATCAGTTCTCCCTTCCTGTATCCGTAGTCGCCGGCACAGTTTAGATGCTCTCATCAGCACCCAGTTGCGCACCCACAATCTGCACGCTGACTACCTCTCGGCCGTCGACTACTGTGCCTTGGCTGTCATATCTCATCTAAGATGGCCACTTCAACATCGTCTACCACGACATCGCCCACTGCGACCTCAACTGGCAACCCTGGTAACAATGGAGGCTCTGGTCCGAGTTCGCCACTGCTCTTTTTCGTGGCTCTGGGCTTCGGCGTCGTCTTTACGAACTTATGGTGAGCCGCAATCGTCATCAGGCGTTCCTATATCATCTAACCTTTTCGTGTGTCTTCTGTCAGGATCATCGTCGGTGTCAAATACTGTTTCAGATACAATCAGCGCAACCGACAGCGCATGAATGGCGAAGACCCAGATGGAGTAGATCTTGCAGCGATGCCCCGACAACACCGCCGCAGGCGGGAAAAGAAGCTCATGACCATTGAGGAAGTCAACGAAAAGTTCCCCTTGACAAAATATAAGACATGGCGTTCCAATCGTGCTGAAGAGGGCCTACCCACTGCTGGAGGGATTACCACTGCCTCTCGCCCGGCTAGTATACACAATGCTCAACGGGATTCCAAGGATTCAAAGGAAATTGGAGCTCAGGAATTGGCGCATGCGCAAACAAACTCTACGGCTGAGGAGAAAACTCCTGAGCACGGTGAGCCAGAGGTTGTGGAAGGTGAAAAGAGTAACATGGACAACAATCGGCCGGTCACGCCATCTAGTCCCAGATCCGCTCCATCTACCGTGACACCCGGCACTCCTGTGCACAAAGTCACCAGTCACGATGATGACGATGAAGACGAAGAACGGATCCAAACTGCCCTTCCTGCCGAGCAATTACCTGATCCTGGCGACGCTTGTGCCATTTGTATCGACAATATCGACGACGACGACGACATTCGCGGGCTGCATTGTGGTCACGCATTCCATGCCTCGTGCGTTGACCCTTGGTTGACATCGCGCCGGGCCTGTTGTCCTCTTTGCAAGGCGGATTATTACGTCCCCAAGCCTCGACCCGAAGGTGCCGAAGCGAATCCAACTAACCTGCAGCCGCCCCAAGCGACGTTTTCGATCATCGGAAATGGTCGACCGGGCCGGAGACCTGCAATGATCATCCCGGGCAGATTCATGAGTATTGTCTACCACGATCGCGATCGACATGGATTCCCGCTTGTAGTGCGTGCCGAGCGGGCAGATCAGTCAACTCGAGAACAGGATCGACGGCGGCAAAGAGAGAGACTACCGAGCTCGAACACCACGGCCAGCCAAGAAGGGGCCGACACTCAGCCATCATGGAGATCACGGTTCGGCTTGAGAATGCCAGGTCGAAGTCGACAGACACAGACACCACCGGCGGCTCCGGAAGCCCTGCCTACCCCTTCACAGCTTGAAGCTGGAAGATGACAAGAATTGAATCCCAGAAGCGACGATAATGATATGAGTTTACGATAATCCTGACGATGGGCTTCTTGGCTTTTATTGGGTTCCCCCGGCATTTGGATAGGTGAAAAGTCTTGGAGATGCATGGGCGTGACCGAATGAGTCTTGCTGCATGATGCTGGGATTATGGGGAAATGGAATGTTTGCATGGCATGAGCGACAGCCGCAAATTTTCACGTCTACAGCATATGTCCGGCAAAGCCGGGCACAACAACTTGCACTGCGTTCAAATGGGCAAGAACTGCGATGGATCTTGGATGGATACCTCGGGATATGATACCCCCGTCTCCATTTCTTGGCTATATGCATATTGTATCTTTAGTCTCCCAGACTGTACTTGGACCTAAGACGAAAATGGACTATATTTCTTGTGTTTCAAATCGGTGTTTCGACTTGGACTTGATTGCGTTTGGAGGTTGCGGTGGCGGCAGCATCGTGACCGACAGGCTCAGCCGTGGAGGACCCATCAGTGCTCTCTCTTGTGCCTTTGCTAAAGGGATTGCAGGGTCTGTGATTAAGGATTATTTGGTTCCCTTTAGTTCCCTTTTGCTGCTGTCGATGGCGCAAGCGGTGACCACACAGGGTGTTCTTGAGAATGGGGAGGCCACAGTGAGCTTTGACCAAAGTATCTGTGCGATAGACTTTGATCTAGTGCAAGGTCTCTCGTGTTCCTCGGACGGTGAGTACTAACGTCAGTTGAGCGCTCGAAGCTCCGTCACAGCGTCTGCCATTTCTGCGTCACACAAGGACGTGTTCGTGTATGGGACGTTCCGCGAGATGGAGAACTGTGGCCAGGCGGACAAAGACCTGGTCGTCTTCGTCAAAGGAGGCCCACGACGGGACCAAAGCAGTGACCGTGGCCAACATGTCTGCGAAAGAAAAGCCATAGTCCCCTGCTTCTGCTGCGGCCGTGGTGGAGGGCGGCCGAAACTTCAGCCTTGCCGTCGCAAATGTGGACGAATCCCGAGGAGAAGAATCACTTGCAGCCGTTTGAGGCACGGGTGTACATTTCGGCGGCGTCATAGCACATAATACATACTCCTGTACGAGGAGTGGTGAGATGCCTCCATGAATAGATGAGTAAGGAAACAGAGACGAGGGTCTCACTCGAAGCGGCATGTTCGCCAGTCCAACCCGCAACCCCGCCAACTTGTAGTCATGTATACAAACCAGTACCCTTGTCAAGCGGCCGGGATACACGGGATGAGGCACACCGGAAGAAAGGAGGATTTTAGTATCACTGCAGCTCCACCACCCCACGGTTATCATATCCTCAGCAGTGGGTGGCTCCCCCAATCTCGTGGAGTCCTTGTTGTGCGAACCATGTAATCAATACATGTACCTCGTATCTACCCGGCCGCGAACATAGGGGTTTGTACGATTTTGGAGAGTATATGTATTCATTTGATCGCGGGGTCGAAGACGAGACAAAACAATGTACAACATCTACCAAACCGATTTCGACCTTCTCCAAGTTTTCTTCCTCGTGTGATGAAAATTAATCAAAAATCAACAAGCATTCCACCCTATCGACCGAGGTTCCAGGTTGTCATTGCAAATTCAGAATAATCAAGCGGAATAGCAAACGCATACAAACAGCTAAGTGTACCGACTATTGCTGGCGTTTGTCCTGATGAGCAAAGAGGGGTCAAAAATGTGCACGTCTGGGGCTGGAAGTGGTTCAATGAACCATGCAGAGTCGGACTCGGACTCTCGCCATGAAGCTGAGAGCGGTCCAGGGGGTCAGAAAGTCCCGACGATCCAGAAAGTCCATGGAAATGATATAAAAGAGGCTGGTTACTCGGAGCGCCGGCACAGAGAGGTATACGCTGCTCTGCATCGCGCGTCACCCAGGGACAGACAGGAAGAGACACTCTCTCCAGAGAAGGAAAAGCAAACATGACAGACCTCAAAGAAATCCTGGTTCTGGGGGGAACAGGGGCCCAAGGCGCACCGGTCGTCAAATGTGAGTGATCTGAGAGAGGCTCCTATAGGATTGTTGTATATCATCACCGTCCTTTTCTCAGTGAACTCCCAAGCTGACAGAACTCTCCGACCTTGGGTAGCATTGTCGGCCAGTGGTCGCTACAAGGCGCGAGTGCTCACCCGCAACCCAAATTCCGAGCATGCAAAGGCGCTCGCCTCGCTGCCCAACGTTGTCCTCATGCAGGGCAAGCAAGACAGCCTGAGCGACTTGCGCCGCGCGTTTCAGGGCGTCTACGGCGCGTGGGTCAACATCGACGGGTTCACGCTGGGCGAAAAGGACGAGCTCTTCTACACGATCCGGGCGTACGAGATCGCGCGGCACTACAAGGTCCAGCACTTTATCTTGGCCAACATTGACTACTCACTCAAGAAGGCCGGGTGGGATGAGAAGTACCACTGTTGCCATAACGACGCAAAGGGCCGCATGGGAGGTAAGCGTCGTCGCCCGCCTACTATGGGGAGCCACCGGACTGATCGAGCCTGGCGAGCCATGCAGATTTCATCCTCGCACAGGGTCAAGCAGGGATGAAAACCTCGCTCTTCACAACGTGCCCATACATGGACATGCTCTTCGAAGGCATGTTTGTGCCGGACCAAAAGCCCAACGGGTCCTTGGTCTGGGCAAACCCAGCAGGTACGTAACTTCACCTTATGCAGATTCTGGGATAGCTTCACTGACTGATCACCAACACCAGCTGATGGGAAAATTCCACTGATCGCGCTCGACGACGTCGGCCCATTCGTCTTGTGGATGTTTGACAATCCCGACCGATCGGCGGGGATGGACCTCGAAGTCGCCACGGACCAGGTCAGCATGCAAGAAATCGCCGACACTGCAGCGCGGGTGACGGGCAGAGATGCAAAGTTCGTGCGCATGCCCATGGACGAGTACCTCCCTAAGGCGGAGCCTTATCCGGGAGCCCCGGCTGCTTGGGGAGTCGGACCCAACGTTGCGACCGACGAGTCCTTGATGAGCTGGAAGGACAACTTCAAGGCATGGTGGCACTATTGGGGCGAAGGCTTCGGGGCCACCAGAGACATGGCTCTTCTCGACGAGATCAACCCGAATCGCATCAAGGGGCTGGAGGCGTGGATGAGGAAAGTCGGCTACGGCGGCGAGCGGCGACCCGTGTTGAAGGATGTGCAGGACTTGAAGAGCTCGGCGCTGGACGATGTTCTCTTCAACGTCCGCGGATGAAGCATTCATAAATGTCGGCGTCAAAAAGGAACACCTTTGTAATGGCCCCAATCAAGTCGCCCGACGCTTGCTATGCCCACCTTTAGTATTAATGTGAATATGTACTTGGTAGTCTCCACCGAGAACACGATAATGATCCACTTTGATACGCATAGATACGGCTCCCTGACCAAGGCGAGCCGAGGCTGCGAACTGAGTTTCATTATCGGGCCACAGCCGACAGGGCGTCCGTACTCGGTACAGGGATGGCTGGTGGATTCAGCTATCGGAGAATATCCGACAGCATTCATTCGACAAGTAGTAGGTAGCGGCAGTTTACGGCCTGACAAGACGCACGCGTTGATAACAGGGTGATAAAATGCATTGCCCTATTCTGCAGAGCTGGCATGGTGGGTGAGGCGCTGAAGGGGATGCTCCCTCCCTCCCTCCCACTGTTTCAATCAGTCGCATCACATCACCACTGAATTGCACGGGAGGAGCTAGGCCAACGACTACAACTCCCCTCAGCATGAGCCCGTCGTCCTCGCCGGAGATATCAAGCCTCAACGTTGTCGACCTCCGTGCAGAGTATGCGGCCCGGAGACTCTCGCCAGTCGACGTCGTGCGGCACGTCTATGGTAGAATATCCTCGTACCAGAACCATGACCCGGCCGTCTGGATCTACCTGATCCCCGAATCCCAAGCAGTGAGGCGCGCAGAGGAACTGGTGGACACGTACTACAGGTCCGACCCCGACCTCCCTCTCCCGCCGCTGTTCGGGATCCCGTTCTCCGTCAAAGATTCGATCGACATCAAGGACCTCCCGACGACGCTCGCGTGCCCGACGTTCGCTCATACAGCGACGGAAACAGCACCGGCGATCTCGCGAATCCTTGCCGCGGGCGGGATCCTCGTGGGCAAAACCAACCTCGACCAATTTGCCACCGGGCTAACCGGTGTGCGCTCTCCCTGGGGCGCGCCTCGCTGCGTGTTCGACGCCGATTACGTCTCGGGGGGGAGTTCGTCGGGCTCGGCCGTGAGCGTCGCCGCGTCCTTGGTCTCCTTCACCGTCTGCACGGACACGGGAGGCAGCACCAGGGTGCCCGCGGCGCTCAATGGCGTCGTCGGCCTGAAACCCACGCTGGGGACCATCAGCACCGAAGGCTTGTTCCCCGCGTGCAAGAACATCGACTGTGTGTGCGTCATGGCCCGAACGGTGGATGATGTCGAGCAGGTCTGGGGAGTGATGAGAGCATTTGACGAGCGAGACGTGTTTGCCCGTCGCGAGCTGCCCGCGTGGGAACCCTGGAAGGATCCAATCCGCTTTGCCATCCCACCCGAAGACGTCCTCCACGACATCTCACCTGCCTACCTCGGACTGTTCCAGAACGTAGTCACGGCCCTCCGAGGCCGCAAGGAATGGTGCATCGAGGCCCCCGCGGGATCTTTCGACTACGGGCCCTTCTCCGCGGCGAACCAGATGCTGTACGACTCGTCGATCGTGGCCCAACGCCTGCTCGCGTTCGAGCCGTACATCCACACCCACGGCCTCAACTCGCTACATCCGGCCATCCAGACGACATTCCAACAAGCGCTAGACCAGCATTTCACGGCCGAGCGCGCGTACGCCGACATCTTCACGCTCGCACAACACAAGCGGCACGCCGAGGTGCAGTTCCGCGACCAGATCGACGTGCTCGTCGTGCCCAGCACCGTCGACCACTTCACCGTCGCGCAGCTCGAGATGGAGCCCATGGCGCGCAACAAGGTCCTGGGCCGCTTCACAAACTTCGTCAATCTCCTCGACTTGGCGGCCGTCAGCGTCCCCGCCGGCGCGTGGGTGAACCCCAACGGTAAGAAATTGCCCTTTGGCGTCACGGTGATTGGCCAGGCGGGCAAGGACAGGGAGCTCATGGCCTTTGGGAGGGAGCTCATCAGGGTCATGGCGGAGGAGGTGTAAGCCCAGTCATATCGAGGGTGTCGTTGGGTCAAGTTTCGGATGTGTGTATGTACATATCCACATATCTGCCTTGTACTGAATTCCAGCGCGAAGGGGCGAAAGAAAAGCGAGGAAAAGCAAGAATGGAGCTGCTCGATATAATAAGGAGATCATCCCCACGCTGCGCATACAGATAGTAGAACCGAGTCTTTTGGAAAACAGGTCGATTGGAACCCAGAGGGGGGGTATGATACACACCAAACCATCCATGTGTGTCCATGACGGTCATCCCCACCAAGCCAGGCTGGGCTACATTACACTAAATTACCCTTCTTAGCAAAACGGGCGGGCCCATAGAGTACAGAAAAAGGGCGTGAAAACGAAGAAATGATCTCGGATTTCGATTCTGCCGGGAGCGTGTTTCCCGATATCCCTTCCCCCGCGAAGTCTTTCAGTGTGCAGGTTGTAGATATGTCAAGTAACGAAAAGAGAGAGCACACATCCTCCTATCCCCCCATGCAGGCTCGCGCGCAAATCGTCTATACGGCAAAAAAACACGTGTGTGCGATGTGTTTTTGTGGCCCAACGCTCGTCTCTAGGCCATGTTGCCCACGAATTGAGCATTGACCTGACTCTCGAATCCCTTCTTCTCGCTCTCGGTGTTCTTGCCATCACGCTCGCTGTGGACATCGTCACCGCCTCTCGGCAGCATGCCGGTGGTGATTTCCGGGTCGAGGCCGTCGATCAAATAGAGCTTGCCCAAGTCTTCGTCGTTGGTCTTGACGGGGACCGGGAAGAGGGTGGTTAGCGCCAGGTACAACAGGCCCGAAAAGGCGACGACAAGAACGTAATTCCAGGAATACAGGTTCAGGATGCCTCTGTTGGTGACCTTGACCCCCATGGTCTGGAGCATGCCGGGAAGCAACGGCGCCAGCGCCACGAACCAGGCCACGAAGGCGCGCCAGTTGAACCCGTAGTTGTACCAGTAGATCCCGTGCGGCTTGAACAGATGCGAGATGTTGATGCCGTAGCCACGCCGCACCCAGAAGTAGTCGGTCATCATGACGCCGGTGGTCGCGCCCAAAAACAGGGTGTAGGCGCCCATAAAGGCCAGGAACGTCGTGGCTTTGGCCTGGATCTGCCAGGGACAGATGGCGAACCCGATCACCGCGCAGATAAACTGGCCGCGGCGGATGTTGATGTATTTAGGGAAAAGGCCGGTGAGATCGTTGGCGAAGGGGATCGAGTTGCCCGTAACGTTCGTCATGATGTTGAAGAAGACGAATAGAATGCCGGCGAAAAACTTGCCTCCACGCGCTTCAAAGTTGTTGATGGTGACGAGCGGGTTCCACTGGACTTCACCGTAGACTACCGAGGACGCCACGGCCATTGTGCAGCCTAGTAGCTCCGTCAAGGTGACGAAGACCGGGAGCGCAAAGAGTTGAGTTAACCAAGCGGCCTTGTCGCTCTTGGAATGTCGAGAAATATCCATAATGTTGACGGCAAACGTGGCGTTGCCTGAGATGGCGGCATTCACACAGATCCCAAAGAGATAGCCAACGGACATACCGTCGGTAGGTATACTCGGTTTCGTCCAGACCTTGGGCCATCCCCCTGCGGCAGTGATGGACCAGGTAAACAGAGCGGTCCAGTAGAGAGGCACCATGATGCTCTTCACCACGAACAAAAATCGCAGTGTCCGGATCGGTAGGTAGAGGAATGGCAGTGAGATGAGCCAAAAGATGACGAAACAGAGGAGCTGCTGGGCGGTGATGTTGGCAGATGATGGAAAGGCGTTGACCTGCCAGTGGCGGAAGGAAGGCCATATAGCCGTAATACACGCCTGGACCGCTTGACCTGCGAGACTGGTCTGGATGCCATAGTAGATTAGACAAGGGACAGCCCGAACAATCATGGCCCACTTGGAGCCCCAGAGTCCGAACGAAGCGCGCACCACGCCAGGGAAGTTGGTCCCCAGTTTACTCCCTAGGTATCCCGAGGCCGCGCAGGGGATCGATACGATGATGTTGCCCAGGAGACAGGCGACGACGCACAATCCCGGGTTGAGCCCCAGGGAAAAGGCGGAACTGGACACCTGGAGCTGGGCGGCATTGAACCCTTCGGCGATCCAGAAGAGTCCCATCTGGTACCACTGGTATGTGCGGTCCTTGCGCTTGATGGGATCCATGTCTTCGTTGGTATAGACAATGGCGTCGGCATCGTCGGCCCCAAAGGACCCGGGCTTGGGTTTGAGGACTACATGCTCTTGCCAGAAGTGCTGCAAGTGCATTGTGCCGGAGGGTGGAGAAGAGGCGGTAGTGTGACTAGAAGGCCTAATATTTTTATATGAATGAGAATCTCACCGTGGATCAAGTTCCAGAACAGTCGCAAGGGTGTTCTTTTATATTCCTGGGCCGGTCGTAAAAGGGAGTATACAATGGCCTCGCCCTTGTAGTAGAGAGACGTCTGTCGGAACACCTCCGACACTGGATAGATAGGGAGTGTAGGGCTGGAGCACCTTGTCTGAACGCCATGGTCGCCATGGTTCCAAAATGATATTGGTCGAAAGCTGCTCGAATTGATAAGAGATGTCTGTGTCCAACAGGGAGGATGGAATGACTTCGAGAGTCTTACAATGTTTGAAAGGTTCAGGTGCAAGAGATAAGGAGCCCCTAGCGAATCGGTCAATAAGGACAAACTGCCCAATCGCGGGAATCCTTGGTCGCTGGAACAAGCGAAAAGACGGGAAGCTAGCCTGCTGAACCATTACCTCTGGGACCAGGTACAAAGTGGGAGGATATTAAGGCTCTCGGACCAACTCCGAAGCCGCGAAAAGGAGCTCGAAGCTAGGCCTGTATTGAATACGCGGGAAGATAGCTGGATCCTCTCAGCCTGTGAATGATCGTTGAGCACACGGAGTCAGAACGGATGACTACCGGGGGTTTGGTTGGACTCAATAGAATCGATGGAAGAAAGACTAGCTAGAATGCCAACAGTGGAAGATTTATAGCGGTAGACACGACTATCACGCCAAGACTAGGCCCGTGTATGTAACAGGGCAATGCGGATGGAAACGACATCCCAGCGCCTCTAGACATCTCTCTGCTTGAAAGCGTGTGCACTGCCATATCCTCGTCCTGTTCAACTGCTCACCTGGCCATCGCGGCCGCATCAGCAATGTTGGAACAGCACTCCCCAGCCCTGGATCGACCTCGTGTCCACGCCCGCGATGCGACACATATCCCACAGCACCGTCGCTACGGTGTCCAACACTGTGATACCAGCCTTGGTCTCCCATCTGTCCACCAGGTGCGCCGCCTTGAGTCCCGTGCAGAAGACACTGATGACGCGGGATCCTCGCTGTGCCAGTTGCCAGAACCCATCATCGAGCGTCTTCTCCGAGACGTTGGCAAACCCTCGGTTGTCGGACTGGCCCAGATGATGTTCCAGCGAGCAGTCCACCCCAAGCCCGCGGTAGTTCTTTATGATAGCTGACTGCACATCGTCGGTGTACGGCGTCAGCAGGCCCATCTCCGTGATCCCAAGGCGTTTGATGAGTCGATTGAGTCCGAGGACCGACGTGGTGGCAGGGATGCCGGTCGCGGCCGTGATCTCCTTACATAGTCTCACGTCGGCGTCGAAGCCCAGCCATCCTGACGAGGTGCCACTCCAGCCGATCACGTCGACGTGGGCGTCCGCAAGCAGGCGCGCAGCCTCGATGATGGCGCTGTTGTCGAATTGTGCCAGTGCATCGGGATCCAGAGCGATTTTGAGGACCCGGAAGCGTGAGAAATGGACAGAGACATCCTCCAGCTGAGAGACGATCTGTTGCGTGAGCGGTTCCAGCACCGTATTAGACGAAGGGACGAGGATGCCGAAGCAAATGCGTCTGGGGCTTTGCTTGATCATGGCCACTCCGTAAACAACGACACCCGTGCGAGAACTTAAAGAGCGTGGCTGATGGTCCGCACAATCAATGCAATAATGATCTCAACTGATCTCCTGGCAGCAGAGGCCTTTATTCGAGTTGGGAAGCCTTGGGATGTTGACAATTTGAGCAATCTGTAACGTAACGGGAACGGGAGTCTCTTCCTCAGGAGTATGTGGATGGAGCCTAGTGTGTCAAGGCCATTTCGGAGGAAGCGCACTCGACCTCGAGTCACATTCGCAAATCTTGAACCACCAGCAGTAGGAGCACGCGTACCTAGAACTCCCCAACGAGTCATCTGTCATGTTTGCCCAATACACCACGAGCCTGGAGGCGATAGCGAGTCGACCAAGTCCGATAGTCTGTGGATCCCGCCGTGATTCCAGACCTGTTGTCGGATAGGGCCCGACCCGATAACAATACGAACGAAAAATGATCGCGACCTTGTCAAAGCCAGGGGATTGGTGGCAAGATATTAGAAAGCCCCTTCTTATCAGCTGGACCGCGAAGGCAACTCTTCCAAATGCCACAATACACAGGGAGATTGGTATTTGAGGACGACGGACTAACTAGCATGAGATCAGAAGCCCGTGCCTGTACCCCCATTGAACCAGCCTAAGCCCTCTTCCGTCAAAAAAGCCTCGATCTCTTTAAAGTTGACAGGGTCACACTCGTAATCACTGTCCTGAGTTTGAACGAACTCAGTCATCATCTGCCAGACGTCGAAGCTATCCTTTGCCCAACCATCACCATTGGATCGCTCCACGTCATCGGACGAGGTCGGTTGTGGCATCACGCCGCCCAGGACCGTGTCGCTTGGGGCGATTGATGTGCGAGCCGGTGCATGGAGGCCAACAGATACCGGCTGCTGTTGGCTGCTCGTATGTGACCGCCTTGGACTCAGGACATACTCTGCCGTCTTGCCGGCAATCAGCTCGAAGGCATCACGGTATTTCTTGGCCCCTTCGCCCCACTGTTCGGCAATCAAATACAGCACGGTTGAGCAAGCTCCCAAGTCAGCCGCCATTTCAGCATCGTAGAGACTAGGATCGGACCACGCGCAGTAGATCATGGAGAATCCCGCGACAAAGACGGAATGAAGATCCAGCAGGGTGAAGGGCACGGATCGTATGCGGTGAAGTCGCCGGTTGAGCTGGCAGACTTCGCCAGATGACTTGGCAAACGAGGCAAATGGGAATGGTTGATTGTACAACTGGATTTCGGTTAGAATGGTCTGGAGCAGCACACGGCGAGCTCGATGGTAGTTGAGCAGCAACGCAAGACGCTGTGCTTCCGGCAAGGCAGGCCGCGACATGGGGGTTTGAACAGGAGTCCTGAAAGTGGACGACATCAGGTCTGTTGAGGTATCAGCTCCAATAGAGTGACCAAACATGGCCGTTTTCCAGTTCTCAAGTTCTTGAAATCGCTTCGCAATCTTTTGCTCGACCCTTGTCCCACGGCCAGCCTTCGCGAGACGAGAGAGAGCGAGACGGCTTTTCGCGTTGATCTGATCTAGCCGAATATTATGAACGTGGAACAGGATATCCGTTCCCGCCACTGTAGGAGGTCTTCGTGGCTGAATGTTCTGGTCCCAGCCTGGGTGCTCACGGCCGGTCTCTGAAAGCTCTGGGGTCTCTTGGAAATGGTCATCTTCAATCTCACTGGGTAATGGATTGTCGATCTCATCATCGGCTATGGTCAATGGTCTTCCCAGAACGAGAACGATTCTCCGCTCCAGGTGGTAGATGCTCCAAAACAACCTCCTCTTGAATTCATCCGAGTGTGCGGTATTGTCATCTTTCCGTAGTTGCCGGTGAAGTCCTAGTTCGATACATTGTCTGATCATCAAGCCACACAAATGCCATATACTAGATCCTATCGAAAGAGTTAGCAGATGGGTCTGCAAAGCCCTATGCTTGAGGCGGCCATTGCGAACCCCTTCTGAACGGGAGGAGAACGAATTAAATCAAAAAAAGAGGAAAACCAAAACGAATCAGCCAACAGGACTGGAGTGGAGACGAACCTGATGGAGATCGCAAAGCATAGATGGCCACCAAGAGGATAACCTGGATGTTCTGAACGCTTGGAACGTTGAGTTGATCTTGTATTTTCGCCATGGCTGAATGATAAAAGCTTTCCGGCTCCGATTCGGCGACCTGTTCTGATCCCACCAGTTTCAAACAGCGAGATCCTATCGCATACACCAGCAGCAACACCACATCATCATGGTGTGCCTCTCTAGAACTAGCGTTCTCCGTCTCGTGCCGACTGTGGTGAGCTTTCCACAATTGCCTTTTGGACAGAAACGGGAAATTGGGGTGAATATACGACAGATAAGCGGTCATGAAAGATGTCGCCTTCTCGACTGGCGGCAAGGGCGCTATAGCAGTTGGATGAGCGCTCCGGCTGCTGCTCGCGAATGGACTTTCGACCGTCTCCGCAGGTAAACTCAAGCTGGAAAGAGGTCGTGCTTTCTCGTAGACGGCTGACTCGATCATCAAGGCTAAAGACACCCCAGATGACACTCCGAAGTATTGTGGTTCGGCTGCCGCCTGTAGAGACAATAAGCCAACACTACTGGCCAAATTTGGAGTACTAGGTGGGGAAGCCATTCGTTCCCCTGAGCCTCCTGCTGCATCATTGCTGTCGCTTATGGAGAGATGTTCCCCCGGCAGGGTTGGCCGCGAGGGGCCCAGCTGTGCTTCCAGCCATGCAACCCGGGTCTGTAGTGCCTTGACGTAGGATGCTGGGTACTCGTTTTCCGGGAAGACACAGTTCAGCTTCGCCCTGGCGCAATTGGAACAGGCCGGTAATTTGTTGTCGCACTAAAAGCCTTTAATCTAGCTGTCGCTTTCATCTTCCTGGTGGACTTCAAAGAGGCACTGTACCTTTTGACGTCTTGTTTTACACCTCATACAAGCGACCACAACTCGAGCGCGCTTGTTCGGCCGCTGAAAGGATGGCTCGGAGGATGCCTCTGGTGGTATTGAGCCATTTTCGTGCTCACTCATACTGGTCACCAGATTTCCGCGAGCTGATTTGTGTTGGTGATAGTGCTATTCCAGAACATGTATTCTCAGAGGCGGCATCTGCAGCAGAAGCTCAGATTGGTCTGGACATGGTATGTGCTCAGGATCAACATCCCCACCACTCCCGATCGCCAACATTCGTCGAAAGGAAGGAAGGAAACCTTCCTTCAACTGATCCAGAGAGGGACCTCGCAGCCTTATCGTCTGCCAAGCCACTCCTTATCTTCAGCCTCGTGACAATAGGCCCAATACCTCATCTCATGCATAAATCAGGCTGCTTTAAAACGGAGGACAGCGCGAAGTGTGCGGCGGGGGACAGACTGTAAAAGCAGCTTGGTATGACTTCCAGAAACGCTGACTGCCAAGCGGTTCCCCAGCTTTCCCCAAGACATTCTGCATGGTCAAGGGACAATGTGTCCGTTTGGTACGCAGCAGCCGACCAAGTATACGTCGAGATCACAACCCTTGATATCTGGTGTCTGCACCGCTGGACTTGAGTCCTAGACGTCCAAGATGTCTTCATCCCCTCCGCAGAAAGTCTCGCTCTACTCTGTTAATGGTACAGTGACCTGTAACGCGCCTGCTGTTGTCACTAACCGAGTTGCAGATCTCAAAAATGCAACGGACGATGCACTTGCACCATACCTTACGAGCCTCCCCAAACCCTACGCCTTCAGACAAGAACATTACATGACAAACGTAAAGCTTGCATTGGGGTACACAGCCGTCCTGATCGCTGGAGTGCTATTCTATGCAGACTGGAAACTGGGCTGGGACGCGACCAAGTCGTACACAGGTCCTGCATGTGTCGCATACTTTGTGCTAAATAGTGCATTGACGTTCTGGATCTGGGTGGTGGAGGCAGGGACAGTGTTCGTGGGTGTCAGGGAGGGAGGACAAAAGGTTTGTTGTCACTTGTGCCCATTACGTTTCGTCTCCTGGCATATAAGAGGGCGGGCCGACTGACGCAGTTTCTGTCAGCTCACACTCCGTTCGGTTTCGAAGAAACACTCCCCTGAATACAAACTAAAAGTCACCTACACGGCCCCCTCAACTGGCAAGAAATGGGAAGACAAGGAAATCTCCGGCAACTACACACAGTGGTTTAATACACATGGCTATCTGCAACGCAAGGAACTCCAGGCGTGGCTCAACTCCAATATCGACGTGTTGAGGAATGCACAGGAAGAGATGGCCAGGAAGGACAAGACCGACAGAATTCCCGTCATGATGCCCGCGGTGCAAGCTGACCAAGGAGCTGAACCCCCAACAACGCTTTCGTCTGGTGCGGAACCAAGTCCAACGCCAGCGGGCACGAAGAAGGGCCGGTCGAAGAAAAAGGCTTGACGTGTTGCAAACAACAGTGCAATCATAAGCCACTGCATACTCCTGCCATGGACATGGACTCCTTCCGCGCTGACGAAGACACTTGGCGGTAACGGGCCTCGAACTCGAGTGTATGGAGGACGACAATGCTTCCATATTTCGATCACACCCCGTAACCTCGGATCTTCAGGGCGAAGGTGTCGACTGTTCACCATGAAACGGCCCCACCAAGGTAATCCGATTGACATTATCATGTCGAGCCCTCGAGCCGGAAGCCATATGCGACCCTTCAACCAGAGGCTACGCCTCTATTCAGCATCGCATTCGATATGTCCTCGCCAACCTCCTCGTCTGCATCACCGACAACCATTCTACCGAGGATATTTCGAGCTTGTATTGATCAACCACATGGATTCTGTATCCAACCAACCCTCCTCTAAGAACAAGGACCATGCCAACTAACGACCCATCATCCGCATACGCCGCAAAACCTCCAATAACATGCGGCGAAGCAATAACGAGGCATTCCATCTGGACGGAGATGGTGTGAGAGACAGTTGCAAGGGCCGGAGCGCGACTCTCTAGAAACCCCCTTGCATTGTCAGGGCCAGCGCGAACTTGATGTATGGGACTTCTGGACCGGTATTCCGCGTCATATCTCGTATTTACTAGACGTAGATATAACCAAACCATCGCGAACCACCCTTTCCAGGACCAACAAAAAAAGAGGTGGGGAGTGTATGTTCTCTTCTTGGGAGTCGTTCAAAATCTACTACGACGAAGACGACCACCTCCTCCTCCACACACTCGTGCGAGCAGCATACGAGGGAGAAAGCTGGTGGATCCCATGTTGAGCGCAAATGGATAGTTCGTTACCCCTGGCCTGAACTTTTTCTAGTAGAGACCATTGAGGATGTTTTCCTTGTTTTTCTCTTACCCATCCCATGAACTGAACGTAATTCCATTTGCTCTGCCGACCGGTCTGGGGACATTGCTAAATACCTGACAACTTGGAAGGGACAAAATTCCCGGGCAACACACGTTTCACTCGCTTCTGATTGCTCGCCACTTCAACCGTTGGGTCTCGGATGCCATTTCTGTTCCATGGCGCACCGCACTGGCTTTCTGCAAGCCTGGTGCAAACTCCGTGCCCCATGACCGTGCTTTGAGCATGCAGGAGCTTATCGCGACGATTTTCATCTCGTCGGCATGACGCTTGGTTCAAAGCTTTGGTCACTTAGGAGAGCGCACCAATGATGCCCTGCGCAAGACCCCCTCCGGTCTCATCAGTCCTTACACTAACCTTGACGGTGACACCAGCTTTGGCCGAATGCACCATTTTCACCAGCGCTGCCACTCGTCCACCAGCGACAGACTTGCCGTACATTTTCAGCGTGTGGGTCGTGTTGGACAACACCACGTCGGTGCCGTCAAGAGGTTGCAGAGACAGGGCTTGCGACAGTTGTTCTGTGGCGTCTACAAGATAATGGAAGTTAGCAACAACACATGAGCAGTCCCGGGAAGTGGTCGGATACTCACCAGCCAACGTCTTGACACTTCCCAATACCAAGGTCTCGCTAACTTCCTCTCCATTCGCTCCTGTGCCCTCCCAAATGTGATCGAAATTGCCCGCGAATGCAGGACTGACAAAATCCGCGCCTGTCAACTCCAGATTCTCCACTTCATATTCATCTTCATAGCCTCCTTCTTCGGCTTCGCCCGTTGTAGGGTCGATCTCTTTACTCGTGAACCTAAGGACGTTTGTGAATGTGGTGATGGGGAAAGCGGAGTCGCCCCCGATTTTGCGGAATGCGACGTACACGACGCCAGGTTCGTTGGTCTTTAAGGCGGTGGCGGGAATGATGAATTCTTCCTCGAGCGTAGGCTCTTCTTCGTCGGCAGGTGAAGCCAGCACAGTCACGTTCTCAAGGACAGTCTGATCAAGGGTGTTCTTGATGTCGTACTGTACCACGACATGTTCTTTGAAGATATGCTTCACAGCAGACACAACGTACTCGGTCTCGCTTTCCGTAAGTTCAACCACGGCACTCGATTTTAGCACCGGCCCGTAGGCTGCAAGCTCGGGTATTCTGGAGAAGATCTGTGTATATTTTTGCGCGGCTGCTGCACCGGCTGCGGGTCCTTCCGCGGCTCCATTCACCTTGGGTTTTACAGGTCCTGTGCTTGGTGCCTTCAGTGTAGGGGTTGCGGTGTTGAGTTTCTTCGTGCGTTCTTCTGCCAACGCTTGCTCGTGTGACACCACCGGTACTGATTGAATATCGAAGGCTTTAGCAAACACTGATTTGTCGTCGGATGTCACGTACATGACCAGTTTGTGTTCGAAGGTCGACAAGGAGAACATCGAGTCGTTTTTGATGAAACGATCTGCAACGTCGTCTTCTTCCTGCATCAACCGTAGACTGAGTGCAGCCCTATCACGCACCTCGTCGTCCGTGTCGTCTAGACATCTCGTCAACAGGACCTCAACACTCTTCTTGACCTCAGGGTCCTTTTGCCCGACGCCGAATTTTGCAAGGGCAGTCACTGCGGCTGCGCGGACTAACGCGTTCTCTAGGACGACTCGGTTGTAAATATACCGGATGTATTTTGTAGGTTGTGGCGTCTTTGGTCCTTCGACACCGATAAGATGTAAAATCCGTACCGCCAGCTTGGTGAACTCGCAATCTTCAATGAACTCGCACAAGTGTGAGAGAGTTTCTTCTTTGCTTCCTGGAACAAATTTGATCAGATCAAACATGCTCTCCACCACTGCACGTTTGAATTCATAACCTCCTTCGTCTCGTAGGATGCCGCTCAAGAAGGTGAGCATGCCGGCCTGTTTGCTGGGGAATTTCATGCAGAGCGTCCGGATAGCTTCGACAATGGTAATCTTGAACTCGTCTGTGATCTCAGCCATGAAACCGGATATTTGCTTCATGAGCCGGTCTACGCTGGCTTCATTACCCGTCTTCAGTAGTGTTGTGATTGCGAAAGTAGCGATCGACCGATTGCTGTTAGAGATCAGCGCCTCAATATCTGGATTGGCGGAATGAACCGCTTGAGGCTTGAAGGAGGCAAAAGAATGAAGAATCCGGATAGCAGCAAATTTCGTGACCGCTCTCGGAGACGTCAAGAAGGATTGCAGAACGTGAATAGCCTGCGCAGCCTCGGCGTCGGTCACATCTGGCATGTTGCAAATGGCTTTGGCAGCTTCAAAGTTGACCATCTCGCTCTTGTGCCGTAGCCAGGTATCCAACATCTGCATCATGAGTTTCCTGAGGCTTGGATCCTCCTCGGCGAGACGGGCGGCTAGCCGGACCAACATCATGACACCGGCCGGACTCTTGACTGCTCCTGCTGCGCCATATTGTTGTACCATCTTGACCAGAGCCATACGGTCATGCGCCCGCATCTGATATAGCAGTCCAATTGCGTGATATTGGTTCATATAATTCGTGTTGGCAGCGGCCAGTGTCTGGGAGCCACCTCCAAAACTCAGAAATCCACCACCAGGTTTGGCCGAGGAAGCGGCCTCTTGAGTCTCGCTCTGCCACCTCCTAACGACATCTCTGGCGATTGGAAGTAGGTGATACGAGGAGACCAACGCTGCCGAGGAGACAGCGGGAGATTTGTCGACGATGGCGGTCTTAATTAGCCTTTCAATACCCTGAACGGTCGTGGCGTCTATGATCCTGCACAGAGCCCGGATAGCATTCGCCTTGTAGATGATCTCACTACCCACAGTCATATCCTTCATAATGATACTCGTAGACATGATGACATCCTCAGCGGTGTGTGCGAGCTCTTTGAGTATCAAATAGACCATTTGGCGAAGCGAGGGGTCCTTGTTTTGGAACAACTTGGAAATGCCGAAAAAGAGCGTGGTTGCTTCATTGGTAGGGAATTTTTCTCCTGTGAAGAGAAGGACGGCGATCTTGGTGAGTAGGGTACGACATTTTCGAGGAGATATAGGCGAGGAGTTGAACAGCCGAGCTGGAACTTGGGTCAATATCTGCAACTGAGACGTTTGGCAATGAAAGGTGAAAGTGAGAGGTAGGTGAGGGAAATACCATCTTGGAAAACAGAAGTCCGGTCCAGCTTGAAGCCGGAGTGTTCGGCATCCTCGTCTTTTTTGGCGTAACTCATATTGCACGGCAGCACCTCACACACATTCAATTGATGGTTGGCAGAGATTCGGGATGACAGGGATGCCCCCTAGGGGAAGGAGGAGCTGGGACAAGTTTCGGTATGCCACTACCGTGGAATCATTGCGCAGGAACAAAAGGTCGGGGAAGGCTAGCTATGAAGGCAGAAAAGGAGGTGAGTGTCAACCGCAGCCAGGACGTTGGCGTGTGGTCAATGCTGTCGAGACGTCTTGTATGGCGTCTGGCGTCGGACGTGGGCTGGAGTTGTCGACGGTGTCCTTGTCCCATTCAAGTTGCCAATAATTTGTGCGGAGTGCCTGCGAGCCACTTGCAAGCCACTGAGCCTGCGACAGCCACAACTGGCCGCCACACTGTGGCTTTCATCCTTCACGCCACTTGGAAGGTCGCTGATGAGAATGGAAACCTGGTATTATTTTCTTCTCATTGTCTTTCTCCAGAGACTTTTGATTCATTGTCGCTTCTTCTGGTTGCTCTCAGCCCCCCTTGATTCACAATGGATGTGCCCGTAAACGTCCCTGTTGATGATCCCAATGCAGATACAGAGTGGTTCGTTTCTACGTTGTCCTCTTCCCCGTGCTTTCTCTTTCCCGGTCCGTCTAATATGCTTTCTGTGACGTGTACAGGAACGACATTCTTCGCAAACATGGCATTATCCCTGAAAAGCAACCCGACCCAGAACCCATCATCCAAGAAGCCTTACTCGAAGCCGTAAAGAAGGCCCACGACAACCGACTGGAAGACAAAGATTTGGATGAACTCCATGACCTTGAAGACGAGGAAGATGAAGCTTTTCTCGAGATTTACCGCCAAAAGCGCCTCGCCGAAATCGCAAAGCTGCAAAAGAAGTCCCTTTACGGCCAAGTGTTTCCGCTCCAAAAGCCAGATTATGCCCGCGACGTTACGGAAGAATCGTCCAAGGCATTTGTCTTGGTCAACTTAACCTCTTCCCTGGGCACCAATGTCGAGTCTCGGGTCCTGTCCGAGGTCTGGAGGCAAGCCGCGAGAAAGTTCGGAGACGTCAAGTTCTGCGAAATCCGCGCTGATCTCTGCATCGAGGGCTATCCCGAGAAGAACACGCCGACCATTCTGGTCTATAAGGATGGTGACATAAAGCGTCAAATTATTACTCTGGCACAGCTCAATGGTGTGAGAACAAACCTGAGGGATCTTGAGCGACTCCTTGTTGAAGTCGGCGCTGTGGCGGATAATGACATGCGACTCAGACGAAAGGACGAGGACGACGAGGACGAGAAGAACAAAAACCAAGACGACGAAGACGATGATGATTGGGACTGATGAAATAATTCCTTGGGTTGATGAGCAGTCTTCATCTTCAAGGATGCTAATGACTATGAGCCATGGCTATTAGCCAAGGTGAGAATGGTGATGCGGGCACCTCTACGGCAGCTCACAAATGTGCATCATTCCAGAATCCAGAGGTTCGGAACTCTCTGCTTTGGCAATGTCACTATTGGCTGCTCAAGAGACCACCTTTGCACACTTGCAACTCTTTCAGAACTACCACGCCAACAAGGGTGGCACCTCTTGTAGCGGGTTCATTCACAAGGAGCCGTGCCCGTAGTGCCAAACGATATGGTACGATTTGCCGAAAGTCGGGCTACAGCTGAAAATCCAAATGCCACTCGGCGCCGATCATGGATTCCAGATTCTGAGTTTGTCCCAAGGATGCACTTGTTGTCCGACTAGCGGTGGTTGATCACTCGTATCCTGTATGTACCCCAAAAGGATATCTTGGCCACATAAGGCGTCGGTTTGATGTGTTTGGAGGCTCGGGTATCTCCTCAGATAATCAGATCCAGTCCGGCAGGCTTGTGTCTGTCAAGGATCGTGATATGTCTCCGGATTCTGGAAAGAAGAAGCGTTTGGAGCAGGTACGCCCCAGGGTCCTAAACTGGGGGTATTTTGTGTCACTCGTGGCGCCCATAAGAGTCCAAGGGTTCAGCTAACATAATGTAGCCCAGACCATTTGTCAGAGACGGTTTTGATCCACTTCAGGAAGGGCCTGAAGAGTGTTGCATGCAAATCCTCTCCCCTCGCAGAGGGGCATGCCGAGATAGCTGTGGGGATTGGAGCATTACTTGTGATAAAAGGGTCCTTGCCACTCAGTATAGCAGGCAGGAAACCTTCGGGGCGTCCGAATGTCATGGCATTCGTAGACTGGACAGTTGAATAGATGGCACAAGCCACGCTCACAGATTTCCTCCAAATGCTTTGCAATTCGCTTGAGATCATGTTAACCAATACTCCGAAGCGCCCACGCTTGATCAAAAAAGATTCGAACAAAGGTTGTCCGAAGATAGGGCAGAGGTGAGGCACCGATTGCGGTGCAACGAGCGACGAGACGACCTCATATCAGCTCGTCGCGCCCTCCAGCAACGGCGCTTTCAGCAATTGCTTGCCTGACGTCACTCTCGAGGAAAATTGGCCCTTGGCCGTCACATCTTGCCATCTTTTTTAAACGCTCACAGACGTCGCCGACATCCACAAGCCCCTTGCGGAAGAGCTCATGGGCTTGGATGTAGTCCCAAGTAGCGCCAGCCCCAAGCAAAGGTTCTCCGGTGTCGTTGTCTACGGTGATGGTCCTTAATGTGCCAAAGTGAGCGTATTTGGAGCCTATGTCGAAGGAGGAACCACTGCTGCTAGTAGGCGAGCGGTCTTTCGAGTGTCGATCAGTGGGGATGTACCCCAGTGGGCCGACCAGCTCATCGGGCTCTTCCATAAATGGTGTCGGACCATTCGATGCCGCACCAGATGTAGCACGAAGAATCTCATTCTCGGTCGCAACTTTTGCGAGCTCGCGCCGCAGCCGCTCGTTCTCCCCGTTCAGGGTCACGGATTGGTGTTGCAGGCTCGTCAGCTTAGCCTCGAGATCCTTCACGTGCTTCTCCTTTCGCTCTCGAAATGCTCGTTGGCTGAGAATCACTGTTAGAATCATATTAACCCCTCAAGAGATCTAGATTCAGTGGTCTTACGCAGCTCTGTTTTGTGCCTTCCTGCGACTCTGCTGAGGTGTCAAAGTATCCTTCTCTTCGCTGCTGCTTCTTGCGACAGTTGGTTCGTCGGGCGTTATATCTGCCGCGGGTGCATTGAGACTGGTCATGTCTACTTCTGGCATAGATACCATCGAGTCATGGCGGCCTTGAATCGATGGAGATTGGGTGGATGCTTGATGTGGCTGAGCGAGGAAAGTGGCAGGGTCATAATGGAAGCTTTGCTGAAACGCCGCGAAGGCAGCATCATATTGATCCTACAGCATGGTTAGTCACCTTCTCCCGTAGTCTCGCCGACCAAGAGCAGCTCACAGTGGAAGGAGCGGTCCTAAACTCGTCCAGATGACTTGTTTGGGTTGTGGAGGGCGTCTGAGGCAAGCCAAAGAACTGATACGGCTGCGGGGCTGAAGTGAAGTACGAGAAGTCCATGATACGACCGGTTGAGGACTGGAAACGTAGAATTGGTCGTTGGAATATATCGGATTTGTGTCCTGCAACGTTCCCGCAAATACGTTCCTCCTCGTGTAGCCTACAGGCAGCAGAACCAGATCTCCTCGTTGATGGCCGTGGCGACAGGAACCAGATATTCTCTGCGAAGGGGGACTAGATCGGGACGACGTTCGACCCGCGTGCACATACGTCAAGTGGCACTGGAGATGACCGCAGGGAGGTTGGAGGAAACAGTAGAGTGGCAATGATACGCAGGCCCTTTACGGAGAGGATCAGAGAGGCGCAGCTGAGAGTCTTTAACGACCCGTCGACGAGAGATGCATCGTGCGAGTTCGGAGAAACGTGGGTGGGTAAAGAAGTACAACGGGCCCAATCTTCCCAGTTGGCGGGGGACGACAGCTGCAGAGCGCTTTTTGTAGCTGTACTTTGCTCTCCACAGAGGACGGAGTACGAGTAGGTGTGAATAGACTTTCAGGAGACGTGGTGAAGAGAATACCTTAAGTTTCCAAGGGATTGGAAAATGGGGAGAAAGGGACCATTGTGAAACTGACGACGAGGTGGAAGGATTTCGAGGGCGATCGCGCAAAGGAATCTGCAGGGCAAGACTCTTGATTCTTGGAGGACATCTGTGGCATCCGGATTGGCGCTGTTGTACGATGGGAGATGCCCGTGGCCGGGCGTGGAGGGGGCATCAGGGACGCCTAGTGGCCTAGTCGACTTAGTTAAAGGGCCCTGGCTCTGGCGCGAGCACGTTCTGGGTACTCGGTCTACCGTGCCGGTAGAGAGGGGGGAGACGTTCTGGGCGGACCACCCTCTTCGCCCGGCGCATTTGGGCCAATGGGTGCTATCTGCGGGCAGGGACCGGTGGCAGCTGGTACAGACAACTCCCAGACACTGGGTATTTATGCGGACGCAACCTTCCATCCATCCACCTGCTTTCGACCCGAGAACCAGGGCTCCTCCTGGTAGGGCGTTTCGGGGACTTGAAGGATGCGGATCGGGCGTAGGATTGGAGGTGGAGGCTGTGCGTGCTTGATAGAGGCCGAAGTGATCGGGGAGGCAGACGGTATCTGGTACGCTGGACTTAACGGCCTGCGACAAGTCTGGAGAAGCCAGATGCCAAATGGGCGAGATGGGCCGGTACATGGCACCCTCATGGCACCGATGGTACACTAACATCCATGACTAAGGCAGCAATTAGCCACTGCTGGGTGAACTGCTTCATGGGGTCCTGAGCGACCAGTGAGAAGAATCCCCAGTCAACGAGGCGAGGAAACTAATTCCCGGCGAATATCCAAAATATGTCGATGCCACTCGATGGGCAACCAGTGCTAAGTTGGGCTGTTTTTCCTTTGTCCCACGACCTGCAACCCACCATCACGCACCAAACGGCCACCCCTGCACCTAAGGCAACGGCTACCGCCCAACCAGAGATAATGGAATGCATCGACCAGGGGTGTTTTCGCAGACTGACTCAGCAAATATCCATAGGCCGACAGATGGCGTGCCTGCGCGCTGCTTGAGGCCTAGAAGATTGCCAGCCACCCACAGCGAAACGCAGCCATCTCTGGATCGACGAGGCCCAACGGTGGCTGCCTCAAGTACGAGGTACTGCGTGCTTGTTACCCACGATGCACGGAGTACATCCTCGTATACGGAGAAGGCAGTCTAGAGTGCTCGCATGCTCTGACCCATTGTCGCAACTCCAGCCGGGCCGTTGGCGAGACGAACAGTGCTCAGTGATGGGGTCGTGTTGAAGGCAATCCTGTCTTTTAGAGCATGGGGAGAGATTCTGCTACTTGAAGTGTTTGCAACGGGCGCAGATCGTGATCCAAGTCCCACTCCCCCTTTGAACTTCCTTGTCACAGAACTGACTGATATAGGACGGCCCCCAAGATCCTTCCAGCCAGCGGCAGTTGAAATTTGCCCGTAAGCACTCTCTTTTTGTCCGATCCTCCTCCCGGGCTTATTGATACCGAGACAGAGGAGCCTCCAGGCCTTGTACATCATCAAGAGATGGGCGACAATAAGAGCGCGGTCGAGAATCACCATGTTACTCGGCCCTTGCACGCGAGGTGGGTGAGGAACAAAAGCTGGAGGCTAAACAACGTGGGAAGCGGGACAGCCAGTCGCTGAAGTAAGCCTTCTTGTGACCGACCGTTGACGACCCTCCTGTGAGCAGTACACGCGGGCGAGAACCTCCATGCCAGCCACGGGTGGCAACTATACAGTCGACTTGTCGTTATTTCTTTCCTTTTCTTTCCTTTTTTCCTGTTTTGTTTTTCCTGTTTCTGTGGCAAAAGCAACGCAAGTCACCGGTTGGTTACCTAGGTAATCTCTATTCCGAGTCCTTCGCGAGCGATCTCTGCGCACTTTCCGACGCAGCAGTGACCAAGCACGGACAAGTCGAACACGAAAGGGCGTTGTGTGCTCCGAGCATGGCCGAACTCCCCCAGTATTTCCGAACAATCGCAGTCCCCTACCCCCGCTAAGCATTCGAAGGGGGCCGCAATTTTGCAAAGGACCAACCCTATTTCTGCCACTGGACATTTCCATCCTGTTACGAGGAGAAAGCTTAGGCAGGAATAAGCCCCGGATCGCTGTCTGAACTCTGATGACAAGGGACACCGTGCTCTAGTTGGAAGATCATCCGTTGATCAAATACGTGCGTCGGGGTGACCAAGGCTTTTGTTTCCCATCAATCAGCACTTGCCATCTCGACTCAATTGACGAAGCGAAACTCGGGCCCGAGATACGGAGTACAATTTCACTGTGACAAAGGAGGTGGGGGTGGTGACTTGAATTTTTGATATGTTTGGAGACCCGACTTTGGGGAGTGCCTCATACCGCTCTTTGCATGATGGCGTACCCAGAGCCTTTCATCCCATTGCTGCTGTTGCTGCCGCTGCTCTCTGTCTCCTCTATCCTCGTGTACTCAAAGTCGAAAGAAAAGAAAGGAGTCGTATTTCTATCTTTGAGGCGCAGTGAACCTGCAGCCCAGTGCAACAACAACAACGCCATTGACATCATCTGTAGCTGCGGGGTCAGCTCTGCCTTCTGCTCCTGCGTTTGCCCGGCTGCTGGGACGGACATTGTCGGTGGTTTTGTAGGGCATTCTGGTCTCACCTGACAGGAGCAAGCTGGATAGACGTGCAGTGTTCAAGCGGATGCCACCCAGATGCCACATGGGACTTTGCTTGTAAATGGCCACAACGGCACAGCCCCAACGTGCCCCCCGGTTAAAAAGCGCTTGGTCATCCGTACATCTGCAGGCTAGACTTTAGTCTGCGTCGACCGGATCCCAGTCAGTCACCAAGTATTCATCTAGACCGTCCATCCTCTGCATGTCGTCGCTGGATATCTCAAAATGACTAACATTGCCATTTTCCTTGATTCGTTGTTGCGATACACTTTTAGGCAATGGAATATACCCGTGTTGGAGACTCCACCTAACCATTAGTTGCGCAGGAGTGCATCCGTATTTCTTGGACAGTGATACAATTGTCGGATGCTCCATGCGGAGAGCTCTGGCAAGAGGCGCGTAGGCTTCGACCAGAATGTCATACTTGCGACACGTTTCGACAATGTCTGACCGTGTATTGAAGGCTGAATGCACAGGTCCTGTTAGTATGGTCACCGCAATATCCATCTCCTATCTCCACAGTGATCACCGAATATATGGGACAAGATCGACTCACGGTGGACTTCGATCTGATTGACACAGGGCATGATGCGCGGCTTCGCAGCAACGAGCTCGTCCAGATGCTTGGTCCCAAAATTGCTGACACCTCCTAGCTTGATCTCGCCGTCTTGGATGGCATCTTCGACCGCTCTCCAGCTAGAAAGACGAGCGTTTTTCCCGCCATACGGACTGTGAAGAAGGAACAAATCAATATAACCTAGGCCACTTGCTTCCACTGATTGTCTGATGGAGCGACGAGCAGCGTCATAGTTAGTGTTTGTCGCCAGCTTAGAGGTGAAGAAGATGTCCTCTCGGTTCAGGCCTGTGGTGTTGCTGGACTTGTCACCGATGAAGGATAAGATGGCCTGACCACAGGCCCGTTCATTTCGGTACATCTGAGCACTGTCAACGCCGCGATAGCCTGCTTCGAGGGCCCATTTGACCGCCTGCGAAGCCTCTCGGTTTGACATCAAGTACACGCCCAAGTGTATCTGAGGAATAGAGAGGCCATTGGGTAGAGTGAGGCGAGTGGATAGTGAGAAGCTGTTGGGCGCCATCGACGGTGTTGTTTGTATACGGTGTATATGCCCTTTCCGTCTCTCAAGATAGAATGGAACTCTGAGTCTGAGCTAGGGCGAGACAGAATAGGTGGGCAGGCTTGTCACCAACTCATGTGCGGAATCAATTGCCGGCGAGGAGATTACTTCATTGCCTCCATCTCTCTAGCTGTCTGGTGCTCTTAGAGTCTTAGGTGGGGAGCAGGTTCGTGTGAGTGGAAAAAGGCCGTTGTGCCGTGGCGCACGAGGCTCTCGTATTATTGCCGGTTCCGAGCTTCCCCGTCGAAACACGCGCACACCTCAAAACGACCTCAATGCTGGTTATCCAACACGCGCCCATATTGTTATCTACTGCGAGCACAGCCTCACTCGACCTGGAGAACAAGAGTATTCTCCATTGCTACCGCTCTTCTTGATTTCACTGTCTCTCCCCGCGGAAGCGAGAAAACTCGGTCGTTCAAACAACCCGGAGCTTAATTCCCGTGGGTTTTCAGCTGGTGCTTGGACGCCTTCACCGCTCCCCGTTTCCGCATGTCAACACCCTTTGGTCTCGGCACGTAGCATGGTGGCATAGTTCCGTCGAACGTGTCAACATTCTCGTTGTCTGATATATCAACGCTGCGTTGCTCATGATGCGCTCATTGGATACGCATGAGCTTGAGCCTGATGCCACTTCCACGACTGATCGCCGGAGGGAGACTTGCATGCCTCTATTTTCCTTTCCGGAGCGCTCTCGATTTTGACGGTGCATTTGGCACCATTTTGGGGGATTGATAGCCAATATGGCCTTCTCGTCGTCTTCATCCGAGAGTAATTTCAGCGCATCGAGATCTGTTCGCGATGCACCATTTACAGGCCTCAGCAGCCCTTCCGAGTCTGGTAGCCAAGGCAGACGCGGGGGCGGAGCGTTTCAGTTCGACATTATCGCATGGTTCCCCAAATATCAAAGCTGTCAGCGATATTTTATAGATCATGCTCAGCACGAACCGCTCGTCCAGGCCTTTGCATCCTTCATCAACATTCTGCTCCCGTTTCAGCGCCAACCGCACCCAGTCTACACTACGTCTGGATCTAGGAGTGGGAAAGCGAGGCTGGATAGAGACTCGGTGAGACCGTCTTCTTCTGAAGCAGCAGCAGCCGCCTCTGCTGTATCCCTCATCCCCTACCTGCGGCGTCTTGTGGTTACTGGTATGGATGTGCCCCAAGTATTGCACGGGTTTTTCGGGGACGACTGGCGAGCGGGGATTGGACCGCAAAGAGAGCAAGAAAGGCGGAACTACCTCTTTGCAGCCAAAAGTGGCGGATGGGCATCGGTCAAACGAGAATATGACATGCTACCCTTGGAGACGGTACCATTTATGCGTCCGCTGTATGACCCGACAGACGCTGAGATCGACGCTGCGGAGCGGAGCTGGAGTGAGTGGTTAGCCCTTGAAGATTGGATGGTGGGCTCGCGTGCACCAGATGACGATGCAAATGAAATCTCATAGAGAGAGGATACCGTGACTTTTGCCACAGAGATATTGGCAACCAGGCCCCAAGAAGTCGCAAGATGTCTATTCGGCGTTTAGGAGGAAGTAATACGGGCCACGGCATCGTGAATGTTCATGGCATGTGCGGCATTCATCATAGCGTTCGTTTGTTGTTCAGCAAGGCCTTTGTGGCTGTCGGACAAATGGGCGTCAGGCAAGGCTCAGATTTTGCCTCAGCCTCGCCAACTGTATTTGCTGTTTTAGCGCAAGGCTTCAGCCGTGTTGGTCCGAGCGCGTCTTTGATCACAGAACCTGATAAAACTCCATCCATCACTGCATCACTCCGCTGTCCTTCTTTCAAGCCAGTGTCTTTAACTGTTCTAGTCTCTTGTTGGTCATCCAACCTTGGCCTCGCCTTCATCTGGCGCTCACTCACATGAGCATAATTGGTGATTATGGCCGCATTATGATTTGCCACCATCGTCACCTCAAGCGATCTACAGTCACTGTTCTCATGTGAATGTGACACGCGCCTCTCAAGTGCGGCTCTCAACCTTGGCGATGGACAAGCATAAGATGGCCAGCAACGCTCATATGTTCCTGGACCCGAAGTCGATTAAGAAGATGTCCAATCCATCAGGTGAGAGTCAAAGCCTCGCGCTTGATTTTGGATTGTATCCCCAAACTGACGCTTCTTCACACTCAGGAAACGCAGGGGGTCGTACGCCTCTCGGCGATCATTCGTCTCAAGGAGAAACTGCTCCCATGGAGGGGCCCAAAAAGTCCATGCTGGAGAGCCTCTACGGCGTTGAAGACAGGATCAGCAACCCACGGAAGAAGGTGAAACTGAATGCCGAGGACCAGCGCGACCAAGGACCAAAGATGGGTATATCTTCTCATCATCGCGGTAGCGGGATTGTCGGTGAATACATGCGACCAGATCCCGACCAGGCCACCGAAATGACAAAGAAAAGCCTGGTTGATCTGACAAACGATGAAGAGGATGGCGATGACGATGATGTACAAATTGTTTCCTCTCGGTCGCTCGATGACCAAGAGGTATGCTATGGCCATATCGCAACAGTCGCACAAGCCTATCTCCTCCCTAAGCCAAAGACGACTGCAAATTCCTTTCACCAAGGACGAGAATGGCCCGTTATGAGGTGTACCTTCATACGCAAGCCATCAAAGGACATAGTGATTGACATTCAAGATCCGTGCGGCACGTCGTTTGCTAGAGTCCACCCCGACTTTGCTGCAGTACTAGCAGTGGCTATGGATACTACGAAGGGTTTTCGGACACAGGCGAAATTGATCAATCGGCGTAAGAAACAAGAAGAATGGCCGCATCAACCCTGCTCTGAACAGCTGAAAATGATTGTTAACATCTACGGTCGACGTGGAGATGTCAACAAAGTCGGTCGCATTTTCGGCAATGCAAACTTCTTCTTCCGCCCACCAATGGCTCCGGAGACTGGTATACCAATCGTCAATCCCCATGCACAGAACAAGCCAATGTTCCACACTCCGCGTACCATAGGCCAAGCGAGAACTTTGGCTGATACTCGCACTCTCGAGGAAGCGACAGAAGCAGTCTCAAAGCTCTTTGATTCTTTCGCCAACGCAAGTCGGCCGCTAGATGAGACTAGTCCGCCAGATTCTATCATTACAACACCTCTACTTAGTCACCAGAAGCAGGCGCTTACATTCCTTCTCCGACATGAGCAGCCACGAACGTTTGGCAGTGACGAAGCAGAGAATTCCTCACTTTGGCGCCGGAAACAACGCAGAAATGGGGAGATCGCTTACCACGAAGTCATTACCGGTCTTTCTGTCAAGGACGAGCCAGAACAAGTACTTGGTGGTCTCCTAGCGGATGTTATGGGTCTCGGGAAGACACTAGAAGCCCTTTCACTCATCGCAAGCACGTTGGAAGAAGCCGAATTGTTTGCGAATGAGAAAGTGGTGCGCGACAATCAGGACATGCAGCGCATCATATTATCCAACACAAAGGCGACATTGATAGTCTGTCCGACCAGCACCGTGAAAAACTGGGAGGATCAGATCGCACAGCACATCAAGCCTGGAACTATGGAATACCACGTCTATCACGGCCCTAATCGTGAGAAGAATCCGTACAAGTTGCTGAAGTACGAAATGATCATCACGACGTACGGTGTGGTCGCTTCTGAATTCTCCAAGACTGCAATTTCACTAAGCCCGTTGAGACAGCTGATTTGGTTTAGGATAGTGCTGGACGAAGCGCATACGATTCGAGAACAAAAAGCTCTTCAGTCTCAGGCCTGTTACAGTCTGGAGGCCCAACGCCGCTGGTGCTTAACAGGGACACCTATTCAAAATCGATTGGATGACCTGGGTTCTCTGACGAGGTTCCTCCGCCTATATCCATACGATACCCCAGGTCGATTTAATCAGTACATTCGGGGCCCAGCCCAAGCAGGCGATCCGGCATTCTTAAAGGCTTTGCGCGTGTTTGTGGACTCATTCACGCTTCGTCGACTTCGAGACCGGATTGACCTCCCGGAGAGAAAAGACTATGTCGCCAAACTGACCTTTTCGGACGAAGAAAGAAAGCTGCACGACTTCTTCAAAGGGGAAGCTCACGTTCAGATCGAGCAGCTTAGCCGTGCGAAGGAGAAGAACAGTGGTGTTCAGCATCACGTACTTCGTGGCATCATGACCTTACGGCTAATTTGTGCGCATGGGCGGGAGTTGTTGAAGGAGAAAGATCTAAAGCTGCTGAAAGGGATAAGCGCCACCGAAGCCATTGACGTTGACGAAGTTGTCGCACCACCGACCATATCGAGAAAAGCCGCGTACGAGTCTTTGAACTTGAGGACCGAAGCTGAGCTGGACGTGTGCCGAAACTGTGAACGGAGCATAACTAAGGATGTAGCGAAGACCGAAGTGGATGATGAGGAGCAGGCGCTGCGATGCTTCATCCTCCCATGCTTCGACCTCGTTTGCGCCGACTGCTTCAATCCGGCAAAAGCGTCCTTCGACAGCCTATCGGACAAGGAACCCGTTACCTGTCCATTTTGTTCGGCCCTAATTGCTGCGCAATACGTCGGATTTAGTGGATCCACGGCGCAAGAGATTCTCGTGGCACCAGACGACACCATTGACGAACAGGAAGAGGAGGACGGGGTGCAGACATATTCCGGACCTCATACTAAGACGAGGGCGCTTTTGGCAGACATTGAGCAAATGTACCAAGACAGTCAAGCCTTGGAAGCCGCCGGAGAAGCCCCTCTGAAGTGTGTTGTCTTTTCCGAATTTACGTCGCACCTGGATCTCATCGAGAGAGCATTAGTCGATCACGGCTACTCTTTTGTCCGCATTGACGGCACGATGTCCCTTAACAACCGGAAGAAATCGATGGACGCCCTTGCGTCGGACGACAGTATCAGAATCCTCTTGGCATCGATCAAGGCTGCGGGACAAGGTCTCAATTTGACGGCTGCATCGCGAGCGTTCATCATGGAGCCGATGTGGAACCCAGCAGCTGAAGCGCAAGCAGTGGATCGAATTTATCGCATCGGACAGAAGCGCCCGGTTCTCGTCAAACGGTATCAAATCGACAATAGCATTGAGGGCAAGATTGTGGAATTGCAGAAAAGAAAACAACAGCTGGCCGACGTGTCGGTGAATCAAAATTACAAACAGTTGAGCAAGCAGGAAGTGCGCGAACAGCATATGAAGGAGATCCTGGCGCTGTTCAAATGATGACGGGTGTTGCAGCTCTGCGTCTTGGACGAGTTGGAAGCACAACGCAGTTGCGTACAGACGCTGTAACAGCATCTGAATGATAGATTTTGCCATGCAGCGGACAAGGAACTTTGGAAATCATGAGGCCGGGGCTTGGATATTCATTCGCATTGGCATAGAGAACGGAATTTCACATGGCGCGGATCTGGTAGCAAGAGGAGACGTGCTCTCTAAGAGCCAGGTCAGCAGCTACAGAGCATGCAAGAAATGTACCCAGACAACCTTTGCAGCAGAGAAGCATGAATTCAATGACACTTTATTGATTATTGAAGCTGGAGGTTTTCTTTCTTCTGCAGACATTGCTTGCTAGCACGTGGGAGTACGAGAGACCTCCGATTAGGGAGGATTGTCCCTAGCAGGGGAGCCTAGCCTCAGCAGTTAGCGCTGAGGCTAGGTGCCATACCGGTACCTAGCTCGCTAGGTAGTTAACCAAAATACGGGCCCCCAAATCGCATCGCTAGGTACCTCGATACTCGTAGTTGCCGGTCGTGGGGCATCAGGCGAGGTTCCGGTTGTCTGGGGGTGAGAAACCTGTTGAGGCCCCAGCCATCCGAGTGGCGGCCGCCCCGAGGGATCGGGTACCCAGCCTATCATGGCCCCCTAGAGCCGCGATTCAAGGCACCTCAATGGTCCTTGGACGCCGCTGACGATGGTGCATGGTGGATGCCCAGGTTCATGCCCAGATTCAGGGCATCTAACCACGATCAGGCAGTGGGCGAGTCTGTGGGCGGGATGCAGCAACGGCCACCGACACCGCCCACTGCCAATTCCCATGAAGAAATCCGATTTCACCGATCGTCATTGCTGCTAAACAGAGCTTGCCCGTGCAACTTGGGAAATTTTCTCGCCCGTCTGTTACTTCCGAAGGGCAGAATCTCTGTCGCGCCTCCTGCCATCCGTCTGGGACATTCAAAGCAATTGGACGTCTCTTCGTCCATCATTGTCCTTTACCTCGGGGCCTTCATTCAATTCTCTGCCTCCCCGTCATTGCTAAGAGCCGAAACCCTGCCTTTTCTCTAAACTCCCTGGAGCTGCATGTGCTGATCTGCTTCGACCGGTCCCAAGCATACACAACAGGATCAGTGATCCTCCGATCCCAAGATGGTTGTTGTAGACCACTATGAGTATCTCTGTGAGGAAGAGAAACGGCTGAAAGAGGACCGCGAGCGCACGAAATACTGGAAGAGATGGGGTCCCTATGTGGCTGAACGTCAATGGGCAACTGTGCGTGAGGACTACTCGGACAATGGTGACGCCTGGAGCCACTTCTCCCACGACCAAGCCAGGTCTAGAGCCTATCGCTGGGGTGAGGATGGCATTGCTGGCGTGTCCGATACTCATGGGCTCCAGAACGTTGCCTTCGCCTTTTGGAATGAGAAGGACGACTTTTTGAAGGAGAGGCTCTTTGGTCTCAGCAATCCCCAGGGCAATCACGGTGAAAGTATCAAGGAGGCACACTTCCATTTGGACAATGTCCCTACGCATTGTGAGTCGGACTGCCGCAAATACGAGCAACAATGAGCTGACTTCTCTGCAGCATACATGAAATATCTCTACAAGCTCCCTCAGCGGCGGTTTCCCTACGAAGAGTTGATCAAGGAAAATGCAAAACGCGGCAAGCTTGAGCGCGAGTTCAACATTATCGACTCGGACGCTTTCAAGGACAATCGTTACTTTGACATCTTCATCGAGACTGCAAAAGAGACCGACGACCCTGAAGAGTTGCTGTTCCGGGTAACCGCCTACAACCGTGGCCCAGAACCGGCTCCTCTGCATATCATTCCTCACATGTGGTTCAGGAACACTTGGTCTTGGGGCAGGGAGCCCGAAAAGCTCAAACCCAACATTCGCATGGTGGGACCGATGACTGCGCAGTCCAAACATCACAAGCTGGGTCATCGCTTCTTCCAGCTGTCTCCATCACCAGGCTGTGGCCCCAATGCTGACGATGTTCATCCACAACTCATGTTCACGGAAAATGACACCAACCTCCAGAAGCTCTACGGTGTCAAGAACAAGCAACCTTATGTCAAGGACGCTTTCCACCGGTGGATAGTCGACGAAGAGAAGGGAGCCATCAATCCTCGCTGCTCGGGCACAAAATGCGCAGCTTGGTATGACTTTGGCCAAGGTGACGGGGTCCCTCCTGGAGAGTGCGCCGTTGTCAGATTCCGCCTGTCGCGCAAATACGATGGCTACCTTAACGAGGAGCTTCTAGACGACATTATCGAGCAAAGACGGCAAGAAGCCGACGAATTCTACTACAGAATTAGCCCTCTTCCCATGGCTGAAGATTTGAGGAATATCCAGCGCCAGGCTCTTGCCGGCATGCTCTGGTGCAAACAGCACTATTATTTCATCTGGGATCAGTGGGCGAACGGTGACCCTAACATGCCACCTCCCCCGGAGAACCGCAAGAATATCCGGAATGAGCACTGGAAGCATATGTATCTCGACGACATCCTTTCAATGCCGGATTCCTGGGAGTATCCGTTTTTCGCGGCCTGGGACTCAGCTTTCCATTGTATCCCACTTGCAATGGTCGATCCCGAATTTGCAAAGAAGCAGCTCGATTTGTTCACTCGCGAATGGTACATGCACCCCAACGGGCAACTCCCGGCCTATGAATGGAACTTTGGCGACGTCAACCCACCTGTGCACGCATGGTCCGTTTTCCGGACCTTCAAGATTGAACGAAAAATGTATGGGAGACAGGACCTCGATTTCCTCGAACGTGTCTTCCAGAAATTACTGCTCAACTTTACCTGGTGGGTCAACCGCAAGGACTATGAGGGCAAAAATGTGTTTGAAGGGGGCTTCCTGGGTCTTGACAACATTGGTCTGTTCAACCGTTCCGAGCCTTTACCCACTGGTGGAGTTCTAGAGCAAGCCGACAGCACAGGATGGATGGCATTCTACTGCCTCTGCATGTTGAACATTGCACTTGAACTTGCCAAGCATAGACGAACATACGAGGACATTGCGTCGAAGTTCTTCGAGCACTTTCTTCTGATCGCCGACGCTATGACCTTCCGTGCGGGAGGCAAAGAAAAGAGCTTATGGAACGAGGAGGACGGATTCTACTACGACGCAATTTCTTGGGGCGGACCATGGACCCAGCAAATGCCCGTACGGTCTCTCGTTGGCCTCATCCCACTATATGCGGTCCTGACCTTGGAGCCGGAGCTGATCAACAAGTTTCCCAATTTCAAGAGGCGGATGGATTGGTTCATTGAGAATCGCCACGACGTTGCAGAGCGCAATATTGCCTCCATGCGCAAAAGAGGTAAAGACGAGCGTCTCCTGCTGTCTCTAGTCAGCAAGGAGCGCCTAGAAAAGATCTTGAAGAGGATGCTTGACGAGACAGAGTTCCTCTCTGAGCACGGAATCCGCAGCTTGTCCAAGTACCACGAAAAGAATCCCGTCAGCATGGATGTCAACGGCCAGCAATTCAAGGTCAGCTACGTACCTGGTGATTCTGACTCTGGCCTCTTCGGCGGCAACTCCAACTGGCGTGGCCCAATCTGGATTGCTGTGAATTTCTTGCTAGTCGAATCGCTGCTGCGGTTCTACATGTTCTATGGCACCTCCCTCCAGATCGAGTGTCCCACCGGCTCGGGTGAATACATGCATCTCGGCCACGTTGCCGAGGAGATCCAGCACCGGCTCCAGCATCTCATGCTGAGGGACGGTGAAGGCCGTCGAGCCATCAATGCAGGTAACGATACTCTCGATTTTGACCCACATTGGAAAGACTATCTCTGGTTCTTTGAGTTCTTCGATGGCGACACCGGCCGCGGCCTCGGTGCCAGCCATCAGTGCGGGTGGACCGGGTTGATGGCAAAGATGATCCACGACACAGGTATCAATTGTCGTCTAGCGCAGACTCCCCGCACACCCTCCACTGCCGCCGCGCACTACTTCGATGACACTCTTTCAAGAGGACTGAGCAGGAAAGGTACCTTTGTTGGCACCCCCGGACCGATGCGGCGTTCGTCGACTTCGCGCTCGATCGGCAACCGCGGCTCATTCGTCTCCGTCACCAACGGCGACCACCACTCCGGTCGAGGGAATCAGACGCCCGCCGTGATTCACGATGTGGATGCTCCCAATTCTTATTTTGAAGCGGCAACAACCACTGGGACCGACTCAGACGCCTGGGGAGAAGAGGACAAGCTGGAGAAAGAACGCCGAAAGAGCATTGCCGACAGTCACTACGACAAGTACGTCAGCGAGCAGTTGACCAAAATCAAGACGAATGAGAGTGCTGCAGTGTACGAGGATGAGTTTGAGGCGCAGCTGGATTAGCTGAGTTGAGAGTCATGGTTTTGTCGCTCAGACTCGATGGTGCGGGAGTACGACGATTATCATAATAGAGACTACTGGCAAGGCGCTGTAGCCTCGATCCTTAGAGCATGAGCTTTTCGTTAGAGCATAGATACAGAGCATGGATAGAGCATTACTTGAGCGGGCAGATACAGCTTAATACGCAAATACCCAATACTTGTTTCTACCATTGCTTGTAACCTCTCTATCGAGATGTATAGATTGAAGTCCACATACCACATGTCGTGACCTTCGTCGTACTAGGTATATATAGATGAAGCGTCCGTTTCCTGTCTCATACACTGTCCGCACGGTCCGCACTGCGTACCATGTTTGTAGTCTGGGGATCTTCCACTACTTCTCTAGCCGAAGGAGGGACGGCACCGTCATGCAGCATGCCTTGAGAACCACCTTCTTGGGCGGGCGACGACCAGCTGGCTGCATCCTCAGCATGCAGGTGGCCGCAGGGGTGGGCATCAACGCCAACTGCATGGACTGCATCAACCATGGCAAGGGCACTGTGCGACGAGACCTTTTCAAAGACGCAATTTCCAGTGCCGGAATCGACCAGAATGACTCGACCGCTGCTATCGTCTTTGTCGTGGTACTCGGCAAAGACACTTTCAATCCCGCCGTTGTTGCTTCCTTTGGCGAGGCGAGATGCACCACGACGCCTTACGCCATTCGGCTCTAACAAGGCAGCTACCAATCCTGCAATGCTTAGGCGTGCTTGCATATTGCGCGTCTTTCCCGGTTGACTCGCCACAGCCATGGCGGCAAGCACAATGCCGAGCAGAGCGTAGAGGAGGTTCAAGCTCACCAAGGTGAAAAAGGGGGCTTTGGGGAGCCGCGCCACCAGTCGGCTTTGCCTCGTCTGCTCGGCGACGTTCAGTCTCCCGGCCGTGATTCCCGCGATCATGCTCAGCGCGGCCCTGCTGAACTGACTGGCGAAGTAATCTGCAAATGCCTGGGACGTGTTGACCTGTTGGGCGCCGCTGAAGAAAGCGGACTCGAGCGAGTTCTGCACCAGTGCGCGGCTCTCGAGAAGCGCCCAGCCGACATTGTTTGATAGGGTCTCGTTGGCCATGGTGTAATTGCTGGCATCCCCGACGACATTGCCGGCGATGGATGCGTACTCGAGCTCGTAGACGGCAGAGGTGCATTGAAAGATAAAGGCGTAGTTGTACTGGTCGTCGTCCTCGACGGCTTCGGGATCCAGAGAGAGAGCGTCAGAGGCGGCCACACGAGCACCGGCTGCGAAGAAGAATGGGTTGGGGGTCGCCAGCTGTCCATCGACAGTCCCGATCGGGTCTGCAAAGCCTTGCTTTCTGAACATCTGCAGAAAGAAGCCGATGTTGCTGTTTGTCCCGTACGAGCTGCCGTTGCCGGCCGCGAAGGTGAAGCCGGTGTTGTTGTTGAGGTCCCCGTAGAGACTGGGACTGCAGTTGTAAGTCATGCCCAAAGTCATCTGGACTTCTCCCAGGGCACAGCCGTTGTCGTACATGCACCACTCGATCTGCTGGAGGTGGCAAGCTTGGCTGGCTGGAGAACATGTGGTGCTCATGGCGTACGTCCGAGCCCGGAAATCGAGGTTGGGATCGCGTTGTGCCGAAGTGAGGAAGGCGAAGTGCTTGTCATCCACTGTACTAGTCATGACGCTGTTGATTGTGGAAAGATTCATCGAGGTACGAGTCGCCTCGGAAGCGCTGTCAAAGTGTATTGACTCCGGTAGTTGCAAGCCGCCTATGCACTGGTTGATGTCCCCGGGCGTCCAAGTTTGGTTATAGCACAGGGGCACGAGGCCACGACCGTAGCTTGCAACAGGTGTAGAAACGGGTGGTGAGAGCGTGTCCAGGTTCACTGTCGACGTGGTGAAATGGAGCCATGTATCGACCGCGACGAGGGCGATGCTGTGGGCACAAGTTAGCGCATGTACCCCTCTGGCTTGACGGGTTATGTTGTTATGGTCCTCTACCTCAAAACAGTTGCGGCCAATAGACTCACGACGGTCATCCACAAGAGCTTGGTCTGCTTGTTTCGCCGCTTCCAGAAACAGTACTGCAACCATGACCATAGCGGTCCGAACCCTCCTCCAAGTAGACCTATGATCAGCTTGAGCTGATAGACCGTAGGGAGAGACTCGACCTCCCCCAAATTAGATCTCCTGATATAATCCTTCGCAAGTGGATAGGAGGTCAGAACCATGACGAACGCCGACGTGAGCGACGTGACAGTGCTTGTCCAGGACGAAACCGTGATCAGTCGCGTAGCACTGAAATCAACGTAGTAGGCCGATCTGTTTCGCACGGTCGAGACTCCTAGCAAGTTTTCAGAAATCTCCGGGTCGCTGGAAACCTCATAGCCATACACAAGGCCAACGAAGATGGCTGTCAACACAAGCATGGGGAGGCTGAGGCACATAAGAGCCCAGAGTATGTCGGCGATTGCTCCATCGAGTCTTTGTGGAGGTCCGTCAGGTGGTGGTGCTTTCGCAGGCTCAGAGTGTGCTTCCTTGGACCGACTCTCCTGTGCTTGGATTTCTGTCGCCAAGTTGTCGCCGTCGTTGCTTTGTCGTAGGAGCGGCGCTGAGACTTGGGAAGCCATGTGGAACGAGATCCTTCCAAGAAAATGCTGCCACCCCTTCCGCCACGAACTCAGTCGTTGCTCACCATAGAATCTGAAGCAGCGCTGGCTAGACTTTGAGCATCAAGGGAGGAACATATTGAGGTTATCATGAGGAGCCAGGACGGCAGGTGCAGGGGCCTGAATGGTGGGCATCCCATAGTTAGGCTGAAGCTGCAAAACATGGCTAGCGGCTGCAAGAAGGCTGTGTCGACAAATATCTCAAGAGTTACGCCTCATTCGGCCTTGGAAATGTTTCACTCACGCTGTTCCCTGGCACAGATGGATGATCTGTTACACTCGAAGGGAGAATGTAGCGGTATCACACAACCCCTTGGCTAATTGGCGACCAGGCAGCCTGCCCTCTTGGGGGCCGAACCTTGTGCAGCCCCGATTGTTTCACAAGCTTTTGATTCTCTGGGTCGAGTTTCCTGTGTCTGTCGCTATTCTGCTTGGGAAGGCCAGAAGAATGCTGGTCATCTTCTTTTCTCAAATCATTGAAGGCGATATGGAATTGGCTTCGGCATGCACGCGTTGATACAGGACATAGGGACGCCCAGCTGTCCCTGCATTTCTCGAACAGAAGGAAACGCGGTGGTGCGGCTGAAGACCCGTGTTGAATACTCCCTGCAGAGACCCTTCTAGTGAGGGTATACAGAGCTTCTTACAGAACTTCTTACCTGTTTCAGCTATGCTGGCTCGACAATACCACCAAGCTTGACAAAACGAGTTGAAGGGGGCGCATGGAGGAATCGACCAGTTGGGTAACGGATCATAGTCTCTTGGTCTCGACTGAATTGGAAGTGGTTTGGCCAATCCCAGGATGGTTCACAAGCTGAATGCCGGTTCAGTACGGCCAGGACAAATGAACTGGATTTGTTATATACATCACCGCCCCTACTGCATGTCCAGTGTCTCTGGTTCTCACCCTCAAGAAGGTGCTATCGTACCCACCCCAGAACGTGCCCTTCTCACCAGTCAAGCCCTTGCTCTGCTTCTCATCCCACAGATCCCAATGATGAACGATAATTTTACACAGTCTCAGTGAGCATCTTGTTCAACCGGGCGATCTTGCTTGACACGCTAAGGTCGATGGTTCGTTCGCCAATCTCGACCACGAGGCCACCGAGGATATCTGGGTTGACTTTCGTGACGACCTTGAGCTTCTTGCCTCCGCTGTATTCAGATTTCGAGATGGCGGCTTCGAGGCGGCGCAGGAGTTTGTCGTCAAGTTTCTGTTGATCAGCAACGTTAGTCTTCGTGCGCACAGCAGTGTTTTGGTCTACAGGTCTGAGTCTAGACCGTGGGACCATGGACATAGTGCGTTGGGTGGACATACCGCGGCGCTCGTCACAACTAATTCTATCTCTCCTCTTGCTGCACTCATCAGGGTGCCAAACTTCTCGCAAACTCCCTCGAGCAGACTCAGCCGGTTGTTCTCCGCGAGCGTTTGCAGGAAATTCTTGACGGTATTGGACTTATCGGATGCTCCGGTGTGCTTTTCCAGTTCTGCAATGATCTGTGACTTGTCGGTATCGGAGAGTGTAGGAGCGGCGAGAATTTGGGGGAGTTTGGCATCCGTCTTGAAGATTTGTTCTAGACTGCTGAGAGCTTTGGCCGTCGGCTCTAAGGAGCCTTGTTTGGCAGCCGCCGTATACTGTTGAGCATGAAAGTGTCAGCTTGAAATTCCCTCGACGAGACGACCCTGAATCCCTGATCTTTTGACACCCATCCAAGCCGTGATTCTCCCAGCTGCCCCCCGATCCTATCTCCACCTTTTGCATGATAACATTGGATTGATCATACCAGAGCATTTGCATAAGTCCCATCGAGGCCGAACAAAGGCACTGGAGGTTTCGTGTCTGCGGCGGCCGGAGCAGCGTATGTTCGGACAGCTGTTCTGGGAACTGTGCGACGGGCAGCGGCGAAAGCTGGCCGCATCAGCTTGGAGGACATCATCTTGCCGGCGGGAGAGACGATGCAAAGCGAGTTGGACCTGCAAAGGAAGGAAACGAAGTCTGAGAGCGGAGAGTCAATGCGAGCTCGGGACTTGCTGGAGCTTGGGGATTGAACGATGAGGTTTGAAAAGCAAGCTCGTCAACCGCAGGGTGGAACTAGTCCCAATGCGGAAACATGGGACTGGGCAATATCAATTAATATCATCAGACAGCTTTACCACCACTCCTCCTCTCTCCTCCTTCACTATTTTCTGGGTGTCATCAAGAGACCACGAATTCTAATCGAGACCTTTTATTCAAGCAGTCTATATCCCGCAACTGATGACCAAAGGGGCTTAATCATGAACAACCTGAACACTAACACGCCAATACTCGAAAACCCCAGTCACCACTGCTTCCTCAAGAGTCAATCTTAATTTCGAACCTGCTCATCCATCTACTTTCGAGAGCTTGCAGGGCGGATGCTGGACATTTGCAGCATCAAGAATACGGCGAAAAGGCCCAGCTTGCCACGTCATCCTCAATCGTGAAGCGCAGCCCTTTCACATCAATTTCTTCATACATGCTAGAAATAGCAGCCCGAGCTTTTTTGTGCCATGGCCCTCGCCCACCATTGACTGCGTCTTCTTTGTTGCGCCAGAAGCCTAGGGGATGATTAACTTCTCGTCTTGAAGGCTCCATCGTCTTTACTCACACGTTGCCAGATTTCTCCTATTGGTGTCAGGTACCCCGTACCAGTACTTCAGAAGCCCTCCACTCTGAGTGGCTTCGACGTGGGATTGCTTGTCCAATTTGAACAAGAGGTCAACGTCAATGTTCTTCTTGAGTTTCGACCTGAACTCGACGACGTAGAACTCTTGCCGCGTCCACCTGTAACCCTCTTTGGCTGCCAAGGACTTCAATAATGCCATCAAACTGCTCCAATCGAAGGAGTCTTCGTAGGGGACTGTGGCATAGTTTCCTGAAGCTGGTTCCAGTTGTGTCGATGCAAGAGCGAGAAGCCGGTTTGGAGTATCGACACTGTTCAGATCCAAGAGATGTTCTGGTTCAAGGTATGGTGAAACTGTTAACCAGCGGGCGGATTCCACGTCGCTTTCGAACTCTACTTGAGTTGGATGATGTTCAATGGTGACTCCGGTGAAGGGCCCGTGGATCTTGGTCGAGGCACCAGAATCATGCACGCTTATGCTGCTGTCCTCGTTCGTTTTGAGCCTTTGTCTGGGCTGAGCGGCTGCCATTTGGAACAGGATCAAGGCTTCGGTCACCGAATTGCGGATGCTGTCGAAGGAAAGAATAAAAATATCGTGGTATTTGTAGCAATATAGAACGAGCCAACGTGGGGAGGTTGGAAAAATGACTGAATGCTGGAACCTGTCTGGGGGTGGTATTGTGTGCGTTGCGGAACTGATCACGCAATTGAGGCTTATGGGAGGAAGGCACCACCGCCGTCAAATGAGTGTAGATTGCAGAGAATCAAAGCAAGAAGAACACCAACATGAGAATCTGAGCTGAGGAGTATGTGGCGGTCAGAGGAACCTGGCAAAGGTCCGTTACTTACTAGAGTCCATCTGCAGTGAGATGCATTTTGCCGCGCAAGACTCCAGCAGCCAGCAGCCAGCAGCCGTCCAAGCCGACTTCCACGTGTACAGCGCATTGCCGTCAGTTGCCGCCAGACTCAAGCCCCTCGGGCAGCTTCTTCTCGCCCACAGATCAGGCGAAGCAGGTGTTGACAGACGGCACGCGTGGCAGAACGGAACATTGTGCCAGCTGCAGACACGACCAGAGCATGAGAGGACCATGCCATTTCGTTTCCTAATCAAGGCAAAAAATCACGGGCATCTTGGACGTATCAGAAAACTCACCGATAGCGGCAACAAGACCAGATAGCCCGCCTCTTTGGCGTGCACTGGTAACCCGTAAGACAGATAAAGAGAAGATCGATAGTGTCCATTGACATCAGGAGGGAGTCAGTCCATTATATAGAGGGAGGGATGGCATGCAGATGGACTGATGCCGTGATCATGCTATCCGAGTCTTAGGCGGGCTGTTGGTTGCTGTTGGTTGCTGTTGGCTGGCGATCGCCACGGACACCCGCACCAGGAGCACAAAGTTTCCTATCTCTGAGCAAGGTGCGGCAGTGGGATTCTGGTCGGACTGAGCTCTACCCCACGATGCAGAGGTTGGTGAGTGATTGGTGGGTGATGGTGGGAAGTGGGATGGAGGTGCGTTGCTTCGGAGGCACCCAAGGCACCTTTTCCGCAGTTGAGATTTTGCGGGCGCAGGAGGAAAAAATGTCACCGACAAATTCGCCCTCATCTAAGGTACTCACTCACTCACCCACTCACCCACTTCACCTTTCTTCCACCACCAAACACCTTTCACCAAACTCCTTGACTCGAACCCTCCTTCTCCCTCCAACCTCCTATCAATACCGACATCATGAGTGGTGCTCCAGCCCAGAAGTTCAAGGTCGCCGACATCTCGTTGGCGGCCTTTGGTCGGCGTGAGATCGACCTCGCAGAAATCGAGATGCCAGGTCTGATGGCAATCAGAAAGAAGTATGCTGCAGACCAACCGCTTGCTGGTGCCCGAATTGCCGGCTGCCTCCACATGACCATCCAGACTGCCGTCCTCATTGAAACCCTCAAAGCTCTCGGTGCTGAGGTCACCTGGTCCTCCTGCAACATCTTCTCGACCCAAGATCACGCCGCCGCAGCAATTGCCGCTGGAGGCACTCCCGTCTTCGCGTGGAAGGGCGAGACCGAAGAAGAATATGAATGGTGTCTGGAACAACAACTGAAGGCCTTCCCTTCAGGAAAAACACTGAACCTTATCCTTGACGATGGAGGTGATTTGACCGCCTTGGTCCACAACAAATACCCCGAGATGCTGAAAGACTGCTATGGCGTGTCAGAAGAGACCACAACTGGAGTCCACCACCTCTACCGCATGCTGAAGGGCAAGAAGCTCCTCGTCCCGGCCATCAACGTCAACGACAGCGTCACGAAGTCCAAGTTCGACAACCTCTATGGGTGCAGGGAATCCCTGGTTGACGGTATCAAGCGTGCCACGGACGTCATGATCGCCGGCAAGATTGCTGTCGTGGCCGGCTATGGCGATGTTGGAAAAGGCTGCGCTCAGGCTCTCCACAGCATGGGTGCCCGTGTTCTCGTCACCGAGGTCGACCCCATCAACGCCCTCCAGGCCGCTGTCTCCGGTTACCAGGTCGTCACCATGGACGACGCCGCTTCGCAGGGTCAAATCTTTGTCACCACCACCGGCTGCCGTGATATCATTGTTGGAAAACATTTTGAGGCGATGCGCAACGACGCCATCGTCTGCAACATCGGTCACTTTGACATTGAAATCGATGTTGCGTGGCTCAAGAAGAATGCCAAATCCGTCACCAACATCAAGCCTCAGGTTGATCGCTACACGATGGCCAGTGGACGCAACATCATCCTGCTCGCCGAGGGTCGTCTCGTCAACCTGGGCTGTGCCACCGGCCACTCTTCCTTCGTCATGTCCTGCTCCTTCTCCAACCAAGTTCTAGCCCAGATCATGCTGTACAAGGCCGAAGACGAGGAATTCGGCCAGAAATACGTCGAGTTTGGAAAGACCGGCAAGAAGGACGTCGGCGTCTACGTTCTCCCCAAGATCTTGGACGAACAGGTCGCCCTGCTCCACTTGGAGCATGTCAATGCCAAGTTGACCAAGCTGACTCCTGTTCAGGCAGAATACTTGGGATTGACTGTTGAAGGCCCCTTCAAGTCTGATATCTACCGCTACTAGACGGTTTGACGGTCGTCGGGGCTTGTGTCACTGGCTTTTGAATGATTGCATATGTATCGGCGCTGAGGTCTTTTTTGGGGGGAGAAGGTTTTCTAATGCTCAACGCATAGAAACTGGAGAATCCAGCGGCATGGTCATATTGACCTCCTTGTCCAAAACGGATAATACGCACGAAACTCAACGACCTTGGGACGAGGATTGATGAGGCAGGAAAAGTTTGGGACGAGATCGAGGCCATTGAAATAATGGGGTGCCTCGAGTCCTTTGTTTCGAGAGTGCTGGCACGAGAAAGCTGGAGAAAGAGATCAGAGATAAGAGATCAGGTGGAGAGCAACGTCCTTCAACGGACAATCGCAGAAGCTACATCAGCTTCTTCAACAGATAGATACCCCGAATAGATGTTCAAAAAGAGCATGAGATGGCAGAACTAGAGCGAAGGGCTGCGGGAATGAATTTTCTTGTAGCACCCAAGTGGTCTTCACGTGGCAATTCACGGTCAACCATGTCATTGCTGGAGTGTCATGTTGCGTCCAGAGCCTCGCCATCAGTCATAAAAAGCCCAAGCTTGGAGTATCAGTTCTATGTCATTTCGAACAACCCTCGGAGAAGGGAGGGAGGGAGCAACTGGGAGCATTTGGGAGCATTCTATTGCCTTGCGTATAAGGCTAGGACGAAAAGGGCCGCCAAGGAAGAGGGAAGGGCGAACACGTTCATAAAACGAACAATGCACAAAAGGCCAGAAGACCCAAGGGATGGACGGTCCAATTAACTATGTTGATCTAAGGCAGAGCGATATTCCACCTATTCGAGAATATAGCCATGTGAGATCCCGCAGCCATGGTGCCCACGAGTGTGAGGTAGTCGTTTTTCGACCGAGGGGCGCTCAATGACGAAACTGGCTACTGGCACAAGAGCCAGCCTCACAGACAAGATCTGCTTGTTCTTTCCCGAGGCTTTATTTTACAAGATATCAGAAACCATATTCTCCATCGGCCGTTGACCGAACAAGGCCCTTTCAGATCAAGGTCGAGACAGCAGTCAGATCCGGCTGCAAGACCTTGTACTCGACGGTGCCCTCAGTCTGGTTTGCCGGAACATACTCAAAGGCCAGACCGCAGTTTTTCAAGTCGCTGTAGAAGTCGGCGGCGGCTTTGGCGATGGCGACGGCGTCGAACTTCTTGTTCTCCAGGACGGTCCGGCCCTTGTTCACGTTGTAGAGTGACTTGGCGTAGGTGATCAGGTTGTCCCGCGACTCGACCTTGAAGCTGAGCAGTTCGGGCAATTGTGCGGCGAGCAGCCAATCCTTCCATTTCGGGCCATCGGTACTAATTGGAAGCGCCGCGGTGAGTTCCTTCTCCGTGTATGTCTTCAGGGTCTTCAGGTCTTGTGGTAAAGGTGTGCAGAGCGCAGGTGGCTTGGACGGGACGAAGCTGTAATAGAAGTCCTGGAGATAGTTCACGGCTGTATGCTGTGGTGATGCAATGTGGATACACATGGTGACCGCGTCGATCAGTTGATCCACGGTTGTGATGGTCGGGAAGTTGTTGATCTGGCCTCGGGTTTGGACTTCGTTGCACCAGTCAGAGATGGACGAGTCCGCCTGGACATCCTGGTCAGATTTGTGCCTTGGTCTCAAGCATCGACTGCACGAATTTTCGTATCAAAACCCCCCCAGAGAAGTGCCATGTCGGTGGCATATGGATAGTTGCGATACTTGAGCCCATCCTCGGATTCCACGTCGAAACCTCGTTTCTTGAGATCGTTCGGTACGTAATGCTCCTGGAAGTTGAACTTGTTGTATGACCAGTCCACCAGGCTGAACGTGCGGTTCGTCTGCGGATTCGGATCGATTGCAATGACAAAAGGAACCAAGGTCATACGGGCGGCGGCGTTCAACGCAAGGGTCCTGAACCAATGGTTGATGGGGGGAATCGTTTGCAGATGAGGAGGATAACCATCCTTTGATGGGTCGCTCCAGTTTGTATGTCTCGCTTCTGCACAAGATGGGTTCCAGGCCTTTGGAGTCAAAGTGAGACACCGCTCTGTGCTTCAGTCAGCAAGTCTCAGGATCTGAAGCAGCCGAGGGCACCGTACGCGTCCTCCAGCAAACTGTAAATCTCAGTTAGGGCCATCTGGGTGCCCTTGAAGGTTCCCTTTTTGAACCCCACAGTGACAGCAAGCTCGCAGTTGACAGCACCATCGTTATTGGTACTCAGCACAAGTCCCTATTTAATAAGTTCGTTCAGAAATACGCCCTTGTCCCATACAACCATGGGATCGTCCTCCACATCTTGTCGGGGCATGCCATTTAGGATATCATCCAGCGTGGGGGTGCCACCAGTGACATTTGGAGGCTGCTGGACTTCAACGGGCATGATGAAAGGTCGGCTTTATTTTCGTTCAGTTAGGCAGATGGATTTTGGTTGAAGAATGCCAGGATGTTGAGGGATCGCACACCGACATCTGCTTTATATATTGCTGAAGCCGTCGTGCTTTGTCCGTTGATCGTGCTGTGCTCTCCCTTCCCCGAGCAACCACCCAAGACGGCATGGTGCTGGACATTCAGCTCCTGACGTTGTGGCGGTCCTCGAGCTTTTCGGAATGCACAAGGTTGAAACAGCATGCAGCTGTCCCCCCTGGAATTCACGAGCGGAGAAATCAAGCAACCCGTGGGGGAGCTGTGTTTCCCTAACCCTAATATCAGGAAGGCTGCGAGAAACCCCATAATGTGGGGATCCCATAATGTGGCTGGCTGGTGTTTGTCGCAACCAGAGGACTCGATGCTGGCGGCAGGCTCTGAGAGAAACATTTCCAGATTTCAGCTCCTCTTCAGCTCCTCTTCAGCTCGATTGCAATTGCCTCCATGATGCACACTGTGGCTTCTCTGCTGTAGCTCACCGCTCCTATCACCTCGAGCCAATTGGTCAGCACACGATATGCATGGTCCCAGGAGACTCGAGCGCTGTCACATGCGTTCCTATTATGCATCCTTTATACGATGCGGCGGCAGCCTCTCGCTCGGGTCACACACTCTCCCTGCGGTCTGGAATGCTCTAGCACACGATATCACGCTTGCTGATACCCATTCCAAGGCCAGATCACTTCGCTCAAAGCCCGGTGATTGCCACTCTCTAACCATGTCTATGTCAAGGGTCATCTGGCCAGAACATTGCTCGACTTGAAGTACTAGTAGTGACTCTCTCCCACTCTTCTCCGTTCACGTTCAGGCTCAGAACTAGATTCGATCATAGGTGACCAGTACACATTTTACACAGAATTGGACCTTTGCATTCGCCCTCGCAATGGCAGACACAAATGACAAACTCCCCAAGGATTTGGTGGACGAGATGCAGGCGCTCTTCGGAAAGCATCCGGGTTATCGTACCAGTACGTATGATTCAGCCTTTGGTCTCAAACAGCGAGCTAACCCTTCCCCTTGCCAGCCCACGCCAAAGGTCTTCTGGTGGAAGGGACATTCACACCGACCGACCAAGCCAAGACACTTTCGATAGCTCCTCACTTCAACAACCCCTCGACTCCGGTCACAGCTCGCTTTTCTGTCGGCGGTGGCATACCACACATACCCGATGTGGACGACAATGCCACTCCCAAGGGCGTTGCCATTCGCTTCCACATTGACGCCAACACACATACGGACCTGATCAGTCACTCGTTCAATGGATTCGCGACCCGGACTGGGGAGGACTTCTTGTCCTTCCTCCAGCTTCTCCGCGGCACCAAGATCGCTGAATTCTTGCTCAACCAGGCCAAGGCCAAAGGCGGCGACTACTCCAAGGAACAGGCAAACTTCGACAAAGCCCAAGCGGCCTTTGTTTCTTTTCTTGGTAGCCACCCATCTGCTGCGACGTTCGTCCAGTCGGCAAAGCCAAATCCCTACAACTATGGTACCATTACATTCTACGAGCCAAACACTCATGTTTTGACCAACGAGGATGGCAAAGTCACAAATGTCCGATATCGTCTCTATCCAGCCGATGGAGACCATCTGTACACCGACCCGGCGCAATTGAAGAAACTGGCGCCAAACTACTTGGAGGACGATCTCCAGCAGCGGTTCCCCGCCAAACCGATCGTCCTCAACGTTCATGCACACGTGGCAGACCCTACCGACGTATTGGACGACGCCACCGTCCCGTACAAGAGCGCAACGTTTGTTCCCGTGGGCAAAGTGGAGATCAACAAAGTTGCCGACGACAACGCGGCCAAGCAGAAACAAATTGCCTTCAGTCCAACTCCGGACAAGGGCGGCGTTCAGGGCATTGCATCGTCCAAGGATCCTCTGATTCAGACCCGGAAGGGGGTCTACTACATCAGTTCTGAACAGCGAAGACACGAAACCCAAGTGGAGTAAGGCTCGATACGGATCGCACCGAGAAGGATTCTGTTGTCTCCCCATTCGTGTCTTGTCGTATTACTGCTTGCTCAGGGGTACTCTGAATTACCATCTCAATGAAATTTTTTTTTTGGTCGAAAGAATTCCTCGTTCCGGCGTTTTTTGGTATCTGACTAGTCCAAAATGATTACGCACAGTGTTGGGTGTACGAAGGGCCGTGTGGTAGATTAGACGATGAAGATGCTGGCCTTCAGAGATTGGGCGGATGCTAAGAGGCAGGCACCCTGGGCCTTGAGGAATTTTCCTCATGGGTTTTAGTTCCACTAAATCTGTCCACCCTGTCTGAGAAACAATAGGAAAAAGGACATTAATAAAAGACAGGGGGGGGGGGGGGGGATGGGACATTGCAATCTGTCCGCGCTAGAGCTAACGTAAGCAAGGCTCAACCCCCTTAGCTGGAAGTTCCAATACCGCTCGCTCTTTGGCACGGAAAAGTTTGTTGACAGGGTCTGGCGTACACACCAAAAGCCAACGATACGTCTGTGTCATGTCTGTCTATGGACAATCTACGAGAACTTTCGAACTTTTCTGTAGCCTACACAGCTTTTGTACGGTCCAGCTGGATCTTGTGCCGAATCACAGGAGCACACCCCTGCAGAACTAGGACGCCTCTGGAAGAAACCATAAAACATGCTCAAATGCCCTGCTCAGTGCTCAAATTGCCGGTTCGCCAGTCAAGGCATGACTAGTTCTCTGAAGGTCCAGAGGAGCTTCTCATTCAATAAAGATGAATTCTCGCTAGGCACAATGGTCATGTCATCCCCCTCCTGGGGTGCCTCAAAAAAAATCTGTTGAAAAGTCCCAGACCTATGAAGAAAAATCCACCACTTCTTGACCGTTTGGACCTTGAACGCACCAAAGATCAGGGCCGCACTCACAGCAAGCGAAATCGGAACTGCCAGCGCGCATCATTTGTGTAAGCAAGGGGCCGGTGTTACAGAACCATCCTATCGACAAAAGATGGGGGAATTATACTCACACATGAAAGCCGACACCCATCCCAAAGGAAGTGCACCGTCTCGATCGCGTGCAAATTCGGAAATGTCAATCGCGAAAAAGGCGGCCATGAAGGATAGAGGCAACTGTCGGATTTCACAGAGTCAGAACTCCCTGAAGATTCGGGGATGTGTAACGTGCAAAAGTGATGGGAGTCCGTTACGAAGATGATTGCTACCACGGTGAACACCATCACCGTGTCGCCTTGCTTCTCGGCTGCTTTGTTCAATTGGAGCATTGCATTTGTGGAACGAAGGGTTTCTTCCGCCCCTCTGCGGGTGGCCCGAGCTTCCAGCACGTTGATCTGCTTTTGCTTGAGGTCCACCAAGACGTTAAGCTGCCGAAATGGGATGCGTTGACGTTAGCCTTTCTCCGCCAAAGTCGCTCGCTCGCTCGCCCGCGTTTGTTCGGGTACGTACCGAGAGTTGTGCCTTCGTGGCTCGTTGGATCATCTTCTCGATCTCGTCGATGCTCAACTGAATCTTGGAGAGCGGTAGACTGGAATCTTGTGGATCTGAGCTCGCCCCCCACACTTTGCTCACCTGCTGTGTTTCTTCCTGCACAAGGACGCGAACAAGTTTTCGTCGGTTTCTAGTATGCGGCTTTCTTTCGAGTACCACGGGCTCTGGCGATGTCGGTGGAGGCGACTGCCTAACAGCGCTCGTCTGTTCTGCAACCTCCGTGCCAGGACCGTGGGTCACTGCCTCGAAATCTCGGCTTTCGTCTTCGTCAGGCTTGTCCATCCCACGAACGACTTGCTCCAACGTTCTCGCGATTTTCCTCTGGTCCTCGAACAGGACCAACATGATGTTCAATTCGTCAATAATATCCTTGATCTCGCGGAGCAGTCCAATTTCGGGCGTTATGTCGAGGGAATAAAAGAGTACACCTCTTCGGCGTGGCAACCCACTACCGATATTGTGCGTAGCGACCTCATCTTTTGAAGCAGGGATAGAGACCAAGTGTCTAGCTACCCGTGTTGATCTGCATCTGTTTTATCGGATCCAATACGGTATGGACTTCTCCGGTTGACTCCTTTTGCGGCCATCTCCAGCAACGGATTGCGCAGGTTGTGGTATACCAGCACCGCCCTTGCGCCGATTTCAAATCACCATTAAATTTCGATTTCAGGCAGCATGGATGGTGGGCATTCTTGTGACATGGTGGGAGTCCATAGCCCGAGACTCTGCTGACAATGATAACCGTGCTTCCATGTCGAATATATGGCATTTCACACTTGCTTTCAAGAACCCACTGGGCTTCATTTCGTTCACCGCGCTTGTCGATGCGGGATCCATCGCTCGCCTGCCCTCCATCCCGCTCTTCGTCCTGCTTCTCAGATTTCTCGTCGTCGCCTCACTCATGATGAGTCCATCATTTGCCGGACTTTCCTCAACGTCCGCTTCTCCACCGTTACATTCGTCTCCCTGACGATACCCATCCGCCGTGCCAGAGTCATCTTCGCCTACATCTGGACACTATCTTCGTCTAGATTCCGAGTTGTCGTCCTCGTATTCGCAGGTTTTCTCCCATGGAAACACCCAAGGCTGCGCTTCTGACAAGGCTGCCGTCTCCGAGCCAATCAGGCTCGACCTGTAATAATAAAACGCAAGGCTGGACCCAATTTGGTCCTTTCTCATCACTACAATATCTCTGTCTTTCTGCCTGCCTCATTACTCACTGCCAGCCAAACATACAATCGTCTCTAATGCCTGATGCCGGTACTGAATAATCTGGGAGTCTTCGATACTGCTCTTTTGAATACCTAGGAAATCCAAACGTCGGGAATCTGATCACGGCGGTATGGTGCAAACCGGAAGAAGTCCTCGCTTCATTGGCGGAACCGTCCTTTGATGGTCTATAATCTTGATGCATACCGACTTGTTTCTTCGGGCATTGCACCGTCGAGCCATCGCAGAGACTGGCAGACGCAGATCTTCAACTTGGACATCACCATCCAGCTTTGCTGTCAACATGACTTCCGTGCCTAGGCTGTCAACGCCTCCGTCCGGGCAAATGCATCCGGATCATCAACCAAGCCAACCAACATCAACGTCACAGGCACCAGGGGCGTCGAAGAAATCGTCCTGGGGAAAGGGAACTACAAACCCCCAACACAACAAGCGCCCCACGCACTTTGTCTGCTTCCCGCTGGTCAGCGACGAATCAGTATCACAGCTCTCCAAATCCCTGACATATTTCCGATCCATCACCACGCCTTTGCCTGCTCCAGATCGTGAAGTGACCCCCGAGAGAGGTGGTGGGCATGGAATCCATCCGGACTCTACAGCACCTGAGCAATCCGGCAGAGAAATACGAGGTGATCGAGATGTGGATCGAGCATTGCGAATCATTCCGGAGCAGGCCCATCGTCCGCCTGGGACGTTCCATCTGACACTCGGGGTCATGCACCTTCCCAACGCGGAAGACCTGGAAAATGCGGCAGCGCTGCTGCAGAGGATCGACTACCTGGAACTCCTTAGGCGAGCGGAGGCCGGTGAAGGGGACGAGGCGGAAGGGTCTGCGCGGAGAAGAAGGGATAAGCAACGGCCGAGAGGCGGAACAGGAAAAGACGCCAACGAACTGACCCCGAATACGGAAACGCATTCTGGAGTGCAAGGGAAGACTGGAGAGGTCCAGCCGGCCTCAACAGGAGGGGCAGATCGGAGCAATGACGCTCAACACGAAATCAGGAGTCAGCCACCCATCAGCGAAGGCCAGGCTGATCCGCAGGAGCTCCAGCAAACCAGAGATCCACAACCAGTGACAAACACTTCGAACCATGAACCAGAGGAAAAAGAAAATCTGCACCAAGCAGCGAAACAAGCCGGTGTAATCCCGTCTTCTCACGCACAAGCACTCACATCCCTACGCCGAGAAATCTCACCACCACCACGACGAGTCTCCGCACCTTCTTCGACCTTGGCCCAAGACAACTCTGAAGAACCAGACCCTCCACCACCTGTACCCATAACCATATCGCTCTCGTCGCTGGGCACCTTCCCCTCCGCGCGCTCGGCGCGGGTCTTCTACGCAGAGCCCCACGACCCGACATCGCGGCTGCAGCGGTTCGGCAACCTGGTGCGCGACGTGTTCCGGGAAGCGGGCCTGATCACGGAGACGAGACCGCTGGTTCTGCACGCGACGGTGGCGAACCTGATCTACGTCAAGAGTAGAGGGAAAGGCAGGGGGAAGTGGAAGGGAAAAGGAAAAGGTAGAGGTGGAGGTGCAGGAGACGACGGGAATGTGGATGCGAGGGAGATTCTGAGGCTGTTTAACCACGACGGTGGGAATCACACCGGGGCTGCATCTTCTCCATCACTACCACCACCACCAAGTCTCTGTTCCGCAGTTGACGAATTGAACCGTACCACCGCGGACAACCCCTTCACATGGGCCAAGGACATCCCGATCCGCAGCATCCGCATCTGCAAGATGGGCGCCGAACCCTCCCCCCTCCCCGGCTGGGGGCTCGAGTACCCGCCCGTGGCGGAGAAGGTGTTTCTTCCTCCTGCCCCTGTAGGCACGAATCTCACCTCTGGATAAAGGACGGAGAAGACAAGCTGTATGGATTTTACAAACGGTGTGTGGGAGGATATTTACTGAGCCAAATATGGAGGAAAGGGACAAAACTAAATTCCATGGGGAGGAATGGTTCGGACAGGAGGATCTATCTATCTATCTGTATGTGTGGATGGATGGATGGATGAAATAAAAGTTTCCACAGCTATGAAACATATAAGTTGTGGACGTTGATATGGGTATGAGCATTGAAATTTCATGAATGATGATGGATTCATACGTCGATCGCATTTGTCTCCGCTCTCAGGACAAGAACCCTGTGCCAGAGCACAGCGTGCACATGTGAATGAATGTATCGTGCAGCTTTGGGGGGTCTCGTCCGTTCACTGCTCTGCGGTGCCTGGACGGTTCTGATATGATTGACCCCCCAGTGACTTCATTCTCCAAGCAACACGGACGAGGACCAGAGCGCCGGAGGAGTATTGGTTATTCCAAGCTACCGCGTCAACTGAGCGTCAATCTAGTCCGCGTGCGTTGTATCGCTGCCCGTGAAGGGATAGGCTGTCTCTTCCCGCTCGCTCGCGTGGTCTCTTCCAAGCGAGGGGCCGCGATACACGGCACAGTCATTATGTGCTGGGATTTGTAACATACCCGTGGGGCGCTCGGGATTGATGGCTTTCCAGAAAAATTGTGCCTGGTATCTTGTAGCTGGGGGGTCTGAAATCCGCAGTCCAACATGTCGCAAGGAGGGGTACGGAATGAGAGCCAGTCCTGCAAGAGGCCATGTGCCATAGACAAGGAGCCTTCTCGAGCGTGTTTGGCGGCGCAGCGATTGATCTTCCTGGCCCTTTTCAAGGGCCAGAATTCTCACAAGAATCGTCCAAAGAGAGCGGGGCGGGAAAAGAAACGGGTTCGAACACGGCAATCTGCGGCGTCATCCAGTCGAAGTTAAAGGGAGAACACACCCGTCTCGTTACCTGCCAGTCTCAGAGCAGCACGAAAGTCGTTGGTAAGATATCTCGGTGTTGATTGCGAGAGAATCTCCCACCCGACATCGCGTGTCGTTGTGGTCGAGCGCACACGGTGGTCCACCTCCAGGAGACTCTGCGTCGGCCCCCAACATCTCTCTTCGGACCATCGTCACTAACCCAGCATTGGTATATTGTCGACTAGAGCCATCATCCACACAACACCCATTTCTTCCGTCAAATTTCTGTGTTCACTCTGCCTCCTTGTCCGCGCCGACCAAATCCTCGGATTCAAAAATCACCCGAATCGTCAAACTGCAACTGGGACAGACGGCGATGTCCTGGCCCTCGTACATGTCGCTCAGGGTGATCTCGAACTGGTCTCCGCAGGGGCACGGGTAAGTGTAAATCTGCCGGTCGGCGTCGTAGCTCATGTCTTCGATCTCGATTTCGTCGTAGACTTCGGCGTCCTCGGCATCGTTGGAGGAGGAGCCGCCGGCGCCGGCGAGTTTAAGGGTGGTCGAGGCCGCCGCGGCAGTCGTCGTGATAGCAGGCATACTTGTGACGACAGTGCTGGATGGGGATCGACCACCAGGGGTGAAGAAGGGGAGGAGGAGGAAGTCTGGAAGCGGTTGAGGTCGGACAAAGGGTTTCGTTGGAACTGGGTGTTTCTTCCAGGGTCTTGGCGGGCAAAATTGGAGGAGTTTGGCCTCCGTTCAAAGGATTGCGGACTAACGAGCAAGGAAGAAAGGACAGGAGATTGGGCCTGTATGTGTGTAACAGCGCGGTATGGCGAAGCAATAGAATATGGCGGCTAGCTGCCCAGACGGGTGCAGTCAACGAAATAGAGGCCGGAGTCACGCGGGAGATCAGACGGAAAAAAAAAAGTTCTGTGGGGAAAGAAATTGCGGGGGAAGTTTTGGCACAGGCACGAAAGGTCAACGGTGGTTGTGGGCTGCGAATGGGTTTCGTATTTGTGAGTGAAAGGCATGCTGATTCGCAAAGAAAGATTTCATTTTTCTTGTCCTTCAACTCGCTTTATTGGAAAGACTAGTGACATATTGGCCCACGCCGTCCACGCATGCATGCATGCAAATGGCTCTTGTAGAGAAACTTCTCCCTCCCAGGCCCGCACACAAATCGAAGTACTTTGCGCATCCACCCTTCTTTGCAGAGGCCGAACTTCAGGATAACCGTAGAAGCGGAATCCTGTCTCCCTCATGGGTGGCTTTTCACAGATCTCATTATCATGACCTGAGCCTCAAAGCCGTGATCATCAACTGCAGCATATGCAATTTCTGTTGCACAATTTTTGACGCCGTCTCCAGCTGACACTGCAAAGTACCCATTCCCATCCACACGCGAACCATCGTGTCAAGAATCTCGAGCAACCCTCCTTTAGCGGTATCTCCAGAGCGAGAGGGTGTTGTGTCTCTTCCAAGTCTTTCTCCGTCCAGAGGTGGTCTTGGTGTAGCCATGTCCCTTGCCCAAGCCACGAGACTTCTTGCCTGTGGCGGTGAGACCTCGAGATTCGCGGTGCTAGTCAAAACAGTCAGCCACACCAATGTCTGTGTTTTCTTTGGGTGCCTCGATCCTTTGCAGGACCGGTGTAATTTCCTTACCTTGTGAACGGGGTTCACAATCCAGTTGATCCGAGGATCACGGCGGATTGCCTTATGGTTGGGGTCGACCAGAATGATTTCATAGTACTTGTAGGTGGAGTCCTGGTTGATCCAGTACGAGTTGAGGACGCGGAGGTTGGCGCAGCGGCGGCCGACTCGTTCTTCGGCAGTGGAGCGAAGGGAACGTTGGTACTTGAGTTGGTTCACACCCTGGTTGGTGGGCTTGCCTGCACACATGATACCCCGTCAGGATTTTCTGCAATATGGGACTTGCGCCCTCGCATTATAGGAGTGGGCTTGTTCTCACCATAAGTAGCACCCTTGGGCACTGGTCGCTTGCGACCACCGCGGCGCACACGGATTCGGTAGATGACATAGCCTTGCTTGGCCTTGTAGCCCAGACGACGGGCCTTGTCAGGTCGGGAAGGACGAGACGCGCGGTGGATGACGTTCAATTGTCGGAGCTATATTATGCACTCTCAGCAACGTGTTCAACGAGTGTATAGCAAGACACATCTCTAACGCGAGAATGTGCCACGAGAGATGAAACAGAGCAACAGAGATTGTGTATGCGTGTTTCCAAACACCTCCTCTTGTCTGCTCCATTGTCATCTCGGGAAGTCTCTTACCTCCCAGCAGCGGACTCGGAGAAGGAATCGAAGGACATCGGATTGCTTCTTCTTTTGAAGTTCTTCGACGTATTTGAGGGCACCCATCTAGGAAGAAATGTTAGCGACTGATATGGCAGACCACCCGCAGATCTAGTTTACCTTGACTGTTGCGCCTCGCAAAGGACGGTTGTGATGGAAAAGAGCGTCTTGAAATTGAGAATTGAGGACTAGATCGGCTCTCATTTTCGACGGCCAAGTTTCGTGCGCAGGCTTGGCAAAGGTGCAATCTTGGCACTGGCGCCCGCCAATCAGAGTCTAGATCCGCATATTCGGCTCCCCAGCTGACACTACTAATAAGGTACACTCGTAGTTCAGTTGGTCTTATGATAATACAGCAACTCTACTCGCTCGATGCGTACCTGATCATTAGCAGATCCTCTCACCTCGTAGCAGCTGCAAGACGCAGAATCAAAGATCGCTCGCCTGAACATGTCCCGCAAAACAAAGTCTCTCAATCGCCGTCTCTGTGTCACGGGCAACATTTCCCCATCCTAACGTGTGTTTCGAAGCGGCCTCTTGCTGATCCATTCCATGTGACAAGAGCATTTTGCCCTTTTGTTCCTCATCAGCTGTGAGGCCATGCAGATCCCTAACTTCGTGCAAACTATCGGCCAAGAGTTTCTCGATCTCCATGCCTGTGACCTTTCTGCCGGCCTCGATCGTGCTCGCGCTGACCCCCGTGTCCTTCTCAAAGGATGTCCTGATGTCCTGCAGACGGGACGTATGGGCCGGCCGGCCGGCGAGCTCGTCGTAAGCGAAGATGAGAGCGCCTGATTGCTTCATGAGATCGACCATTGCCTCGCAGTATATTTGCCCCTCCGCTCCCAGAAATCGAACTTCAATTGGGGCAGCGAAAGAAGTAGGATCGTTGGGAAGACCACTCGCGAAACCTCCAAGAGCGGAACTGAGAAGTGGCGCAATCTCTGCCTCGAACGATTGCTTATCCAGGGCACTGCAAATGTTAGCTGATGACACCCTATAAGCTCGAGACGTGAAGCCGACTTCTTCTCCTTGATCTCTTTCAGCTTCTTAATGAGGCGGGACTGCCTGTCTTTGATCACATTCCCAAATTGGCGTGGCCATGGGTCAGCTTTGTTGAGCTTTTCCCATATCTTGTCCATCTTCTCTTGGTCGAACCTACAGAGCCCTGGTCATTGATGCCGGCCAAGTCACTCGTAAAGGCCTGTCACTGACGGTGGATCTTCTGCGTGGATCTCGCCCCTTTCTGAGTTCTCCTCCATTGACGATGACCCCTGCGATGACAGCACTATCTCATCTTCGAATTTTACTGTTTTATTATGGGCCTTGGAGCTGCTTCGCCGCGAACTTGGATGTGAGGTGGGCTGAACTGGACCGCGTTAGCAGCCATGTGCTTGATCTTGAAATTCGAGAATGACTTTACCTGACTTGGCTGTACCGCCTGTCATGTCCGCGTGATTCACAGCCTGCGTTAAAGATCGTCGAGTTTCGATTTGAGGAAAGATTGGGTGATGGGTATATTCGTGTCACGACATCAAGTGATTGAGTGCTCATGGGCAAGTCAAGGACTGCGCAGATGCAGGAGAGAAACCTGGACTCGACGCAATAACAAGGCAACCGCTGGGCAGAACGGCAGCCCCTGATCTTATCGTTCGGCTCTTCCTTGCATTTCATTCAGCAATGATTACAAGCTCCACCACGTTGTAATCGATCTCCAAAGCACTCTGGTGTTGGTTTAATACACAAGCCAGCCATCCAGCCCGCAATGTGGACATGTACCCCTCCAATGCTCGACGTCCAGCTCCATCTCGACTTCGCCCTCACAAGCACCAACCCACATGTAAAGTTTTGTATCTCCTCAGCTCAGTATTATCTCATCTTTCTGTATGCAGCAAGCAATCCATAAACAATCTGGGCTTTTTCCCCCAAGCTCTTTTGTCCAATCCAGCCTAACCAACAATTTTTCATGTTGAAGAGAAAAAAAAGTCTTCAATCAGCATCCTATAACATGGAGTGCAATGCATATCCCAGCACGGAAGCTCGTTCATCAGCAAAGTCTTATCTTTCAGCCATATCCTCCCCTTCCCAAAGTGCAGGTCTAGTTGCCTTCCGTAAAATTCCGTGAACCTCGTCTTGCTGAACACCACGTCTAGGTTTTGGTCATCCGGTCATCATATGCAAGAATTCGTCCCAAATGAGTCGCGAGACAAGTGTCGTCGTCCGTTGCGTATGCCTTAGGTCACAGATCCGGACTCAAGAGCCAAGTGAGAGCCCTTGGAATCGTCCCATCCAGTTAACGTCACCGGTCGGGTTTGGCGCTCTTCCTCTAAAGTCGGGTCGGCTGCTGGCGAAATTAGGCGCATTAGGATTGAGGGTAGGGAATGGTTGACCGTAGAAGGACATGAAGGGATCCATTTGACCTTGCATGTTTGGAGCAAACGGCGATACCCCCGGTTGCAGTTGTTGAGGTCCCGCCCCAACATCCTGGAACTGATTATAGAAAGCGTTCCGCATGCCCTGACTCTGATGGTTGTTGAAGTTCCGGTCCGCGTCGAAGGTATCTCCAAATGGCGTGGTGACGGCCTGGTGGCCGAGATTACCTGCCTGTTGTGCTTGTTGCTGCCGCCTACGATGGCGCTCGTCACCGGGGGCCGTGCTATACACAGGCTGGATTCCAAGGGATGCGGTTGGGGTTTGGAAAGACGCAGGGTTGATGGCGGACATCCAGATACGGGTCTTGTAGATCTTGAAAAGATCTGTGACCAAGTGATTGAAGTTGATGTAATTGTCAGCAAAGTAGTAGAATGTGAGCTTCTTGCTGTCCCTAATCGATGTCAGTAAAGGCGCCCAAGGGTCCGGTCTGTGGAAACGTACATCTGGAACTCTGCGTCAAGAATTTCCATATTCAATCGATGCTCGACAACCTTTTGCTGACAAACCCGCTTGGCTTTGGCCTCGTTGCCTTCTTTGTCCTTCAAGGCTTGAATCTCGTGGTTTTGCGCCAGTCGCTTGATCATCTTCGGCTTGAGTTCGGGGCCAGCAGAGTCGTGAGGACCATGATGTCCTTGAGGTCCCATGCCTCCGACGGCACTGCCATGTCTGTTGGGAATGCCGTTGGGGTTGACGACGTTGGGCCCGCCGTTTCGACTCTGCAGCGAAAACATCATCAACCATTTATAATGTTCCTCGGCATAATATTCTTTGTAACGGCGGGCGTCCTCCCACGTCACGTTTGTATGTTGAACCGTGCCCAGATCGGTACCACGGTCCGCCTCAACAATGACAAGATCTCCCACGTTGACGTGGAGACCCGTCCCCTCTTGGATGTAGAAGACATCTGAGCGACAACATTTGAAGTTGACGATGAAGAGCGGTTGCGCCGCCGGTTCGAGGTACGGTCCAACACCAAGATGTTGACCGTAAAGTTGTGGATCGCGGTGGTGCTGATGGACTCGGGCGTCCGCAGCTCGTCGGGTGGACTCGGTGGTGTTGAAATACGCAGCTGCAAAGTAGCGGAGACGTAAGTACATATTATTCATTTGATCCTCGTTCGGATTCATGAGCGCGAGGGTTAAAGCCTGGGCAAACTTACGATCATCTCCTTGGGACAACGCTTGGGATCCGCTTTCATACGCCGTCGCATCGTCTTCGCGACCTATCCAATTAGCCCCGGGAAATTGTAGAAGTAACAGCCGCAGAATCTGCTCACCGTTCGAACTGAAGGATCCATGGCGAGTTGGCACGTCGGCGAACGAATGTCGGCGACTCTGGGGAGCCTCTGGGATGGGACCGAATCCAAGGGAAGTCTGCCAATGTGCTTTCTTCATTCCATCAAAAGTACGATTCTCGGTGGGAGACAACGACTGTCTTTCGGCGAATCCAAGGGGTTGTTCACTCATGCGACGCGCATTGTGATCACGACCAGGAAATCCGGCGAGGTCTTCTCTATCATCGATGGCGGTTTCAGCCTCCTCCGGTACAGCGCTTCGAAGGCGCGTATTTCGAAACCCGGGGGGCTGAACGGGGGCCGTGGTGGCGGTACTCGGGAAACCACGGTCACGGCTTTGAGCAGCGTGACGGAGCTGGGCATTTTCCTTTTCCAGCCTCTCGATCATTCGCGCCTGCTCAGCACTGATGGCCTCGGGGGTAATATTGCCGCGATGATCTTCTTCGTCATCTTCAACTTCTCGCAACCGGCCGAGACCACCGACCTCCAACACCCCCAGTCCACTGGTCCTCGACGTCCGTCTCTGCAGAGGATATTGACTGCCTAGCCTGCTGCGCGTCGCTTCAATCGAGGTCGAAATGGGATTAGCTGGCGGCGCAGTGGTCGTGTCGAGTTGGCCCACAGAGTATGACTGGGAGCGGTAGGTCTTGGGAGTCGGCTGGAGAGGAATCGAAAATGGGATGCCGCCTTCACCATTCGTGGGCAAAACCTCCTGAAGTCGGGCCGGTGGATCTCTGCGACCATCCTGGTTCCAAATCGTGGTCCACGGATACGACGTCGTTGGGTTGGGCCATGCTCCCGGACCTGCAGCGTTGGGGTTTCCCCAGGGCGAGGGCTCTGCTCCAGGGGTCCCCGGATGGGAGGTGGAAGGGCTGTAGGGACCAGTGATAGAAGGTTTGCGATTTGCATTGGCCGACGAGACATCGTTGAGCCATGAGGTTCTTCGCACGTTCTTATTGGACTTGACGTTGCTGCCAGCGCCAGCCTTTGCGTGGTCAGGCTCGTCGTCTGAAGAAGCCAAAGCCTCGGAATCAGGAGTTGACCTGCCCAGGCCTGGATTGGATTTCTGGAGGAGGAGGGATGCAGATGCTTGATGGGTGCCAAAATTCCCGAAGGCCGGCATAGGCGCGCGAGTCGTCAGACCCGACTTGTTGGGTGTGTTACTCATGATGGATGAGGATGGCTACGCCAGGATAGACGTGGTTTGACGCTATTCTCGTTCCGAGTCAGTAAAGAGCTGTCAACGTCAAAGGAAGTTTTGAATTCAAAAAGGCTTTGGAATCATGCTAGGGCAGAAATTTTCATGCAGTACAGAATTGATTCGTGCAAGGAATACGTGAAATGAGGTGAGGGCAGAGAATAGCTCGAGTGCCGAGCGTCCTCACCCACACTGGCCAAGATGAGGTCCTGCCAACACCCACCAACAAACGGACAGGACCATCGCAAAACGAAAATTTGATGAGGGATGATGAAGACTGAAAGGTCCAACTCACCTTGTGATTACAGAAGAGACATGGAGAAGCTGGCGGTCTGACTTAACATGTCGGGGTACGGAGATGGCTGAGTTGGGGCGCGGCCGCGCCTCGGGACCAAGCCTCCGTCGTGGAGTCGGACCTACTGAGACGATCCGGAGGAGAGCAGAGACGTGCAAAGAGGGCTTTCGAGAGGTTTGCGAATGCTGTTGAATACCGTGAAGAGGAATACGGTGTGGTGGGCGACACAGCTGGTTGTCGTCGTTGTCGTCGGCGAATAGTTCGGGATTTGGGCCTTACAACCAACAATCGGCCCGCGCCCAGAACAAGTGGGCTAGAAGAGTCAGGTGATTGTCCGAGATTTGCTGGCGGAGCTGTCAGAGACAGACAAGGTCTTTTATCACCAGACAGTGCAAGCAGTTGATGGGATGGAGAAGATGGAAAGGAGGGAAGAAAGGATGTGCCTGGGGAGGTGGACAGAGATGAAGTGGGTTGACAGTGGTAGTATTGAGGTGGTGCTGGGTGATGATGGGTTATTGGTGTGCGTATGTGTGCATGCAAAGTGCGATGTTTGAGGCGGAGAGGGAATAAAGGAGGGGATGAATGGGCCCTTTGAACTTACTACGAACAACAAGGCGGAGGGATCCGAGGAAGACGATGAGAAACAGAGAGACGGACAGATGATGGGCAGACGGGCAGACAAGAAACGGGGGGGTTTTCACAACTAAGGATCGAGAGATGTGCCGCCTTCCCCGGATTATGATGAACAGGCTTTTCGCTTAGTTCCTCACGCGACCACTTCGTTTTGGTGTCCGTGCTTGGAGGCACGGAGGGTGTGCAAGGGCCGAGGAGTCAGAGAGTTCGCAGCGGGAGGTTTCTTAGGAAAGGGGAATGGGAAAAAAGAGCCACCAGAGCTAGGTCTGGAGACTGGAGGCCGAAGAGGCAGAGGCAAAAGCGGGAAGGGGAACTGCTGATGGTCCAAGCGGGGGAAGAGGGTTGGCGACCTGCTGGGGCTGTGGCTCTCTCCCTCTCACTGGTTCAACTGGAGGAGGGGGGCAAACCGCGATGATCAATGGGTCGATGGTAATGGATACTTTGTTCGATGGTAGCAGCACGTGTTTGCAGCAAGCAGTATAGGCAAACAACCCTCAGGTGATACGAAGAGGGCGACACCGAAAGAGCCAACGAGGACAAGCCGGTATACGAAGAGAAACGCGGCCCCTTCAACCATCAACCTAGAAAACAAGTCCTGGCAACGTGAAAAGAGAGACGATGACCCTCGAACACTGCAAAGCAGAGAAAGAAGTTTAGACCTGCGTGGCCCCGTGTGCCTTGGGGCGGCTTTGTTGTTAGTTCAGGTTTAGTTGAGCGGCAGTAGTAGTGGGTGCCAAACGGGGCATGGCCCATCCGCCGTTGACCCTGGCGGCGCTGAACGCCCTGAAGCCTTGAAGCCTAGAGCCCTGGAGACAGAGACACACGGTCACGCCATGGGGTGCTGGGTTCGTTACCTTGTTAAGGTATGCAACAAGAAGTAGCTTGCCCCGGCCCACGAAACAGGCAGGTCAAGTTCCACAAGGTTGGGCCCTGTCTAGGAAGATTCCATGGACGAGGATAGGATGAAGAAGCTTTGAACTTTTTTTGACAGGAGCGGGGTTGGGCCAGAGCGGTTTGCGGAGTCTCGAGCCAGTCATTTGAATGAAGAAGGAGAGAGGGGGGAGAGAGCATGAGCGAGGAGGAGCTTTAATTAACAAAAAGGCAAATAGAGAAAACGGAGGAGGCGAGGTGCACGAGATGGACCCAAAAGATGGATGGTGTGCATGAGAGGGCCTTGGGCAATGGGCACAGCATCGTCCCTTGTCACTGCGACTCACTCACTTGCCTACCTACCTGGGTGCTACCTACCTACCTGGTAGCTCCCTAAGCTTGCTAAGGTGGCACTTGGGTGGTCACTCCCAGTCAAAACCCCACCACCTGCCACCAGGCACTGGCACCTGGCACCTGGCACCTGGCAACTCCGCTAAACTGGCTGACCAGGGTTTGGTATTGAGCACAACCTGGCCTGCAACAACAGACGGAATTTGTGTGACGAGTAATAATTTATACAAAGAACATTGTTCGGCCAGATGCATCAACAATGGACAGGGACAACCAGTAGACAGGCACCGAGTACGAGGTACAGGATGGAATACTACTAGTCCACTAGTTGCTAGTAGTGATTGACAGAAGATCACGAAAATCCAGAACGTTAATCAACATCAGTGGGCTTTCTGGGCTCTCCCTCTCACCCTCTCTCACTCACATTCATCTCAATGCTGTACCTAATAATACTACATATGGACGAGGTAGGGAGGCAGCAACAGACGGACTACTCCATCCCCCCCTAGCCCACCCCTCCTCTTCTTCACGACACCCAACCCATTGCCTCAATTGAACTCTGACTTGCATCAAGCCACCGGGATCCAATTCAGCTTTTTGCGGGGAAATCACTCACTCATCCGAAATGCTTTCCCCTTGGCCCAGCCTGGAGCCAACCATCATGGCTTGCTTCAAAACGCTCAAAAGCATGTGCGCCCTGTCTGATCTATGCTACTTTTGTCCTATCAACCACTCCAAATGTACTGTACTTCGTGCTTGGTTCTCATGACCAGGCAGAGGCGGCCCGGTTGGATCCCCTGTCAAGAATTGTCATCTCACCCCATGGCGCCACCCCCCGACGACGAATGAGATCATCTCTGTACTTAGGGGGAGATATATCCCTCACAATACCTGGGGCCAGCCATGTCCACCTGACATGCACTTTCCCCGCCTTGACATCTGCCCAGATATCCTATCTCGATCCCTGACCATCGCGTCGGGAATCTTCCTTGTGAAACGTGAAGGGAGACGCGTATGTCGCCAGAGACCAGAACTCATCGGCTCGATCGTTCCCGAAGAGATGCCAGGTGTGCTTGGTAGACACGACACCTAAAAGAACCCGGTGCCCGTCCTCGAGGACACCAAAACTCATTCGACGAAATCGAGACTGCCCTTGCCCACGGTCGAGGGAACTGCATCGGGGCCCTTTTGCTGTCGGAGCTTCTCCTCAAACCTGGCAAACTCCTTCATGGCAATCTCTTCCTCTTCGTCCAGCACCTGGTTAACGCCCTTGACCTCCTCAATGTAGTGCATCAGCATTGACTCGATGCCATTCTTCAACGTCACCGTGCTGGAGTCGCACGTCCGGCACGCTCCCCGTAGTTTTAGATTCACCATCCCATTCTCAAACCCGCGGTACTCGATATCCCCGCCGTCTTCTTGGATCGCAGGCCGGATCCGCGTTTCCAGTAGCTCTTTGATCATAGCAACCACCTCGTCATCCTCGTCGTTGGGAGCCAACGAGTCCTCGCCGAGTCCACCTTGACCATCTTCTGAGGACGTAGATTTGTCCACGGTATTCACAAGCGCCTCGCCCGATGTGATTGCCTCCGTGATCAACGCAAAGACCTCGGGCTTGACGTGAGCCCAGTTGACGTCCCCAGCCTTTGTCACCGTAATGAAGTCTGGCCCGTAGAAGACCGACGAAACACCGTCAATGTCGAGTAGTCTTGCTGCGAGGGGCGAGGGGTGAGGAGCAGCCACTGTCGATCGAGGAGAGTTGTATTCCAGAAACGTGGATGGGAAGCCCTCGGGCAAGACGGGGTGGTTAGGGAGGAATTTCAGTGCCGAATCATTGGGCGTCGGCTGTGTCTGGATGTAGATTGATCGAGTCGCGCCCGTGATAGAGGTCGCGGTTTGCTGTCCAGGCCGCAAGAGAGGGCGACGACGAGCCTGCGACGAGGTGATGGGCGGAATGCGGATGGACTGATGGACGTGACGGATGCAAGCCGCCTGGGAAGCTGTGCTCAAAGCCGACTTGGGACTCAAGCTGGCTAGAGCACGCAAAGACCGGGGCGGCATGAGACCACGCATCGTATCGGAGCCTAAGGGTATATACAAGTTCGAGTATAGCAAGAGGCCAGAATAATGTTGCAAATATGGTTGTTTGGTCAAGTTTCTCGAAAACCGACCTTCCGAAACTTTGGAGGCAAAACTTTGAATGACGCAACTGGGGGCGATTGTCACGTGGCATAGCCTAGCATTTGTCATCCTCAAAAGCCAATCACCACCGTCCAATCACTTAGAGATCGAAATTCTTGTACTGCCAGTGTATCGACGACGTCTCTTTCCAATATCAAAGTGGCATTTCGTGCTCTTTGCGTCGTCGATAACACCGCGTTCCAACTCCCAGATCTGACTTGCCCCATGTCATCTGAGCCTTGTAGTGTATGTCAAAACCCAGCCTCCAAATACCATTGCCCTTTATGTAGGGCCACAAGGTGCGACGCTTCATGTATTGAATTACATTAATCGTTACTTATTAATCTTTTTGTGTATCAGCTGCTCCTTGCCGTGTTTCAAGACACACAAGAGCCAATGTGACCAGCTCGTGGCCAAGAGTGACGTTCCAAGCCCCAAAGTTGCACCTCCAAAACCAGAGGCAGCTTCAGTCGAGGATACGCCTCTTGTCGATCTTCTGGTCGAGGATCCTAGGCTGCAAAATCTGTTCCAACAATATCCAACCCTACGTTCGAAACTCAAATTCATCTTCGAGACCACAGTTGCGGACGATCGCGAAGGGGACCAGTCCACGTCCCATACTCGGCGAGGATACAGGTCTCAAGATACTCCACAGACACGCATTGCGCGTGCTATGCGACTTCTGGAACGTCAATTAGACTCTGATACAGCTGAAGCATCAGGGATGACTGCATTTGCAGAGCTGGTGGCGGACTTAGATTCGAGAACGTCGGAGAAAGATTTGAACCACGGCAGTGGCCCTGTCTAGAGCGACGTCTGCTTTCCGTGGAGGCCTGAAGGTAACGGTGGCGTTGCTGGGCTTTTCGGTATCTTCTCTCGGGCAAAAGAGCTTTTCCTGGATCGATTAGATGCTTTCGGTGGGCTCGCCTTCTCTTCTGGCTCGTCGTTGAAATACATATCGATCAGCTTTTCAACAGGCGACCTCCTCTGAAAAATGCTGAGGAGGCTCTTGCGCCGTCGTCGGGCTCGGGCTCGGACGCTACGGTCGTCACTCACGTCAAACAAACTCGAATTGTCCGGTTCCAAGGTGGATACCGATTGTTGATCTTCCTCCTCGTCGTCCGAATTGAACAAATTCAGTAGAGGTGGTCTGCGTTTCTTGTAGCGGTGCTCAAGTGTCTCCGGGCCGTCCTGAATGGCAAAACTTTCCATCTCTCGGCGTAATTGGTCTTCTCTCGGGTCGCTTAGTGTCAGGGGTGTCATAGGAGGATTTGAACTTAATGTTGCGATTGAGGTGGATTGGGATAATGAAGGAACAGGCGGTTCGTCGTCTTGCGCGAAAAGTTCGGCAGCCTGGCCGGACCAGAGCCCACCATTTCTTATCGAAGGGCGTGCGTCGCTGGTTGTCATCCTCCTCCGCGGCATCGGTCGGGAGGAAGTCGTTGCTTCTTCCTGCCACACCTCCTTATGCGGTTGTTTCATGCTTGAAGTTCTGGGCGGCAATGTCCAAGATCTAGGGATTGCTGGACCCGGTTCGTCCTCCTCAGAGAAGTCGTACTGTTGATAGTCGTCATGGTCTTCTATTGAATATTCGGGCATCTGGGCCAAGACCTGGTTCACTTCGGAACCTGACGCATGATGACTTCCGTTCACAGGCGGGGATGGTGATTGCCGCTTCCAGACAAATTCCTGGTACAAGGGTTCCGAATATGATTCTCTTCTGTCCGAGTATCTGCTGCTGCTACGCTTCAAGGCTAGTTTGGTGGGCAAGAACCGCTGCTCTGCCCATTGTTTCCAATTCCCAGACAATGGTGCAGGCGAGTCGTCTTGTAATTCGTCCTGATCGAGCGACGGATATTTTGTGTGCATGGAGTTCTGAGGCTGTGTATGGGCGAGCGGAGCTGGCGAAGCCTGTTCTGAGGAAGTCGTGATGCTTGTGATTTGTCCGGATTTCCAGTCGGTGAGAGGATATGACTTGGGCGGCACTCCAAATGTCGGTAATGGTTCGGCCGCTTCCAGAGAAGGACTACCTTCAAAAGAGAATCTCTTGATATGGATTCCTTCGGATTTGTCGGAAATGCTCCTCGCCCGCTTGAGGCGGTCCTCCACTTCCTGCATTTCGGCCGTGTACCTATCCAGGCGCCTGAAAAGTGAATCGAGATCCAGATCGTCGTTTGGGTTGCTAAAAGGCGAGTGTGAGGAGGTCGATGCGGTCAGGTCGCCGGATCCCGTCTGGTAAGCCGCCATCCATTCCCGCGTCCGCTGCATAGCCTGACCGATGGATTTATTGCTTGCCCTGGCACTGCGTCCTTCCCCATGTTCACCAGAGTATAAGGACGACATTTTCAAGGTCGAGAGGGAATGCGCAAAAATCTGGCGAGAAGTCGAATTCACGCGCTCATAGCAGGCGACACCAGACGACAGGAACAGCCATCATCAGTTTATGTTGGGATATGCTTGACGCGTCGTAGGGAGGTTGGCGCGCTCAACTGCCACGTTTTTTCTCGCCCACTTTTTTGAGCTCGAGCGAAGGTAAGCGAAAGGGGGGGTACGGACATTTGTATGAAGCGAGGCTCAACCAAAAGCGATGGACAAATCTCGTTCCAGCTCGATCACTCGAAGCCACCAACGGCTGGAAAGGAGAGAGTTCCTGCATTGTAAGAGCATAACACCGAATCAGGCCTAGTGGGCGCCATAGAGGAGGAGTAGCTGAAGGTCCCTTCTAAAACGGTGAACGGGTGGCTTGAAAATTGGTGATAGACTTGTTGGCGCTGCGGGGCGGCGCAAAGACATGAATCACATTGAATCGAGCACCTCATCAAGCATGGGTAGAAAACTGGTGGCAGAGATTACTTACTCGCAGTAGCTTGTATGTGGCATTGGACTTTTCAGAGTGACATCGACAAAGACAATTGAGGGGCACACACATTCTTCGGTACACCATACCATTCGGAGCATTCCCTTGTCTAGGAGTGATAGGGATTCTCGCCTAGAGCTGATCGAGAAAGCTTCTCCCGGTCGATAGGTTAGTGGGTGAAAGAGAATGGCCGTCACGAGCCAGCCAAGAGCAGAGGTATCGCATCAGACGCCTTGGTGAGATTGGAACAAGGCTTGCAAAGCGTGATCTTCGAAAGTTCTGGTTTCTGTATGAGTACGGCGCCCATCGCGATCAGCTTCGTCGGGAAATTGCAGCACAAGACAAGAAGCTTTGGTGTGGGAGAGGCGGACGAAGCTGCTTCACGCCGGCCAGACGAAGATTGAGAGGCTGCAGCAGCCCAAGCCCGAGCCCAAGCCCCAAAGCTTTTTGGGAGGCACTGAGGAGGGAGGAGGGGAGAGGTGGAGACGATGGTTGCAGGCCTTCTAAGTCAAATGGCCCCTGACCAGGATGGAACTTGGTGCTGCAGCTACTGCATGATACCTAAGGCACCGAGTAGCAGAGGAGTGAATAATCGTGAAGCTGTGACATGTTGGAGCGAGGAGGGGTGATTTATGTGTGCCAAATGATAAGAGGGATGGGGGACATTGATCGAAAAGAGGATATGAGGGTGATGTAAAAAGGTGAGGTGAGTGTGAGGTGACAGACGTGACGGTGACTGCACCAGTCGGTAGCACAGTACCACCACAATAGCACAGTGGTGGTAGGATGGGAGGAGGTAACTGCACCAGCCTGCTCTCTGCTCCTCGTATCTCTCGTACCTCTCGTGATGACAGTGGTGATTGTGCTGCTTCTCCAATAGAGGGATTGTAGATCACGGAGCACAGCCTTTTAATATGTCGACTTCCCAGCTCTTCAATATATCGCCATGTAGGCACAGAATAGGCTCAGGTCGGAAGTAGAATCCCTTCCTAACTCGTCAAATTTCGTGCCCGGCCAATTTTCCAAGCACTGGTCGGCGGTCGCTCTGTTACAAGGTTGCAGGGTGGGCGCAGCGTGCAGGATGGAATTTTGCCAATATTTTTGATCGTGCATGGTGGCGGCGGGTGGCAGCAGCAAAAGTGGCCCTTTGGTGGCCCTTGGGTGGCCCTCACTAGAGCCGCAACTGGGGTCTTGCTTGCATCTTGCCAACCTAAACAGCCTAGAGGGCCCTTAAAGACGCCCCAAGACGAGCCCCAGCGCCTTAACCAGCATTAATCCATTCCCCCGCCAATGGCCTGTTGCATGGTCCTGCCGCGGAACCACCAGCCTACAGAAGCCCGCAGCAGCCCGCAGCAGCCCGGCATCTTTGGCACGCATCCTCCATGCAGGCGATGTGGCCTCCATTGCTCCCTCCGCGTCGCCTACTGTTGCGTAGTTCCTGCATCCACCATCCAGTCACCAACAAGACTCAAGTTCCTGACCCAGAAAGTCGAACTACTCATCTTGTCCTCGGAGCCATTGTGCCATTCCGTCCTTTTCACATGGGGCCGAACTTCGAACTTCTCATCAACTCTCCCAAAAACTGAAAGGCCTCTGTGCTGTGTGCAGACGTTCCGACACTTTTCCTCTGAGCAGCAGTTTCACGCTCCCCTTTGCAACCGAACCTCGAAATCCATCGTTACTTCTAAAGTCCTTCGTCTCCATCCTCCTTCTGAGAGTCTTTCTATCCTCCCATCCCCCAACCTCAACCTCGACCCCAACCGTTATCTGAGCCTCAATTGCAGCTTTCTCTTCCTTGGAGGTTCTTACCACTCTCACACGACTTGGGCCCGTCCACCCACCTGTGTCTCCTCCTCTTGCTGGGTCCAGAACCAACTCGGATTCATGTCGCCGGGCTAGATTGCCCTCTCCACTGTTGATCCAGCCTCGGGCCTCCCAGATATCCACCCTCTGCCGATTCCCTACGAGTACGGAGCCTGCTGTGCTAGACATCAACTTTTCCTTCTCAATCCTGCCTCGATCGACACTCGCTTCTGCTCTCTTAAACCCTTACTTTCTTCACGCTCGTTCCTCTGCCCGAACCTGGTGTTGGGATCACGCTCACTACCATCACCTGAAACCGACAGACAAATCACCACCCGATCCCCGCCTCCCACCTGCTCGATTCGTCTAGTCCCCTTTTCCATATCTCTCCTCGACACGGAGCTCTACTGGCACTGCTAACCAGATTCATCTCCTCCCCATTCCCGCTAGCTCATCACAAAGACCCATTGACTTGGTGTCTTGATGTCCCAGAAATCCATGACCTCCACCAGTATCCAGCTCTCTGGTCCTCATCCGTCTGCATCGCGTGGTCTCTCAGAGGCCCAGCCTGACCTTGTCAACAATCCAGTAGCGGTAGCTATGCAGTGATTCGAACCTGACCCTCTTCCAACTCCAATCCATGGATTCCCGTTCCACGAGGTATCGATCACTCGACGCAAAGGCTGCTGAGCCACCTAGAGTCAGGGAACGGCACAACTCGGCCCCCACTGTTGATCGACGTAAAGACCAGCACCAGAGGCGTCCATCCGCTGTTATCAAACCCTCAGATGCCAGCCACCGAAGCTCCAAACCCCATGCTCGGGTTGACTCTTTGACTTCTCCGGACCGTGGCACAACCAACCGACGCTCAGATCGCCAACAACTGTCTGGCTATTCCCTCGAGGCGAAGCTACCGAACAAGGTACGTCTTTCCCATTTGTTTCGCCTCTCTGGATAGTTCCCGTCCTCGGTAGCTATATTGACCTCGTGTTGTCTCCAGGCCAGTGACTTGGAGTCGACCTCGTCCATTAACTTGTTGGTGCTGGGCTCTCGCAACTCAGGCAAAACCACCTTTATTCGAAACGCCATTGGAAACGACCGGTCTCGTACCTTGACTGAAGTTCGCGTCAGAGATAGGTGCTATCAAATCCAATTCTTCGAGCTGGTCTTCGACGATGTCGATTTCAGTAGCGAGCGAAGAATTGAATGGCCCCCATACATAAATGGGGCTCCTTTGCCCGAAGTCGACGGTGTATTTTGTCTATACGACGTCTCTGACAAAGAAAGCGTCGCCGACGTTCCGGCTGCATTGAGTGAGTGGCACCCACGAGAGCACACCGATCCTTCCTGGCGCCAGCCCTAAGCAAACCTACCCTTACCAATCATTCTGGTCTCCTGCTAACGACATGGTTAAAGCCTCCATGACCAACACTGGTGTACCTTGTATGCTTGTTGCCGCCAAATGCGACGTCAAGGACGAATCTCGTCAAATCAGTCCACGCTTCCATGAGACTGTCCGTCACAATCTTGCCAAGGTTGCCATTGCCGAAACTTCGATTAAATCTCCCGAGAACACCAAGCAGTGTTTTCTGGCAATGATTCATCGAGTCATTGCCTCTCCGCGAAGTAAGTCTTGATCAACAACTTAGCTTCGCCTTGTTTCTGATCGCAATACTGTTACTCCTCTCACCCCACCAACTCCAATCTTATGGTTCTCGCTTCACCTATCTGTCTTCTTCAATGAGCAGGCGTCCCAAATATGGCTGCTACGCAATCATGTGCTCATAGACCGACCGTCAAATCCAATGCGTGCTACTATACAAACAGTGACCTGATAGCTGACAACGGGTGCAGCATCTATCCGAGCAAGCAAATCATCGTACACTTCCACCGAGTCTGCAGGCAGCCAGCGTGTTGTCTCAAGGGATCCGTCACCCAAGACGGCACGAAGCAGAAGCCGCTCTAATAGTCGATTGCAAATATCCAAGTCCAAGGAGCTGCTGCTGAACCTGTCAGTTCGACAAGCACTGGTCGAGTCTGAGAACGAATACAGTCAATCTTCGGAAACGGAGGATGTAGCTCCAGCCAGTCGCAAGGCCAAACTCAGATTGGATACAACAGCTGTTTCTCAATCCCAGCGCCGTCCAGCCGGCCCTCACACACCAATATCTTCTGGTGATTTTACAGGTAAATTGGCGTCTTCTCTCGAGACCTCGACGACGGCAGTCCCCGAGACGCCCGATTCCTATTATGTAAAATCAATGCTTCGGCCTGATTCGACATCCACCCTTGACAGCCGGGCGTATCAGACCTTCCTAAATATGGACGAAGACTCGCATGACCTCTCACCGCGGACAGAAGTGGAAGCATTGGGCTCGAATTTGGGCAGTCTAAAAGTTGATGAAGGTGCAAACACTGAGCGTGGAGTCCCGTTCCAGGAACTGGTCGACAAGCTCCTCTTGTTACCGACGAACAAGACAGACTCGAAATTTGTCCCGTCTTTTTTGTGTCTGTACCGTGCCTTCGCAACTCCACAAAAGTTGCTCACCGCCATTATTGACCAGTTCATGAAGGTGGAACAAAGCAAGATGGTTCACTTCACCAAAGTTGCAGAGATGCTTCGCTACCTGCAAGTTTTGGCTCAATGGACCGCCACCTACCCTGGGGATTTCTCTCCTGGCCCTGCTCGTGATATCGCCATCCCTTTTGTGCAGACCATTGAAAAGAGCAAGGTGTTTGCCCCGGCTGCCAGAGAGATTAGCAACAACCTGGACACTGTCATTCCCGACGAGGACTTGGACTGGGCCTTTGATGATTCATCCTCTCCGTCAAGCAATAAGAGTGGCGCAAGCATTCACCACAAAGCAAGCATAGTGTCATCGTCGTCAACTCTGGTCCCATCACCCAGCACCGAGAATATGACGAGATTAAGTCGCAAGGGACGACGAGAAGAAGATGACAGTGAGGACGATCTTGACGGGACAAATTCATCTGCACGCGGATCCAACGTGCCTTCAATGGCTTCCAGTATGATCCGATCAAGCAATCCCTCCAGTCAATCATACGCAAACTTTGTACAGTTGGAAACGGCAAAACTGGAAGCGGAAAGGTTCAGGCCAGTGCCCCGTTTTCGTCTCAGCAAGTTTCAATGGCATCTATTCATGGAAAGCACCCTCGATGACCTTGCTAGGGAAATTACGCGGATCGACTGGACAGTGTACTCGGCAATCAGACCCCGGGATTTCGTTCGACACGTGTCCATATCCACCTCCCAGAAAAGAAAATCCAGCTCATCCGACAACATTGGCGCCATGGTAAAGAATTTCAACCATCTGGCATTATTTGTTTCCGGCATGATCCTCCTCCGAGACAAGCCAAAGCATCGAGCAAGAGCCTTGGAAAAATTCATGGCACTCGCATGGAAAGTGAGGCAACTGAATAATTACAACTCCCTTGGAGCTATTGTGGCGGGCATCACCGGGCATGAGATTGCTCGTTTGGGTGCAACCCGAGATCTAATTCCGCAAGAGGTTCAGAAGCAATTTCTGAGACTGACCATTCTTATGGGGATATCAAGATCTCACGCCGCATATCGCATGGCCTGGGACAATTCTCCGGGGGAACGAATTCCGTTTCTCCCCCTTGTACGACAAGATCTCACCATGGCTGCTTCAGCAAACCAGACATTTATCGGCACGAACGTCAATTGGAAGAAATTTGAGATCATGGGAGATGTCATTGTTGGCATCCAACGCAGTCTCGAAAATCCCTACAACTTCCCACCAAGATCCGTTCGCACTGATGAGATCACCAAGCTGATCTTGGAAACGAGGATCCTTGAGGAGTCAGAGGTGAGATGTCTTGCTCGTTCAATGCCCTGCGCCCCATTCTAACCGGAGACAACAGGATTCTGCAGACCCACGTAGCGAGCTGTATGACCGAAGTGTACAGGTAGAACCACAACAAACCGGGCTGGATTCTAGAAAAAAGTTCGAATGGTTAAGGCGTTAATGACAGGAAAAGATCACCGTCGCATCAAGCGACGGCCTGCGAAAAGTTATGACCAACAAGTGAAATATTGGTGTACAGAGAATTTGGTATGGAGATAGAAAGGGAGGCTCGGAGCTCTAAACAAGTCTCTCAAAGATGGGGGCGCACTGTTGGCACTATGAGATTATGATTTACGACAAAAGACTTATGATGTTACAAGTGACTGGGTATGGAGTTTAGACCGGAACAGGGAGGACACCGATGTCAAGACTTTTCAGGTTGCTATATGGAGAGGCGGTTTGAGGGAGTTGATTTCGTGCCCTGGGTGGAGGCGGAGGCAGAGGCGTCAGACTCAACACGTTGATATGGGAACGAAAAGTCGGCCATCGCCTTGCAAGGATTGCGCGCCTTTCAGGTTGCTGGATACTGATTGAAGGAATCATTTCAACGTGAAAAGCTGGGAGCAACAGTCAAATTACCAGGAGGTTGGCGGCTCCCGGGCTCTAGCGATCCCAGAAAGAGAAGGAATATGGAAATTAGGCGGAAGCATTGCTCCCAACACGTCAACGGAGGCAGCGGATACGGCGGTGAGACGTCTTCACCTGGAGGACCTGATGCGCAGGCACGGCGCATTTACCGAGCTCTCCGTGGCACTGGTCAAGAAGTTTGGCCTCCCTCAACGAAGACCGGAGAGTGGCATTCTGCATCTTACAATTCGTTCTTCCGATGGGACGATGGGAAGATAAAGGTGTTAATCGGACGGGGCCAGAGCTTTTGCAGAGCCTGAATGCATAGCCTTAGGAATGCCTGGTGCTCTCTGTTGCAGAAGGATAGCCTCAGTCAAAGTCAAACACGTTCAAAACTAGACTGCAATTTTCCAGAACTGTGTTTGGGAAGAGGAAGAAGAAGCCATATATCATTTCCATGGCATTCACCGTCCCTGGTCAATTGTTGCTTTTCCGTCACTCGTGCTCGTCGTCCATCAATATATCTCGTACATACGTTGCATACCTAGTATAGCAATTATGCCCACCCATTTGTTGCCGGCCGTGAAACGCATCAAATCGTGCCCTATCCGTTTCCCAGCAGAATATAGTCTGGCTAGCCCGCTCCTCTCTGACCATCTTTTCCCGCTTTTGTTTTTTGGTTTCGTACATGGCCACATGCCGTACCCTTATTTTGAATAGTCATGCCAACCTCATCCATGCCATTCGGTAAGTCCTCTTTCTAAGGAGGATGACCCATCTCCTCGTCCCTGCTCTTCTCCTCGGGACTGACGGCGTCCTGGCCCGGGTTCGCCTCCTCGTAGCGGAAATACTTGACAAAGCCGTAGTACCCGGACGCCAGCAGGGCGCCCATGACGGGGCCGAACCAGTAAATGTAATGGTAGCCTGGGAAGTAAGGCGCCGCGACCGCGGGGCCGAAACTTCGCGCCGGGTTCATCGAGGAACCCGTATAGGGCAGTCCGGCGATCATGCCCACGAAGAGCGCCAGGCCAATGCCCACGGGAGCCATGAATGTGGCGTAGTGCTTCTCGGCGGCGAGCATGAGGATGGTGAACACCAACAGCGAGGTCAGGAACATTTCGATAAAGACGCCTTGGGCTGGCGTGGTGTTGTTGCTAAGCACGGTGCCCACGACCAGCGGGCCTGGAAACATGCATCTCACGAGGGCGGCCGCGACGATGCCGCCGAGGAGTTGGGCAGGGAATAGAAGGACGCCGCGAACCCAAGGGAGATTCTTGGTTAGGACGAGACCTAGAGTTACCTGTTATTTCATTTTGGGTTCCTTGGTCAGTTGTTTCCGAGATGCACTCAGCAGAATTGTGGCAAGCCCACAATGCAGAGAACATACAGCTGGGTTAAACAATCCTCCAGAGATTCTATAGAATGCCCACACCGTGACGAGTAGCGAAAAGCCGAAAGACAGACTGGTCAAGGTGACCTGAGTCGGTGTGTTTGCCACACCTCCGCCTGTTATGGCAGTGGCTTGGGCGCCAGCAAAGGAAAACCACAGGAAGAGCGTGGTGCCCACGAATTCACCGACCATGGCGATGAGATGGTTTTTGGTGCGGGCTCGACGGGAGAGGAAGTCTCGATCCGGGTCATTGTTGTGAGGGAGGTGGCGGGGATGATCGCGTTGGCTGTTAGAAGCCGACGCTGTGGTTGCGGTCGAGCCGGACATGTTGGCACGCCGAGCTGAGAACGGTGGGAAATGGCGTGGCATGTCTGGAAGAGATCAAGGCTGCGGTGAAGGGTGCTGGAGGAGAATATGCTGTACCGTCTCTGCAATAAAGAGGGACGGGTTTGGATTTGTAGGGAGCATTGGAGAGGAAGAAAGGGGATGATGTCAACGAAGTGATCTCTCCATCATCTCTATACGAGGAAATGCAAGCCGTGAAAAGTGGAACATCACCCGGCCTAAAAGGCCTATGTGCAAGGATGGATAACTTACTCGATTCCCCTTCCATGTCGAGTTCGCTGTCAAAGCTCCTTGTCGATCGCATGCAGGGCGACCTACCGTCAAGGGCTGGTCACGAGTCAAATGAACATTGGGACTGACTCCGAGAGGACGGAAGGCTCAAGAGACGACTTCTGCCGTCCCTCGTGGCGCTCGACGCCGGCCGCTGTGAAACTCAGTTGCCATTGGGCTTTGGCCCGATTGTATGAATGGTCGATGTTGTCACAGGCTGCCATGGGAGATGCGATCCGTCCTGTTGGACCCTGGTATGCAACTGCGGGTTTGTTTGGAGCCACCAGCGCCGCTGACATGGCGCGTGCCAAGTGCCCAGAATGACATCAAAATCTTGACCACTGCCCCTGGCACAGCTTCAAGCAAGATCAACAGTGTGTGCCGAACTCACGGGAATACTCTTCCCATCAGTGGAGGATGACAAGGGCAGGATAATCCAAAATGTTTGATACTCAACCAGGCCAGGAGAAGACAGAGTCGAGAAAGAGAGGACGAAGAGAGCGAGAAGCGCCAAGACCAAATATCAATGCCAAGACCAAGCGACGGGCGCTGACTCATCATCTACGTCATAAATTCAGCCCTTCAGCCTCGTGTCCTCCACAAGGCTCTACTATGTATCAGGCTGGGCAGTCGCTCCCAGTAGCCACCATCAGGCTGTCAGGCTGACTCGTTGGGCGTCGGGCTCAGCGCTCAGTCTGCCTCGTACTTGCTCTGGACCCATGCAAGGTGAACAGGACTTGCCTCAATCGGGAAATACCCTCAGGCGTCATCAACAAAAAGGGCCGAAGGGAACAAGGATCTGTTCAAACTCCGCGTTCACTTGCTTTCAGCTACAAGCCCCAAGGCGGCCTTTGTTAGGGTCTACTTCAGTGTCATATTGAGTGGAATTGGCTGCAGCCTCAGTGGAACAACGCTTGGGAAGAACATATTGATGAGTGGCTCGCTCGCACTTGCCCTGTTGATTGTCCTTTCCCTGGTTGAATGTGTATTCACAATAAGATATGTTGGCTGCCCAATGTGCCAGGATATAGAGTCTATCCATTTTGTTTATTTTGAGGACTGGTTAAGGAAGTTATCTATTTCGGAACGCCGCGACATCGTTATCACCTGGGAAAACATCACAGCTGGACTTGGAAACACTCGTAATGGTTCGTGTCCAGACAGGGCGCCAGTACGACCGGATACAGCCCGAGTGTCTCGTACCTCGTGAGAAGCCCTCTAGTTAATCAGGAAATGGGATCTGCACAAGCGATGGGTTCAAAACCCTGGGAAGCCTTGCGGAATGTAAAATTTCAGAAAGAGGATAATATTGGCAGCCGAGGGGTATCTTCAAGTCAGATCTACAATCGCTCAACCCAGTCCGCGTCCAAGTCACATTATTCTTTTTGTCATGCTCAATCAACATGCAACCAACATTCACATCGAGATAACCTTCCTTCCATCTGGCACACAATCCAAATCGTACATGATCTCGGTCCTCTACCCCATCCATACCATCCCAGGATGGCTGAATACTTGATCCCTCAGACCTCAATCTGATCCTGTTGTTCCCCTTCACTGGCGAAGTAACTCTGATCGATCTTCAGGATCCACTCGACTTTCTGACTCTCACTCCTCGCCGCAAACAAGAAGGTATTCTGCTCGCCGTAAACCGCGAATACGTGAGCTAGACCGTGGAGTTCCGCATTGCTTCCGGTCCTTCTATGACCCCCACGCTGCTCTGCCGATGAAGAGTCGGCCCCATCTTGTGATGAAATAGATGATCCACCGCCAAGTAGGCGCTTAAAGTCCGGATCATGATCGATTCGTGCATGGGTCAGGTTTACCGCGTTGATTCCCTCACCGTCAGGGACGGACTGAATGTGAAGATAGGGAGGGCGCAGATCGACAAACCGTCGTTTCCATTGCATGGTACTGCCATGATTGCCAGAGGGGGAGGGTTCGTAGGTTTCCGAAGGCATGAGGAGATAGCCTGATTTGAGGGAGACTGCGTTCTTGGGTACGTGGGCGATAGTGGCTTGGTAACGGGTCGACGATGATCGCGACGTTTCAGGCACCGGTGTGGGCGAGGGTCGGGATCGTGTGCTCTCGTCACCTTCATCAAAGATAGGGTTTTTCATCTCCGCACTCGGCTTCATCCAGATCGCGAGGTATTTGCGTAGAAGATTCTCCTCCCGGGAATCCAGCTTAGAAGAAGGCGATGCTGCGCGACCGCGGGCCTTGTGTGCGGTCACACTCAGTTTGCGCAACCCCAATGCTGCTTTCGCGGATTCGATATCCTCCAACTGGCGCCTTTTCCTTCGCGCGATCAAGTAATCTTTTACCAACGAAATCCCTCTTGGTTGCCAGTTGCCGAGAAGTTCTTCCCCGTTGATGTAATTCTTCGAAGTATCTAGACGCCATAGATCGGCGGCTCTCTTTGCGCTGACTGGTCGCACGACAATCGAGAACAGCCCGTCTGTAGAATGGGTTACCCGGGTTTGATTCCAGAAGGATTTGAACATTGACTGGGGACGAACGTAAGATCGCGGCAGAATTTGGAGCTGTTGGTCAATAGAGAATGTCATCGGCTGATCGCGCCCGAGACGGCTGGAGATAACGTCCCAACGCAGCGATATCTGAACTCTTGAGTTTTCGTTGGTGGCGCGGTCGAGGAGAAGGGTTTTGTGCAATGAGCTGTCCCATTGTCCCACGATTGTGATGTTCGAGGTGCCATCGGCATTATCTTTGATCATGGGTTCTTGAATTTGTTTGAGGGGAATATCCGGGGTGATGGACGCAATATCCGTGACACGCCCAGACGAATCAAGTTGATGGACTTCTCCAACTCGCAAAGACTTCAAATCGTCCCATGGCAGACCCTCGGTCAGGACGTGCGTTAGATTGACGGAGATTCGACGTTGGAGCCCCTGATGCAGCTGGAATGCGCCGCAATCGTTCGGGTTGCTTTGCAAGACTTCAACGGGCATGTACTGGCCGTTTTCTGCGAGCTCGAGGATCTGGACCTTTGCGAAGACGTCATGCCGTTCTTCAACCATGTATTCAGACTCGGGCAAACGATGAGCAGGCTGTTGATCGGGAGGTTGCTCGTTCATTTCACGAAGCTCATCCCAGCTGATCAGCTTATCGAGATGCGTCGAACTGACCTGAGCAAAAATGGCGATCTTCAGAGTTGCAGATTTCTCCCCAGAGCGACGAATACTCAGGTTGTGGATGCTCTCAAAGCGTACTGGACCGTCGCCAAACCCGTGGATGGGCTGGGTGGTCGCCACGCTCTCGTCGTCGGTTCCCAGCACCGTCATCTGCGCATGCACTTGTGTCCCTTCGTGTTCGGCGAAGCCCACAAAGTCACGCATGACAATGTTGAACTTGATTGTGGACGGCGGAGACTCTGCCAACGATGGTTCCAAGGACATCCTCACCTTGCCAACAATTTGTCTTGTAGATGGCGAGGTTATCTCTACCACAAAATCTTGCACCCGCGTTTCGAACACAGCGGTCAGAGGAATGCTCCCGTCGCCGATGAGCGAAAACAAGGGCTGGTCAGAGTCGCGGAACGGGTTGTCTATCCGGAAATGCTGCAGATATTCTGGCTGATTCTTGTACTGGCGCATTTGGCGCATTTTGGCCACTCGCAGTCGAAGTTTTTCCAGCGACCAAAGGTGGATACAGCTGAGCTGGTTGTCGATAACCCTCACGGCGAGACACGGCTTGTGCGCAGCCGCTAGCGCATCGTCATCGTCTCCAGAGATATCTTGGAGGATGAGATCATACGACGAGCCACCTTCTTGTCCATTGTCCAAAATCACAAACTGGAAGTTGGTATCGTGATCCAGCAATTTGCTCATGACTTGTGCTTCCTTGAGAAGACCGGCGTTTTGCAATATTGCCTCTGCTATCAAGATGTAGTTTCTTTGTTGCCACTTTTCCACGACGTTCCGTGCGATGGCTTTCTCAGGAGCTTCCAGAGGCAGGAACCCAGCTGGCGTTCGAGCAGCTTCTCGTATTCTAACGTCTCGATCCATTTTCTTGATCTGTGCCTCGTACTCTTCCTTTTGTTTTCGAAGTTCTTCTTCGAATTCCTGCCTTGCCAGTTCCAACTCTTGCTGCATCCGGGCCGCCTGGGCTTCGCGTTCTGCATCCTTGGATGCGTCCTCTGCGACTCCTTGCTTATCCCCTTCCCCGGTTTTATGCGTTGGGTTCTGCACTTGGTGTCCAAACTGGCTTGGGGTCAAGGTCGGTTCGCCATCTTCTTGTGAACTGCCATGTACAGAGGGAGTGCCTGGGAGCGTCAAGGCCGTGTCGAGAGAAAAGTTGTCAATGGTGCCGTTCGACATGTACTTATCGCGCACAAGAAAAGAGCTGAGGTCGTCCGAGTCTTCATCATGTTCGAAATGTTTGTTGTCGGAACGCCCGCGTCGCTCTTCTCTTGCTCTCTGGATATTCTCGAGGAGATTGTCCAGCTCCTCATCAGTGAGTTGCATGATTTTTGGATCTGACCCAAGAAGAGCGCCGGCGGCCTCTCGACGAGCAAAGAACCAGTCCGAGTCTTTGTTACTGCCGAGACCTGGAGACTGGGCTCGGCTTGACTCACCATCGAATTCTGATCCTGCAGCACTCCAGGTTCTTTCGTGTCCAGGACGGAATGGCGTTGGGGAACTCAACTGGCTGGCAGTGACGGATTGTCGGAGCAGACTTCTTTCGGCGCGTTCGGCTTTGGCTTCCAACGGGTTGTTAAACCTGAAGATGTGGAAGTCTCCCAAAATGATACGATTTCCACTTTTCAGCCTCTTGGGCTTGTCAACACGCACACCGTTGACCATGACAGCTGCTCCCTCATGAGGGATGATTGTCACAACGTTGTCGACATGCTCGAGCTTGCAGTGGTGATCCAGGATTTTGGACCCATTCAACCTGATTTCGGAAGCTTCGGACGAGTCGACATTCCCGACTGTGGTAACCCCTGGCTTCAGGTTATAGACGAGGCATTCAGCTAGCAGAGGATCGTCGCTCAGATTGACCAAATGGGGCATCTTCTTGGGGGTGCTCATACCCACGTTCCCCTTCTCAATGCTGATGCCCAATTCTTCTAGCGCAGCCTCTCTCTCTTTATGAATCTGTTCCGTCTTTTGGAGCTTCTCCTCCCAAGTCTGGTTGAGGTCCTGGTACAACTTCTCACTTTGGCTCAGCTGGTCCATAATTTCGGCTTTACTAACACGCTTGACTGAGCCGTCCGTCTGCACGATCGAGACCATTTGTTTATCGAGCGGCGTCCCCTCGGGGTAGGTCTCCTCGGCACCTGCAGCAGTAGTTCCCCCAAGCTGGCTCCTGAGTTTGGCCAGTTCTTCTTTGAGCTCGCGGATCATGCGTGCGTTTGGATCCTCATTGATGACAGCATGATTCTTGATCCTCTTGGCCGAATCGGCGTATCGCAGGGTGCTTAGCGTCTCCTCAAAATTGATATCGGCGGGCGAGATTGCAGCAATCATGGCAGTCATGCTGTTACCGCCAAGCGAATCTTTAAGAAGCCAGGTCAGAACCGAATCTCTATATGGCACTTTCAAGCCCTTTTTGCCGGAAGAAAGGTCTGCGAGTGCCGCGATAACCCGACCAAGGGTTGAGAGAGACCTATTGATTTCTGCTCCTTCCTTTAGACGAGCACCGGTAGCGCCAGTGGAGGTTGCACGTTCGGAGCCAGCTAAATCGACTAAGCTGATCTTTGCGACTTTTTCGGTATCCATGTTTGTTTCGGCGTCGTGGCGCTTTTGCGTGAGAGTGAGGGTGAAGACGGCATGGGAGCGACTGGAAGTTTCGTTCATATTTGTGGCCGCCACTGTCCGGGCTTTGTTACCTTCGTCCATAAGATTCTCGATCTCACTGAAGGAACGGACGGCCAACTTGGCCAGATCCTCCACATAAGGACCTGTAGAAGGATGCTCTCTGACCCGGAGATTGCCCTTGGTCGCCGGGTTCAAAAGATCTCTGACCCGTTCGTTGTAAATTTCCAGATAGGAGACTTCGACAGTGCAAGTCAGGTGAGGATCAGACTGTAGCCCATTGATCCGTTCAAACATTTCTCGACAAATCCGAGGGATAACGCCGGCCTCCTCGCCGTAACCCATCATGCTGTAGGACTTCCCGGAGCCCGTCTGTCCATATGCAAAGATACAGTTGTTATAGCCTTGAAAGGCGTTGTCGAGTAGCGGAACGCCCAGGTCGTCGAATAGATTGTCTTGACCAGCATAGTTGGGATCTGCCTTGTTGAAAGACCAGTAGGACTTGTCGAATTTAAAAGTGCGTTGCGCGCTTGCGCCATCCTTCCCACCTTTTCGAAGACGGTCTTCTGCCTCCGGAGGAGGTTGCAGAATGGTCTGGGCATCCTGCATCTGAACAATACATTTCGCATTGCGATCAATCTCGCGATTGTTAAAGGGTCGCACTCTGACCACGACCTTGATATTTCCCCCTCCACCAAGACCGCCTCCTGCTGCTCCTCCTCCCCCACCGCCCGTAGGCGCCATGGTTGTACCTATGTTATAAGTCTTGGATAATGCGTGTTTGCATGACTATCATTCTGTTGGGCCAGGAGGTGATCGGCTCGTATCGGAACTGTAGGTTCGCGCACGTTTCTGTAAGGTAAGATAGGTCGCGAGTATGTCGTCGTCCGTTTGAGGAATTGGCCTCGCAAAGCAATTGGGTGCGCAGGCCGTTGTGTGTAGAGGTGCTGGAAGAGGAGCGTGTCGCGTTGGGGATTCTGGTGTGAAAATGGCGTGTAGACAGGCCAGTAGTTGGAGATGCAACTAAGGAACTCCCCTGCTAGTAGGCTGCTACAATGTATATTGGAGAAGCGACGCCAACAGACGCCCCGTGAGCCTCGAATTTTGTGGCTAATGGCTAGTGGCTGGTAGTGAAGGACACCTGGGCCGGCAATGCTCTTAGGGATGTCGTGCCTGGTGGGTGCCTGGCATTTGGCTGCTGGAGGCTCAACGGCCAGCCTCACAGGCCCAACGGGCATGCCGAGAACTCCACTTCCATCATCCCACTGCCCAGTTGCCTGCGTCATCGCATCAACAAAGCAAATTGCGGCTTCACTGTTCCATCAGTGCTTTGGTGATTTGCTACCGGTCACCCAGATGTACAGTATCAGAGAACACCGTCTACAACAATGAGACAGTCATGCGGCGCAACATCATATGACGGCACAATCGCCACCAATACGAGAGCCATCGTGTGACCGACATCACCAGGATGGCCAACTCCTACACCACAAGGAACGGCCGCACGGCCAAAAGAGGGGCGTTCCTCAACGGTGTGTGGCATTGCGACTGTGAGCCACGGATGCCAGCAGACAAGTTTCAGGTGAAAAATGGCGGCAAAAACCATGGAAGATGGTGTACGTGGACGTGTCTGGACATCGGCGTCTGGGGCTGATGCATTGTGAACAGTCTACACCTGCCAAAAGCCACAACACAAACGGTGCAAATTCTTCCTATGGAACGATGATGCCAAAGTCCGCGAAGAAGCTGCAGTCCTGAGCAATTCTCGAACAGAGCCAAATCTACCCGCTCCTCTCACTCCTCAGAAGAAAGACCCTAATGCTCTACCCCTAACACCGCAAACGAGGCAGGATGTCAGGAACAGACGAGACACGAAAGAGCCTGCGAACATAAAACATGATGAGAGCTTCGATTGGTCTTCAAGTAATGACGAAGAGCTCCTCAAGGCTGAGCAAGACATATTGGAGAAGTCGCCATTCCAGACCCCGAAGAAAGCTCCTCGCACGGAGAGCCTGACATCGCCAGGCAAAAGGAAGTTTGTTCAGGCGGCAGCGCAGTCCGCCACCGCTGACGAGACATGGCCTCTCAGCGACGATGTCTTCACTACTCCAAGCACAACCCACCCGTCCAAGAGCAGCGGTTTGCTGTCACCATCCAGTACTCCAGCTAACAGAGCTACGCAGCACGTTCTGCCTGAAACAGAGCCATCCACGCTTGCTTCTGAAGCGCTCGATATATTGAGAGGCTCGCGCATCGATCCAGAGGTCGAGAAGGAACTAGTGGATCTCCTCAATAGGCATGACCTGCGTACTCAAGGCATCATTAAGGGCCGGGACATCACTCGTCTGGCTGTTCAGGCAAAGGAGAAGAAGATTGCAGAGCTGCAAGCTCGAATTGCAGCACTTGAAGCAGAAAAGGAGACAAATAAGAGAGTCATATCACACCTGAAACATGACATGGCTGCCTCTCCAAAAAGGGGTAAAGGCAGGAGTGCACCTCGTGGAGAACAACCAGAAGCCTGAAAACTTGGCGAAGAAAAAGCAATACATTACACGAACGAGTGGGCGTTCCCTGTCAGTTCTAGCGCCAGCTTCTTGCATGCTGTTCAACGGCAACAAGATCACACCACCCTGCATGCACGTCAGGCTTTGGGACGCACATCGGTCTTACCAAAATGCGGAACATAGAAAACTATTTCAGTTGCCGGATGATGTGGCTATTGATTGGACGAAGACGAAAGACGGCATCCGACTCACTTCTGCTTTTGTGCTGGAAGAGTAGTTCGGTCCTTTGGTCCCAACATCCCTACGGACATATGTCAGTACTATAATTGAAACAGCCCTCAGCTTCGCCCCCTGGGAGACGGGGGAAGCATCACTTGCCGCACTCGCCATCCCGATTCGAGTGAGAGTGATGAGAGCTAAACGTTGAATGAAAAATTGTTGGTTACACTCAACACCGATCTTGGAGAAGGCAATCTCATTCACGGATTTGAAGGATTTGGAAGAGAGCACTTCAGCACAACCCTCCGACGCGGCGGTATCTGCGATTCTATGTCAAACTGCTGGGCTCGCTAGTTGGCCGACTAATATATCCGACACAAGTATTGCACATGCACACTGCTCCGTCATTAGTCGTTGCAACAATTTACACATGCCCGGAAACAAAGTCTCTCTACCAGCCGGTCGCACGTTACACGCCGAATGTCGCAGAGGACGCCCATCTGACCTTGCAACTTACCAATAATGAAGTTTTCGGTCACTACCTGATCCACGACATGAGCCCACCCGTTGGGCACTGTGAAGCTTCTTATGACGACGACTGATGGCTTTATGTCCAGCAAGAGCGACATCTTCTGATGCGGTCGGAGAACATAAGCTTCCGTTGTTCGGAGGCCATCAACGAGACATACTAGTATTGTGGAACTTTCGATCAAGCTCAATAATCTGTCGGCCAGCTCCCTAGCCCTTGCTTTTCTCCTCTGTAACACGGCACGGCAGTTGAAGTTGTAGAAGCTGCCATCTCGCTTAAGGTGAAGATGCATCCAAGCGATCACGGCCCCCCGAGGACTCCCCTTCCGGATTGAGTGCCATCTCCCCACTGCATACCAGTAACATTATATGCTGAGGAACCACGTTGGGGAGGCGGACAACGGCCTTTTGCCTTGCTTGGAGATTCGGGGATGGCTTTTTCGTGCCGTTTTACTTTTTCTGGGACGTGAATGCCTGTTTCTAATTGTGTTCTGGAGGGCTGGAGTGAACTACTCACGCAGTGCTGGGAACTCCCTCTTCGAAATTCCTGCCTTCATCCTAGTGGGAAAGTGTGGCCGGCCCCTGTACCACCCACTTACTCCTTCAACGGCAGCAGCCTTACCTCGTACCGAGTACAGGTCGACATATGAGGCAGGGCCACGTCGCTTAGGCTCAGTTTCGACGGGCTAACGATCCATGGCGGTAATCTGCTTGCATATACTCGTGGTCCCATGGCGGCCAGGTCGAGCAATTGGCCCAAAGGACACTTCGAGAGAAACCGAGGGCACAAGGAGAGTGAAAAAGGCGAATGTCTCCCTCTTATGGAGCTCGTTTGGCGTCGGATCACTCGCGCCATTTCGCCCGGACGAAAGCTCATATTTGGTCTTAAGACCAAATGTGCACAATCACATCAATGGTCGCGCGCAATTGCTCGGCTGTCGGCGATTGATCAGAGCGAGTGGACTAATCCATGCTTGCAGTAACGGTGGCAGAGAATGGCAGCGCCCCAGTCCTCTGTAGAACCGCAATCGGCTCTGTCCCCAAGAGTGCATGTCATGTCGACGCCATCTCACGAGTCCCGGCCTGGAATATTTTCACGAGCCTTGCCCTTCAACATCGCAACTTGTACGCAGCCTTGCCATCAGAGGCGACAACCCAACTTCTCGGAGGTCCTACGGTGAGCACGGGATCGATCACCTCAAGCCTTTACAAGCAAGTTGACTGGTCCCTGGAGCAACAGCCCTGGCACGCGACAGCGAACCATGGCGGAGTTTCCTTGGGTATGATTACCCATTTGCCCAATGTCGATCCACCGGACAAACCCCGTATGCAGGTCCCCAGAGCCACATGGATCTGCAACGTGTGGCACATGGCTCACACACCATCACGATGCGGATCTTATCCCGTTCTGTCACATGCGAAAGAACGTGCCCAACAAACACGATAGATAGCGCACCCAGAAAGGGGAAAAGGATTGACAGCAAATTCGAGAACGACGGAACCACGAACACGAGAAAGAATGGGGCTTGGTGGGTCCCATTGCGGAGAATATATCCAGTTTATTGCACCGTTGTTACGGACGGACGCCGATTGCCTCCATCTTCCGGTGTTGTTCCAATGCGCAACAGGCAAAGGAGGAAAGCAGGAGAAGAGGCACAAGCAGTGGCAGGGACATTGGCAGATATGGCCTTGGCCCTGGCTTTGGCTTGCATCGAGATAATATTATGTCTGTCGATGCCTCTTCTTTCAGGATAGCGAGTGCCTGAGGCACATCACTGCCTTATAACTAGCTCTAGGAACTCCGTGCCCATTCGCTTGGATGCAACAGATAGTACTCAGTATATACCTCGTACATAGTAGACCGGCGATGTGATTGCCTCCTTCCCAGCCTGTTGGCAGCTGTACCTAAAGAACCATCTAACCACACACCTCGTACCCGAGCCTTCGCTCCCCAGACGACTTTTTCGGCCGAAACGTTGCCATGACATGTTGCTGCCCCTCGTATTCCCTCCTCTCTCTCTCTCTCTCTCTCCCCAGTTCAACTTTCTGACTTTTTCCACTGGCAAACGAATTTCCAGGGCAGGCAGGGGGCACATGTGTGTTCCTTTGTTGGTTTTTCAAGCTTCTCCGCAGTTTGTTTTCGCTGTTGAACTTTTTATGACACACGTCGTGGTCGTGTATGCATATCTGCCTGGGTGGAATTGAATTTCCTTCATTTGTCAACCCCTAGGTACCTTCTCCCCCCCCCGCCCCCGTTTTTGTTTCACTTGTCGGTTTTCCCAGAATGGCTTCCATGTGGGCTTTGTTAAGGGGATGTATATATATATATATATATATACGGCCGCTATTGGACATGTCCAGGGGCCCCTGGGCGTTGGGACGCAGAGGAAAAGGGGACAAGCTGGGATGGCTCAATTCGGGCCGAGGACAGCATCGCGAGACCGTCCGCTGCTTGTCTATACGACTTTGTTCGGACCAACTAACTAGCTGCAAGTACAGGAGCCTACAACAAGTTTTTGTGCCTGGTTTATTTATTTCTTGGTCCCGCAAAGCCAAACCAATTCCTGGAGATCTGATTTGATCCCCATCCCTTCTAGTCCCGAGCATAACCATACGAGGTCCGGGGTGCCCCTCTCTCCCATGTAGATATCGCGTCCCTCCTTTTTGTGGCCCGCCAACCTGATAGACGCCACGTTCGAAAGTCGGTCAAAATACGACCTCGGCTTCAGTTTGGGACTTCCAAATCTTGAGGCCGCGCCACATTTGTCGTCGCTCCGACACCATCCCAAGTAGCCATGCCATATGGGGCTGTTATGCCGATGTCGTAGGGAGGTGCCGCCCCAATCCCCGGACCATGCCAACCACCTTCCAACAAGATTCTTGTCCATCCCTACTCCACGCAAAGCTGTCGTAACGGGCTTGCTCAGACATGGAGGTTCGTTCAGAGCTAAGCAGGGCATGGAAAGCTTCCCACAATCTGAGACACATCTCTTTCTAGTATCTTAGACGTCAATACGTATTGTACACTGGAGTCTGATAAATGGTGCTGCTGTACTGTAGCCTATACGGTATTCTCCAATTGCAACACGTCTGGTCGCCGGTTCTAAGCTTTCTTAGTGCCGACGAATCCTCTCAAGCCAAGGGGAGTGGGAAACACGAGTTATCCTCGAGGTACCTGGACGAAGGAACAAAGCGGAAATGCCGCCGTGTAGACAGGAAATGCTGAGGACGTCCATGTCCCAACGGATTGCATTCCCTTCTGTCCACATGCGTAAGAGGCGGTGGTGTGCGTCCTTCGAGATGGCCAATTAGAACCCCGGGGGATGACAGAGAGGTTCTTGGTTGCATGGCAGATCCTGACATTTGAAACTGTCGCCAGCTCTCGACATGAATGGGTCATAGCTTCATATCAAGCACCGATCCCCGGGTCGTTGATTAGGCTTAGTAACATTCATAGAATAACGCATTTGGATCCGCGTTTTTTGTTGTGATCGCGGTATATCCGTTGATGATCAGAATCAAAGTTGTTTCGTGGAGTGGGTTGTGACAGATAATTTGTGGCTTTCCGATCAATTGGTTTCATAGGTGATTGACGCTGTCTCCTCAACTGCCTCACGACATCATAGAAGGCTTTTTCGACATTGATACAATTTTTTGCCGATGCCTCAACGAACTCGCAGCCTAGATCTTTGGCCAGTGCTTGGCCTTCTTGGAAAGGAACCTCACGTTCATGATGCTGATCGCTCTTATTCCCAACCAACATAATGATGGGAGGACCATTGTATGACGTGGATTGTCCGGGCATTTGAGATTGGAGGTAATTCGCGCCAGTGGGTGAATGCGGATGGCCTGACTCCTTGACTCGCTGCACCTGGGAATAGAACTTTTGGATTCTGCTGAAAGAATTTCTCGAAGTGATGCTGTAGACAAGGATAAACCCTTCACCATCTCGGATCCACTGGTCGCGCAGGGCAGTATATTCTTCCTGTCCGGCAGTATCGAGAACTTCAAGCATGCAAGCCTGTTGATCAATCATTACTTGTTTCCGATAAGAGTCCTCAATGGTAGGGTCGTAGGTTTCGACGAAATGGTTCAGACATAACTGCAAGGGGGATCAGCAACTTGTCGAAGCAAGGGGGCCTTTGCAGACAAACCTGGATAGTCAAAGCCGTTTTCCCAACACCACCATCTCCCAGCACCACCAATTTATATAGGGTCATTTTCCCCGTCATGATGATTGCCAGTCCTCGATGCCGACTAGGGAGGGGCCTATTGGTAAACCTGAAACCTCGTGCTTGGGCCGTCTCACAAAGATGTTGACAGATCTGACAAGAAAGACTGACACATCCGCTCGTGCGAAAGGGTGCGACTGCTTTGGGTTGTACACAGTAATATATTTTTATGCAAAGTCACCAGCTGCAGGAAGGGTGTCGTATCAGGGTCTGGCCTAGACCTCGAAAGAACTGAGTTATCCCTGGGCCAGTCGAAAGAGGGCAAGTCAATGCGGTCGTCTGGTGACACGGCGGAGTTCTTTCCTGGGTGTTCTTCTCTGACTTGAACTTCAGTCGAACCCGTGTCCGACACCAGCTACAGACAGAACAAAGAGTCGTCAACTGCAACGGGTCGGTTACAGGGTGTCGTGCGGCAAGCAGGGATTTTTACAGCAATGCAAGGCACTGCAAGTTGAACAGGGATCGGAAGGAGACAGGATGATCTTTTGAAGGTCGGCAGTCGATCAACGGAAAACGAGACGCAGGGGAGGATTTGCTGGTGGAAGACCTGCCATCGGAGGAAGAAGTCGCTGATCAGTTCCTGCGGTTCGGGGTATTTGAGGGGTGATTTTGGGAGAAGACAAACCTTGTGGAAAGTCGGTCCAGTGACTTGGGCCGATGTTGCTTTTACCGAACAATCGGAAGAACCGTGAGTTATTTTAAACAGAGGCGGGAACTCGAGACCTTTTTTCTGGAGGTCAGGGGATATTCTCGATGCTGAGAGGTGGGAGCCGTGTCTCGAAGATGTCTCGAGGCTGAGAGATGACTTTTTCGAGGACTGCCCTGCGATGGTTGCTTCTTTGGGGGCGAATGCAGTGGGAGTGACGGGGGTTTGTGAGCCAATGGGGAGGCCGGGCGCCGGAAGTGCAGAGAGACCTAAGTAAGATGTCGATTATGGGGGATCTGACATATGTATGCGAGGCGTTGAAGGGTGTCCCTGGGATTGAGGGTGTGGTTTACTTCAGACAGATGATTGCTCGAAAAAGGTGGGAAAAGCAAGAAAAGAAAGCAGGCACTGGACCACACAAGGGACAATTTTTTTTCTTTGCAGATGGACGGCTTGGGGATGGTGCGGGTGTGCAATATGACAGCTGCAGGCTTGAGCACTTCAGGCACCATGGATATCCTTTTCGGCAACGCTTTACCTTTGAGGTCCACCTTTTGGTTGTAGAAGATGATGGACGTGGATGGAGAAGCTGGGCGAGGACAGTAGCAGCGGTGCCAGTGGGTGCCAGTGACCACCGGGTATACCTAGGCCCTCTTCCCATTCCAAGCGCCCAAAAGCCCCAAGGCACCCTACACGGATGCCCCCTTCGCCTGCAGAACCTGCATTACTAGTTAAAGCCTACTCGAATTGTTGCCGATGGGCCATGGCATGCAGCTGCAGCTGCACCTGGACCTTTTGCCGGTGCCGGTGCCTGTGCCTGTGCCTGCGCCTCCCTCGGCCGAGTCGACATCATCAGACGCCGCGCGCATAAGGCCAGAAATGTTATATCTGCAAGAGCTGCAACTCGGCTCGAGTGACTACTACGCCGCCATCGAGTCGTTGTAACCAGTTGTCTCGATAGGTATAGTCGCATTCTCAAGTACCGCGTACCTAGCCGTTAGGTACGCAGACTATTACTCAGGGCACCGACCTACCTTGGCTTCTCGTTTCTCGTCTCTACCTAGTCTCCTACCTATCCCTCCGCCTTTCCATCTCCCTGGGGCCCCCTAAACCACCTCGGTCTTCTCTCGCTGTGCTGCTGATATGAGTTCTCGGGTCTGCTTCCGGCTACGGATATTAGACAGCAGATTGGGAGGAGTCCAAGTCACCACCACCAACACCTAAGTCAAGCACTTAGGCACCGAACCTTCTCTCCCCGTCGGTCTAACCAGCAGACGAAACATGGCTATACACTGTCTAACCTGCCCAGGTGTCCACCGGGATACATCCGTACACCCCCGTTTTTGTGCCAATCTTCACGGACCACGATTGGGTCCGTTCGAGCAAGGGGTCCTCCTTATGGAGCAACAGGTCCCACCGTCCTCGATCCCCAGTTGCCCCAGATCCCTGCCACTGTTGCATCATTCTGCTGGAGGAGGTCACCACTACCCGAATCTCGGAACTCCAAGCAAGCCTGTGGAAAGGGCCCGTGTCAGGAGTTGCAGGTCAAAAACATAAACAGGGGATGCGACAACCGGAGAAATGATCGAGCACGGATCCGGTGGGCAGTTGAGAGGGTCAACAAGTGCTCGAGTGAGCCCAGGCGAATGGCCGTATTGGGCAGTCAGACTTATGCCACGCGCAGCCGCCACTTCTCGGTGACTTGCACAAGCGGAAGGGGCTTCAAGTATCGAGGCCATGCTTTGCAGATCATGTTGGTTTGCATGATTGACGAGTACGGTGAAGCTATGACAACCCTTGGCTAAGATCATCGCTTGGTGCAATGATATTCAGCTTGCGTGTCGGCATCAGCCAGAAGCCAACCCAACAGCACCAAGGGCACAGCCTGTCAGCTGGGAATGGTGTCGAGTCCAAAAGCTTTTCTTGCATGATGCAGGCGCCACATGATGAAGGAGGGTTAGACAGAGACACGAACGTTTTGGGGGCTCCCAGGAAAGCTCCAAGCAAGCAAAGGCAAAAGAGCAGCGAATAACGATGCGTGCAGCTCCCGACTCGAACATATTCCTCCTCCTCAGCAGGCAAATCATAATCTGATCCCTTGTTTAGGATTCAAGGGTTGTCACCACCCATTCCTCGGACATCTTCAACGGCTAAAGCCTTCCCTTTTAAGCGAAGAGAAGTCTCCGCTCCCGTCTTCCCTTATCTCCACACTCGCAGAAGCAACTTCATCGGCCTTGATGGTGAACAGGTAACAGGTTACAGCACCCCTTCATCACAAAGTCCCCAAGCAATCCGAAACCCTTGATGCTGATTTAAGCTCGACGTCTCGCCATCTTGCAGGACGGACTGCCGTTCTTATCCGATAAGATAGGTCTATCAAGATGGCTGGGAGGGTCGATAACGCGGTTTCCTTGACAAATCCAAACCAGCGAGCCAGGTCAACAAAGGTTTCGGATGTTGCGAGACTTTGATATGTTTATCCTGCGGGTAGACAGATGTGGATTGTTTCTTCGACGTGGGGTCACATCTCCCTCTCTTCCTTCCACGGGCTATCACAGCCAATATTCCATGCAGAGTCATCAATGCGACGCGTTGCCGATCGCTATATCTTGGCCACCCACGGCGAGACGATTCATGTACAGTGGCTTCGCACCTTCCTCTTTCATTGGCCATGAGTTTCGGGTTTGAAGCCTGGGACTTTGCGCTACGAGATTCTCAATAAGCACGCGCAACCGCGAAACAGCCCCGATCCCGAGTTGAGGCAAGGCAGAAGCGACAGCAAAGCAGAGCTACAGTAGAGGAGTTTTCAGCAGTTCTCGAGCTGAGTGGGTGGCTCAACCTCACCGCCATCGTACATCTAGCTGCTATTCGGATAAGGTTTCCCGTAAGTTGAAGGGACAATTCGTGGCCTGAACTTGAAGTCAGACGTGCGTTGGAGGGAGCGAAGGAGCACACTGTGGAGCAATAGTTGCCTTGACTCGTAGGGATACCGAGGCCATCCTCAGATTGTCCAGAGTTGCCTCTTCGCTGTTCAAGCTTCATCCATAACGCTGAGGGTGGCTGTCGGTACCAAGCTTGCTAAAGTATTCGAAACTCCAGTGCGTGGAACCTGGAGCCAAATCCAGATCACAAGCGTTTGTGTACTCGTTCTTGACGTCAGGGTACCTGGCATTTCTGATTTCTTTTCATATTCAAATCAAGCGCTTCAGAACAAATGGTCGGCAATGGGAAACGGCAGCGGATTTCCCGGCGCTCATTATTCATCTTCTTAGTTGTGCTGGACATGGATGACAGCCGGTTTGGCGAAGTATGGCAGTGTTAGGTAAGAGGCTCTACACCCCGCAGTCTCAAACCGCCATGAGAGAGCAGCGAGGACTGATGGTCTGACGGATGAGGTTGTTGTTACACAGTCCGGGAGCGTGCACCATGTCATATACCTAGGTATGGCTCAAGACTTGGCTGGCATGGACCACTAAATGGCCTCGTCTCCTACAGGCAGCTGTTTCTTCAAGCCCCAAAAGGCGCCACACCGTCGACGAGAGCCTCGATGCCTCGAGATTTGGCCCTGGCCATGACGTCGTTGATTTTTCCCAATGCTCACAATTAGGCGGCGAGGCGGGCTGGCGAATTCGATGCACCCGGTGAAGCTCCAACACAACCAACCATTGACCAGCAAGACAAGCTCACTCGGCCCCCAAATGGCTCGGATGAAGCGCTGTCAACTTATCAAGAGACTCCAACGACAAGTACGGACTCCGAAGGGCATCCCAGCCTCTTGCACGTGCAGGCGCCCGGCGAGGTCGACTCGTGTGCCTTTGCGGGGCGGAATTGGGCGCGGATCGCCTGAAGAGCATCGAGTAAGCACCGTATCCGAAGCTGAAACACTACGAGAAGTTCGAGATCCAGCTGAACAATTGGCCTGCGGAAAGCCTCAAGTTGGGTTTGAAATCCTCTCCTTCGCTTTCTTTTTCGTACCGTCACGGCTTGCATATATTGAACCTGTCGTGTGCTGGTTGGTGTGACCGAACTCACTGCACATCACTTCTCTCTCCCGAGTCCAAACACCAAACACTCTATAGCTTCAGAACATCTTGTCCTTTTTGACCGGTGCACCTCGAATCCTGAATCCTGAATCCCGTAGATCTCGCTTTCACCTGCTCTGACATACTCGAGCACAAACTCCAGTTCGATATACCATGGGGGACTCGGTAAGCTTGACCATTGTCTGGCGCAACTTTGACTGACTCCGTGCCAGCGACCAACACATCAACACGCCGACGCCGACGGCCATTTTCGCCGAAAAGATAGCCAGTTCCGGGACTGGATATCCAAGGAGCCAGGTTCCAAGTTCACACCTGAGAAGGGTCGATACGCCCTCTATGGCAACTACGGCTGTCCTTGGGTAAGCCAGCTCCAACAAGCCCTTGTGCGAGAGATATAGGCCTGTGACTGACACCTCGCGTTCAAGGCACACCGAACTATTCTTGTCCGTGGGCTGAAATCGCTCGAGCCCGTCATCCAGCTCATTACCACCGACTTCGACCTGACCGAGAACGGATGGACCTTTAGCGGACGAAACGGCAGCATGGGTGCTGATCCTTTATACGGCTTCACAGGCTTGAAACAGCTCTATTTAAAAGCCGACCCAAGCTACGTGGGCCGCTATACCGTGCCCGTACTATGGGACAAGAAGACCGAGACAATAGTGAACAACGAGTCGTCTGAGATCATCCGCATGCTGTACGACCAATTCGACGACTTCTTAGAACCCCATCAGAGGGAGGTCAACAAACCCGGTGGGGGATTTTACCCCCCACATCTGCGGGCAGAGATTGATGCGATGAATGAGTGGGTGTATAACACAGTCAACAATGGCGTGTACAAAACAGGGTTCGCGTCGACGCAGGAGGCCTACGATGCCAACGTGTACCCTCTGTTCAAATCACTCGACCGTCTCGAGGAACACCTGAAGCATCCCTCTCACCAACCATACCTGTTTGGCGAATACATCACCGAAGCGGACGTCCGGCTGTACACCACGCTCGCGCGCTTCGACGTGGCATACTACAACATCTTCAACTGCAACCTGAAAATGATCCGACACGACTACCCCCGCCTTTCGAAATGGTTGCGCAACCTCTACTGGGACACGTCCGACCGAACCAACGGCGGGGTGTTTAAGAACACCACCTTCTTCGAAGTCTACAAGTATGGCTACCTCCGTGCAAAGGGTCGGCAAATGCACGGAGGAAGTGACCATGGATGGTCCGTCATCATCCCGCGCGGGCCGAACCCAGACATCGAACCGTTGACGGATGAAGAGGAGAAGGAACTCATCGAAGGCACCACCACGAGAAAAGTCAACGGCCTGACTCTCGAGAACTTGCCTTCAGGAAACAACCTGGGCTCGTCGCCGAATCCGTTCAGCGCACACGGAGACAAGGCAGGCATGGGCGCCATCTTTGGCGCCGAGGTTGATTCCCCCAATGCCGAGGGCGTCGCCACCGACAGCACCAGGAACGACGTGAACGGGGACGAGGAAGAGGAAGAAGACGCGGGCTTTGACGAGAACGGCGATTTCCACCCGCGGAGGGTCATCAAGAGGAGGACCACGTACAGCGACGCCAACGCCAAGTGGTACAAGGCGGCCAAGAAGGCAGAGAAAAAGCAGGGCGCCCCGAGCATGCATCTGGCGCTGTAAAGGACGGCTGCGGGGCATTGATGCAAACTCAAGCTTCAAGCTGAAGCTGAAGATTCAGGACCTGGGAAGTGAGAGCTGGGAAGGGAAGTGAGTAGCACATGGTGCGAAGGAGCGTTGAGGTCGGGACCCCTGCTCAAATAACAAGACCATGGAGTCGAGGAAGTTCAAACGGGAGCTGTGAATGAATGCTCGTGAAGTTTGGGTTGATGTAGAGGAACTGGGAAGAAAAAGCCTTCTTTTTACCACCAGCACGGCGGCAATACGAATAGCTGGAATAATGTACGAATTCATCATCACTATACTTGAAAAAGATATATTCTTTGATAGCTTCTGTGGCAACCGTATCTGGACTATTGACGGATGATATAGGATATATACATTCATATATATTTTCATTGTACTCGTGTATCAGAGAGGTTCACTCGAGGAATATCAGCTTCAGCATCAGAAGAATCAGCCGATATTATTGGATACCAAACCTCCTAGCAATCTCCAGAAAGCCCCCCTCGCCCTCGCCGAGGCCTATCCACATGTCCACCCAGCCCTGCTGCTTAGCCTGCTCCGTATCGTCCTTGGTCCAACTCTCCTCTTGTGGCCTCTCGATGTAGATGGTCTGATATCCACAGCCTCTGGCGGCCTTGAGATCGCCCAGATGGGCGGCCACGAGCGCACACTCACCTGGATCCAAGCCCAGCTTTTTGGCCGCGCCGAGGTAGACGCTGGGATGGGGCTTGTAGGCGCCAAAGTCCTCGCCGGACAGGATGTGCTTGTAGGGCAGGTTGCCGTGCGTGGCCAGGTCCTGCAGCAGGGCCGTGTTGCCGTTGCTCAAGGTGGCGGTCTCGAACTGGGCGTTCAGCTTGCCCAGCCCCGGCGGCGAGTCCGGCCACGGGTCCAGAAAGTGCCAGATCAGGCTGATCTTCTGCACCTCCTCGTCCGTCCACAGGCCCTCGAGGCTGTGGTCGACCAGGATCTTGTGCAGGGCCTCGACGTGGTGCTGGTCCACCGTCTTGAACTTGGACGGGTCCTTCTGCGCCGCCGCGGGGTCGTACGTCCGCGTGAACTGGTAATAGGAAATGCGCCACTCCTGCGCGATGGCGGCCCAGGAGATCTGGGCCGCGGCGGCGCGCACGCCGCTGGGGATGGAGGCGGTAGGGGAATTGAGGCTTTCAGACGCGGAGAGGGTGAGGTACTTTGTCACGCTCGAGCGCCAGTCGACCACGGTGCCAAAGACGTCGGTGAGGAGCGCTTTGGGGGGATTGGTGGTGGTCATGGTTTCTTTTTGTCTATGTTTTTCTCCTTGGGTTGTGATGATGATAAAAGGGGTGGATTGAAAGACTGAGAACAGACTGACTTAGCCGGGTTGTCTCAAGGCATTGCTTGTGGAATGGTACTGTGCCCTGCCTGTGTCTGTGTCAGCTAAACATTGAGAAGTCGAATGGTCCAATGATGACGAAATATGGCGCCTTTTGCCGGGCATTTTCGCATCAACTCTTGTTCAAGTTCAAGCGCGGAGTGAGTGTTTGGAGACGGTCGTTCAAGCAACAGGCGACAATTCGCGGTTGGGGTTCTCCAACCTCGGCATGCGAAGGGGACGAAGGGCGGTGATTACCTACCTAGGTAGGTAGGTACTTTTCTGTGGTCTTTCTGCCTGTCTTCAATTATAGACTTCGGACATTCTCCGAGATCGAGAGACTGTGTGTGTGTGCGGGAGGACTCTCTCTCTCTCTCTCCGCATCTTGATCCTGTGTCACTGTGAAGGTAATATCAAGGTGTTAAGCGATTGTGAGGTGGTGGAGGAACTAGCTACTAAGAAAAAGAGAGGATCTTTGCGTAGCCTGGCCCCATTCCTTTTGTTTGTCCAAGTAGGCTAGGGAGCTTCGAAGATACCGGGTACTCCATAACAACTACGAGTATGTGCTTGGGGTGATCAACTCCAGTTTGATCGACACCAGGGGAAAGATCCTGTTGGTATTCGAAAAAAGGGCACGATGCCCAACGAGTCGTGGATCAACCTGGTAATGGCAGAGAAAGGTGAAACAGCCACCACACACAAGACACAATAGTAGAATCTTGTTTTGTTGGCCAAGGGGAAAGCACTGACAAGGTCTCACGAGGCGAACAAGCCGGAGGAAGCCACGGGAAAAGCCACCAAAAGGAGGGGAAGAAGGATGGCACATGATGGCAGTGGGGGACACAGCGAAGGAACCATGTGTCCGCTGTGTCGTCGTTGTTGTTGTTAACATTAATTATCGTGGCGGCCAGTCCAGTTCAGGTTTGATTTCAGGATGTGATTGACAGGCCCATCCGTGCATACAATCATTGTTGATGGACGTGACACACCAAAGTCAAAAGTGTGATGAAAGAGAAGTCTGGTTTAGCAGGAATCATCCTTGTCCTTGACTCCTTGCCACTATCGGGTACGGGCAAGCATGGATGATGTGCGACGTTTGCTGGGTGGATGCGCATGTGCACGGAGCATGATCAACATGCCGGGAACTTGCACAAGTAGCACTCGTAAACAGGCCAAGGCGCAAACCTTGAGGTCGGAGAATTTGCTGCAAAACAGAAGATTTGCACAGGACCGAAGCCTAAATATGGCTTGCTCCCTGGATCCCTGGATCCCTGGATCCCTGGATCATATCACGACTAGGTACAAGCCCGCACGGAGTTGCGGCAAAGCCAGGAAGGAGGAACACTTATTACGAGGACGGACTAGGCCTTGACAAACACAACGGTCGCCGTAAGCGAGAGTGAGAGAGATGAAAGAGAGAAGAGCACGGACGCAGAGGCAGACTCAGCCAAGCCAAACCCAGCCCAGACTGGCACCCAACCGGTGTGTCCTTTGGGGAACCGAGTCATTATTTGAGGAGGTGGCTCGGTGGGTGGCTCGGTGGGTGGCTCGGTGGGTGGCTCGGTGGGTAACAGTTCATGCTGCATGCCGGTGACGGTGGTTGTTCCCCTCTGCAGTATTGACCAGGATGAGAGACGGGGAAGAGCAGGAACAAGCAGGGGGACAAGAGCCGTGGCCCAGTTACAAACATACAGGATGCATGTACGAGTGCATTCTGCATGCTCCATGTACGTACAGCGGCACAGTCACGGCCAGTCTGTGGCCAGTCTATGGCCAGTCTGTAGCCAGTCCCAAGTCTTCCATGATTCCTCCATCCCTCCCCTCGGTGCCCATTGTCCACGAGGTGTAGATACCTGCACTTGCCACTCGGTACCTGCAGTGGCCACGAGAAGGGGGAACGCAACGACGACAAAGTCTTTTTCCAGGAAATTGTCAATTTGGTACCTCGATCAAATGGCAAGCTTCAGGTCCGAGCTCAGCTAGCCCCCAGGACGGAAAGGCTAGTCGCCAGCTACTGGTGAGAATCTTCCGGCCGTGGCAGCCTGGTGGGCAGTGGTGGCAGTGGTGGCAGTGGTGGGAACGTGGTGGGGAACATGAAACACACTAGACATGCCCCCAGGAACTTGACTCCAGACCGGCCCGTTGCTGCTCAAGGCCCTAAAACCGCCCTGGCACCCACTGGCGTCCTCTACGACTCGTTAGACCAGGGCTTCTGGGGCCTATTAGCTCCATCGGACCTGCAGTGGCCTGAAGCCTGGAACCCCGATCTTACCATGAGGGTCAAGCAAGTCTCACCCAGTATTTCGCACACTCACTGACGAGTCTATGGAAGAGAAAATTGTATGCATTCAAGGAACACCACAGAAAATACCATACGTGTTTCTCGGGTACCTTTGTCCTACAGAATCCCATACCTAGGTACCTGCGTCGACAGCAGCTTGGCCACCGTCGTGGGGCACCCCAGCTCTTCAACGACCATCGTTAAAGCTGCGTGGTTCCTTTCGGGCTAAGGCGGATGCCCCCGTCCTATTGGGCCCTTGGCCATGGGCTATGGCTGCAGCCCTGGTCGGTGGCTAGCCCCGCGCCCGCTCCCCCCGAGCTCGAGCCTCATGCCCTTAACTTGTACGGGCAGCCTTTTTCTCTTTTCACTTTGCCAAACTCCACCCTGTAGTCCCTGGTCACAGTGGTCAGAAAGGCATCCTCGCCTGCGCCCAGTGATGCCCCTGAACAATGATTTTCCCGCGATTCATGCTCTCATGTCCAATCAATTCGTGGCCCAATTTTGCGCCTATGCCGGCCGATCAGTTCCAGCAGCACCAGCAGCTCCAGCAGGCCCAAGCAGGACCGTGGCTCCGCTCCCAGACGCGACGGTCGGCGGCGAGTCTTTCCCTATGAACAAAAACCTGAGCATCACTTTGAGTCGAGCGGGCTTCGCTCGACCCAAACCAGAGGATCAGGCCTGACCTCGTCGGCCCTTTTTCGACTCTGTTCGCTTCAAAGCAGAATCCCTCGTCAATCGTTACCCTTGTCCTCGTCCGATCTCCCCATTCCTCAGACTAGGCTGGACCCAGATCAGCAAGTTTTCTCCTGTCCATCTGTCAATCCTATCGCAGCCCGTCCCATTGCTTTGACCGCGCTTGCATGAGCCTTGGTGTTGTGCTGTCAGTCGTCTCGTCAATCTTGCATGACCATCTCGCCGTCTCAATCGCTGCTTTATCTGAGAGCTCTCACGAATCCGCTGTGCGAATTCAATTGTTGCATTCAATTCGTTTCTGCCCTTTGCCCGTCATGTGCTGCAAGTTTCGCTGAGTAGTGATTCATGTCACTATTCGTTGCAGGGATCAGAAGCACAGAGACGAGCCCGTTCAAGCGACCCAGGAGTATGTGTATGCCCAACGGCGGCTGCATTTGAATCCGGGCCTTCTCGAGGGTACAGCAACTGTTGACGAATAATGGACCCCGAGGTCAGCTACTCGCTACCTTCACCTACAGATACTCCATACCGAACACCGTCCAGTTCTCAATCCCTCCGTTCCCGCCGGTACGAAGACATGTCGCCCTCTTCTACGCCTCCTCCAATGCCCGAGGATCGAGCCAGCAAAAGACGAAGTAATGATTCCACCCACTCGAACCCTGCTCTGGACGAGAACATTTCCCCTCTCGACCCACGACGATTTACGCCCACGCTCCATGCCTCGTTGGTCTCCGAAATCCTGTCGTTACGGCGAGACCTCGAGAGTCGCACTAATGACATTGAAAAGTTGGAAATCAGCCTCCATGCGGCGCAATCTCAGAACGAGGTGCTTAATAACAACCTCTTGCAGGCCAACAAGGAGACCAGATCGGTCAAGCGGCAAATGCAAATGCTCGAAGGAGGTACCCTGTCAGCCCTCAACGACCTGGCCAAAGAACGAGACGACGCCTTGAGCGACGTAACTGATTTGCGAAAGCGTCTCGAGCAAAGCCAGAAGAAGGCCAAGAGCCAGGAGGAAATCGCGGAGAAGACCCAGGCCTTGTGGGATAAGGACAAGGAGCTTTGGCTCACCGAAAAGCGTGGCCTCGAAACCAAGGTTCACATTGCTGAAGGCCGCTTAAAGGTCGTGCTGAGTGAACTAGCCAATGCTCAGCAGCATCCAGCACCTGCTTCACCCACCGAACGTGCGCACAGCCGCAACAGTTTAATGGATAGTCCAAGCAAAGGCTCTATCATGACTCGGAGAGGGCGGAGGCACAGTGCGACGTCGGTCAACAGCGACACTCACGGAGGTCGAGTGTCAGTTTTGAGTTTCCACAATGGCATTTCGATCAACTTGGCCGACGAATTGGCCTTTGATGAAATGGAAGAAGATATGCTAAATGCACTTGACAATGACGATGGCCGGGTCTCGCCCGATGCACTCCCCGAGGAACACGTTCGACCCGCCTCCAGCTTGTCCATCAAAGCGAGGAAGGTCTTGGGTCTACCTGTCGACTTTGAGGATATGGAACGTAATGACAGCGTCGAGCATGATCGTTCAGGTGCCATGTCAGCGGATGGGAACCGACGTCGACCAAGCATCAAATATGTAGACACCGCCATTCAATTCTCCCCACCCTCGTCTCCGTGGCCGGTCACAGATCCACGACCCAAGCTCAATGGCCACCGACCCTCGGAGATTTCGATCGCAAATGCCAGACAAGTTAATGTTACCCCAAGCCCGGTCAGCCCGCAAGACAGTATTGATATCGCTTGGGAAAAACAACGACCTATCATGGTATCTTCAGGCTGCCAGACAGTCGAAGCTATCCCCAGTCCCCCCCTGACACCTGACAAGCGCGACGCAGGGCTGGCTACCATTCCCGAAAGTGCTCTGGAAAGAGTCGAAACCGCCACCATTGGAACCCAGACCGAACCTGCACAACCAATCTTTGACCAATAC